CTACACCTAAGGCTCCTTCTAGTACTACTACTACTACACCTAAATTCCTTCTACAATTACTACTACTACAACTACCACTACTACAGCTAAAGCTCCTTCTACTTTTACTACTACTAACTACTACTACTACTACTACTACTACTACTACTACTACTACTACAGCTAAAGCTCCTTCTACTACTACTACTACTACTACAGCTAAAGCTCCTTCTACTACTACTACTACTACTACTACTACTACTACTACTACTACTACTACTACTACTACTACTACACCTAAAAGTCTTTCTATTACTACTACTACAACTACTACAATACCCTTAAAGCTCCTTCTACAACTACTACTACTACAGCTAAAGATCCTTCTACTATTACTACTACTACAACTACTACAATACCCTTAAAGCTCCTTCTACTACTACTACTACTACTACTACTACTACTACTACTACTACTACTACTACACCTAAGGCTCCTTCTAGTACTACTACTACTACACCTAAATTCCTTCTACAATTACTACTACTACAACTACTCCAATACCCTTAAAGCTCCTTCTACTACTACTACTACTACTACTACAGCTAAAGCTCCTTCTACTACTACTACTACTACTACTACTACTACTACACCTAAAAGTCTTTCTATTATTACTACTACAACTACTACAATACCCTTAAAGCTCCTTCTACTACTACTACTACTACAACTACCACTACTACAGCTAAAGCTCCTTCTACTATTACTACTACTACAACTACTACAATACCCTTAAAGCTCCTTCTACTACTACTACTACTACTACTACTACTACTACTACTACTACTACTACTACTACTACTACAACTACTACACCTAAAGCTCCTCCTCCCACTACTAGCACTACTAGTATGTCTAAAGCTTCTACTACAGTTACTCCTACTGGCATTATTAGTACTACTAGTACTTGTCAGTAGTGGGGCGCTGTCCTCCTCCTCGCCAGTGTCAGTGTGAGAGTCGTGCAGAGCAGTAAAAGTCACACTTTTATACACAGTGACTCGCCAACACAGGAAGTGAAACACAGAACATGTCCTAATATGGGCAGTTTCACCTGCACTAGAGCAGATGACCACCGCAGAGGAAGTAACATCTCCACCATCATTTCAGTGACTACAGAAGTACTTTGGGGTAGTTTTATTCTTGGGGATTTTGTGTGTGGTACTTACACTATCAGTCTAATGTTTGGACTCACCTTCTCATTCAGTGTTTTTGTTTTCTTTTTTACGTTTACTGCTTACATTTTATACACAGAGGACATCAAATATATGAGGAATATGGAATTATGGAATGGAATAAATGGAATTATGTAGCAACGAAAGAAAGTTACATAAATATTAAAGCTGGCGCCGCATAGTACCTCCGCTCATTTTCATTTCTCTCCAGCGACTAGGTCAGGAATCGGAATACACTAGACGATTTGTAAGAACCCCGGAAGACGTAGACCACGAACCGGCAGTGTTGGGGAGTAACGGATTACATGTACCAGAGTTACGTAATCAGAGTACAAATTATGAGTAACTGTATTCAGTTACAGTTACTGTTTCAGTGAGTGGTAATTGGATTACAGTTACTTTGTTAAAATAAATGGATTACACGGCGGTATTTTCCTGTTTTCACATTTTGGGCTAAACCAGGACTAAACCAGGACTAAAACCAGGACTAAAACCAGGACTAAACCAGGACTAAAACCAGACTAAACCAGGACTAAAACCAGACTAAACCAGGACTAAAACCAGGACTAAACCAGGACTAAAAACCAGGACTAAAACCAGACTAAACCAGGACTAAAACCAGGACTAAAACCAGGACTAAAACCAGACTAAACCAGGAACTAAAACCAGGACTAAAAACCAGACTAAACCAGGAATAAAACCAGGACTAAACCAGGACTAAACCAGGACTAAAACCAGGAATAAAACCAGGACTAAACCAGGAATAAACCAGGACTAAAACCAGACTAAACCAGGACTAAAACCAGACTAAACAAGGACTAAAACCAGACTAAACCAGGAATAAAACCAGGACTAAAACCAGGACTAAAACCAGACTAAACCAGGACTAAAACCAGACTAAACCAGGACTAAACCAGACTAAACCAGACTAAACCAGGAAACCAGATTAAAACAGGACTAAACCAGGACTAAAACCAGGACTAAAACCAGACTAAACCAGGACTAAAACCAGATTAAAACAGGACTAAACCAGGACTAAAACCAGGACTTAAAACCAGGACTAAACCAGGACTAAAACCAGATTAAAACAGGACTAAACCAGGACTAAAACCAGATTAAAACAGGACTAAACCATGCTGTGCGGACCTTGTTTCCTTCTCTTCTATCAATAATATTTTTAATTTGGTTAAGTAAAGTTTGGGCTTTTTATTTTCTTTTAACACACAAAACATCTTAGGTTATGATTTCCTCGTCTTTGCTTCTCTACAGCAAATCAAGTAATCCAAAGTATTCAGATTACATTACTCACCTTAAGTAAATATAATGGATTACGTTACAAACTAGATTTTGGGGTATGTAATCTGTAATCTGTAGTGGAATACATTTTAAAAGTCACCTTCCCAACTCTGCGTACCAGCCAATCAGTGAAGAGCTGTGAAGCCACGACGTCAAACTCAAGCTCCTGTCTGAGTCTCTTTTGTGGCGCAGCACAACAGTAAACAAAGCGTCGAGATGGATGTAGACGAAGACAGACATTCTGTGTTGGCAACAGTTCCAGACATCGAGGATTTAAAGCTGGAATAAAGAGAATGTTTGGTGAATTTTATCAAAGGAGAAAGACGTTATTGTCCTTCTTCTTAAGCGATTTGATGCATTACATACGTCACGACCAAACAGCAGCGACTGGTTAAATAAAAAAAGTACCCGCCCACTGTCGAGCGAACGAATCCTAACGCTGTGACGTCAGACGGTTTCCACGAACTGAAACCTGCTGATGAATCACGTTACAAAGTTTCCTCCGTTTGTTGACAGCGCTGTAAAACCCCTGGCCTTCTTTCACCGAGCTTCATGATGAAGTCTCCTGAAATGGTTTTCCTTTCACTTGTGAGTCATGTAAGAGTCAAGAAATAAGAAAAGGGTTACTCAAACACTTACGAATAAAAAATTAAAAAACAGCAGGTTGGTCTCCTGATGAGGAACTGATAAAACAACTTAGTTTAAAGTTTGAGACCAGAGTCTAGAACCTGGTTTAGACTAAAACTAGAATTATACTTGAACTCATGGAGTAAATAGACCTTAACAAACCCTGTACCATTCGTTGTTGTTTTTTTATCAAAAAAAAAAAAAAAAAAAAAAAAAAGAATAAACAGTTGAATAAATGCTTCAGAAAATACCTGACAACATATTTTTTTTATTATTACTGACGGTTATTTTGTATTATCACTGTGGCATCCAAATGAGAACTGAGTATCAAGTCTTTCCCTGTACGTTGAAATCAAGATTGTCATCGTACAAGTCATGGGAAAGACCAGGCTTAGTCCTAGGTTAAACCTAGTTTAGACCTGGTTTTGATCTGGTATAGACCTGGTTTAGTCCTGGTTTTGACCTGGGTTAGTCCTGGTTTTGACCTGGTATAGACCTGGTTTTGACTTCGGTTAGTCCTGGTTTAGTCCTGGTTTAGACCTGGTTTAGACCTGGTTTAGACGTGGGTTAGTCCTGGTTTAGACTTGGTTTAGTCTTGCATTAGACCTGGATTAGTCCTGGTTTAGTCCTGGTTTAGACCTGGGTTAGTCCTGGTTTAGACCTGGGTTAGTCCTCATTTAGACCTGGTTTTGACTTGGGTTAGTCCTGGTTTAGACGTAGGATAGATCTGGTTTAAGCCTGGTTTAGACCTAGGTTAGTCCTGGTTTAGACCTGTTTTTGACTTGGGTTAGTCCTGGTTTAGACCTGGTATAGACCTGGTTTAGACCTGGGTTAGACCTGGTTTAGACCTGGGTTAGTCCTCGTTTAGACCTGGTTTTGACTTGGGTTAGTCCTGGTTTAGACCTGGTATAGACCTGGTTTAGACCTGGGTTAGACCTGGTTTAGACCTGGGTTAGTCCTCATTTAGACCTGGTTTTGACTTGGGTTAGTCCTGGTTTAGACCTGGTTTAGACATAGATTAGTCCTGGTTTAGACCTGGTTTCGCCCTGGTTTAGTTTGGGTCTTGGTTTCAGTCCCTCGACAGTCGTACACAGGACATGGACAGAGCTGCTGCTGTAAACGTTGTATTAGTTTTATTGATTTATGATGAGTCGTGTTAATGTTTGAACGCGCTCAGTCCAAAGTCCGGTCTGTCCCACCACACTCAGACTCATCGGACCCAAAGCCCCGTGTCTCTGTCCTAGTTTCTCCCATTTTCATTTTAACGGTTCAGTCCATTCGATAAGTGTCAGATATGTGAAGAATAGTTTTCCGGACACAACAAAGACTTAACTACATTCATTTAATTTTTCATTTACACATAAAACTAACTCTGGGAATGAAAGAAAAGTGTCTTGGCTGAAAACACAACAACAGAATCATTGTTACGATGCTTCTAACGTTTGGATTAGATGCCAACAAGAATAAGAATGGAATAGAACGGGAAACAATCAAAACAATATTAATCGAAAGTGAATATTTACTCGACATTTGACTAGTTTTGACTTGTTTTTCTGATGAGTTTTATAGAATTGGACTTAGAAAAAGAAAGAAAAAAGCAAAAATTGAATAAACTTTGTTAGTAGGTCAAATAATCGTAATATTAAGATTTGGAAAACAACTATTTGCCATGAATTGAGTCATCACTAAAGCGAGAGAAACCAAGGTGTGTCCTCATCATGTCCATCACCGCTTTATGGTTTTATTGCAGATAAAGTCCTCTGCTTCCCGCTTCACTCGCACATTCAGTTCAGCTCCTCCGTCTGACCTGAGCTCCTCTCCCGCGTTTGCCTTTTCTTCGTATTTATCGCGACTCTTCGGTAAAAGATGTCGACGGCGATAGAAGCCACGGGGTTCGCCATGTGCCTGATCAGCTGGCTCATCACCGGCGCGGCTCTCACCAACGACTACTGGAAGATCTCCACGGTGTCCGGCAGCGTGATTATCTCCCAGAGGCAATTCGAGAACCTGTGGCACGCCTGCGCCGAGAACAGCGCCGGCATCGCCGAGTGCCGCGACTTTGAGTCCCTGCTCGGACTGCCCGGTGAGTCTCAGCTCATTACGGGCTCATTTGAGGTTTAGAGTTCGAAAGTGTGAAGCAATACGCCGTGGAAAAAGTGCTGAGGAGGTCGTAGGTGGAGATGGGGCAGTGGAGGCCTCTACCAAACTCTAACCAACTAAAACAGGCCTCATATCTCAACACAGACGAAGCAGAGCGCCGATCGAGGGCCGTGAATAATTGAAATATGTGCATGTTTAACACGTTAGAATTAATTGGTACGACCATAAACAGAAAAAAATAATAAGTGATTGTGTTTCTGGTAGAGTTTTTCATGTCATGTTTTGGAAAATACGGAGCTCTGGAGTTGATAAACTGTGCGTTGAGTTTTTTTTTTTTTTTTTTTTATTTTATAATTTGTCACATCCACAATAAGACAGACTTAACTAAACACGCATACAAAAAAAAAATAAAAAAAAATAAAATAAATAAATAAATAAAAATAAAAATAAACAATAATAATAATAATAATAATAAAATAAATAATAATAATAAGGATAAATAAATAAAATAAATCAATAAATAATAATAATAATAATAATAATAACAATAATAATACCCCAAAAAAAAAAAAAAAAAAAAAAAAGTTTTGTTTGTTTTAATTTATATTTTGTCTCTTATTTAAAAAAAAAGCAAAAGTGTGAAGCAATACGGCATGGAAAAACTTAGGTAGGTTCTGTGGCAGAGGTGGAAATGGGGCAGTGGAGGCCTCAAACAAACTCTAACCAACTAAAACAGGCGTGTCCGAACTTTTTTCATCAAGGGCCTCATATCTCAACACAGACGAAGCAGAGGGCCGATAATTGAAATATGCATGTTTAACACGTTAGAATTAATTGGTACGACCATAAACAGAAAAATAAAATTAAAAAAAATGTTAAATTAAGAACGAGGAAGAAAGTGTTTGAGTTTCTGGTAGAGATTTTCATGTCGTGTTTTGGAAAATACGACGCTCTGGAGTTGATAAATTGTGCGTTGAGATTTGTTTCTTTTAATTTATATTTCGTCTCTTATTAAAAAAAAAAAAAAAAACATAAAAGAATTGGTGCAAAAGTGTGAAGCAATACAGCGTGGAAAAACTTAAGTAGGTCGTGGGTTCTGCGGCAGAGGTGGAAATGGGGCAGTGGAGGCCTCTACCAAACTCTAATTAAAACAGGCGTGTCCAAACTTTTTTCATCAAGGGCCACGTATATAAACACAGACGAAGCAGAGGGCCGATCGAGGGCCGTGAATAATTGAAATACGTGCATGTTTAACACGTTAGAACGAGCCATCAGTCTTTATTCATGCTAACATCCCTTAAAACCACACACTTAATTTTAAATATTCGCTTTATCGAGGTAGATTTTCAGAAAACTTGCAGTAAAAAGTTAATTTCGGTAATTCACCTGGAAGCCTGAGGGCCAAGAAAAATTTGTCTGTGGGCCGCATTTGGCTCACGGGCCATAGTTTGGACATGCCTGAACTAAAAGCTGATGATCCGTGCTAGGGCTGGGTATCATTAAGTAGCTGCCGATACGATACGTAGGCCACGATACGATACATATCTCGGTACAGTGCACTTCCGGTTCGATACGATATATTTCAAATCAATTCGATACGGTTCAATAAAAAATAAAGTCTAAATCATGTTTGTGATATAAAAGTTTTTGTTAAACCACTTCTTGTGCAAAGTTCATATGAAACACAAACATTTTAATCCTCAAAACAGTGTAAATGTCAAATGTGTCGCATAAATAAGCAACAAAACTGTAGCTGTAACAAAATAATTTAGTAAAATACACCAAAAAATACTCTATACAACAGCCCACGATATCGATACTGTATCATCACTTTAAACGATACGATATATTGATATTTTGATATTTTTGCACACTCCTAATCAGCGCAGTCGTGTAAGATCTAAACATGTGTGAAGACAGTTTAATGATTTGTGAACCTTTGCTCCACTTTTGAAAATGGCCCCAAAATGAAATGAATCCACAGAGAGCGATTCAAGTGCGGTTACGAGCTTTTTAGTGAGTCGTCACGTTATTGAGGAAATACAAAGACAGACAAAAAAGAAAAAGCAGGGAATTTACGAACGAAGGCTAAAAACACTCTGCGTTTCTGTGTCTTTATTCGTCTTTACGGGTTTTCATTGAGGAGCCATCGACCAAAAATAAACCAAAATATACATTACTTGGGCAAAACGATGATAAACATGAACTGAACAATAACTAACTGAAAGAAAAATGTAAATATATCAAATTATTTTATAACCAAATAATCACCAAATGATCATGTTAACGAAAAATAATTCCAAATCCAAAATTTATTCTGATGTTTTGAGGTGGGAATAGTGAGATTAAAAAAAATACAACTATTAACTACTAAACACATGCTCTTCTTTAAAATTTTCTTTAACATTAAGTTTTATTTTGTACGATCATAAACGATAAACCTTTGCGCCTTCGTTGATGTTAAAATATCCTTACATTTCTTTTTTTTCTTTTTTATTCTCATTGTAATTTATTTCGCACGATCATAAACGATAAACTTTTTCGCCTTCGTTAACATTATTATTAGTTTGTACGACCATAAACGAAAAAAAAAAAATCTTTACATTTCTTTTTTTTTAAATTCTCATTGTGGTTTATTTCGCACGATCATAAACGATAAACTTTTTCGCCTTCGTTAGTTTATAAATGAAAAATAAAAAATCCTTACATTCTTTTATTCTCGTTGTGGTTTATTTCGCACGATCATAAACGATAGACTTTTTCGTTAGTTTGTACGACCATAAACAAAAACAAAATATTCTTACATTTCTTTTTTTATTAATCGCACGATTATAAACGATAAACTTTTTTGCCTTTGTTAACATTATTATTAGTTTGTGCGATCATAAACGAAAAATAAAAAATCCTTACATTCTTTTATTCTCGTTGTGGTTTATTTCGCACGATCATAAACGATAAACTATTGTGTCTTTTTTAACATTATTATAAGTTTGTACGACCATAAACGAAAACAAAGAAATATCCTTGCATTTCTTTTTATTTAAATTCTCATTCTCGTTCTTTCATTCTCATTGTGGTTTATTTCGCACGATCATAAACGATAAACTTTTTCGCCTTCGTTAGTTTGTACGACCATAAACGAAAAATAAAAAATCCTTACATTCTTTCATTCACATTGTTGTTTATTTTGCACGATCATAAACACAAAACTTTTTCGCTTTCGGTAAAATTATTAGTTTGTACGACCATAAACAGAAAAAGAAAAAAAAATAATAATAATGAAGATAAGAACGAGAAAGAAAGTGATTGTTTTTCTGGTAGAGATTTTCGTGATTGGAAAATACGGAGCTTTGGAGTTGATGAATTGTGCATTGGATTTAGTTTGTTTTAATTTATATTTTGTCTCTTATAAAAAATAAAAAAAAAAAAAGCAACATAAAAATATAAAGCAACTGGTGCTGCAATAAAACCATAACAATGGAACACTTCAGCGCACCATATTATTGTGCCACAAAACAATTCTGTGGTTCTTCTTTCATCTCTTGTGTTTACATTCATAAAGTGGTTAAACAATGGTCGGGTTATTGATTACCAAAACACGAAGTGAAGTTTTAAGAGCTTAAACCCAATAATATCTTTATCGCTCTTAGTAAATATCACAATACTGAACGTACATGACCACTCACTTCCATATTTCGAGATGTTTGTTAAGATGTTTGATAGGCTGAGTGTGATTTAAGAAACAGAAAACACACGGTCCCCAAAAAGCTTACGTTTAGTTTTTGGGACGGCGAGCTGGAGCTGATCTGCTGACCTGAGAGTGCGAGGGGGATGTAAGGGTGGATCAAATCAGTGAGGTAGGAGGGCGCTAGGCCGTGCAAACACTTAAAAGTTAATTATTTTTTTTTTAAATCAACTCTTTGGCTACGTTCAGACTGCAGGGCTTAATGCCCAATTCCGATTGTTTTGTGAAATCTGATGTTTTTGCAAGGTCGTTCACATTTCCAATTAAATGCGACTTGTATGTGACTCCAGTGTGAACATTAAACGGCCCAAAAGTGTCCCGCATGTGCACTGGAGACACGACGACGTCAACCGCAGCGAGCGTCTCTGTGTTTACGGAAGTTGTCCAAACATGGACGCAGCATTGAGCACCTGGAGATTTTAAAGTTCCTCTCGTACCGGAGCCAGAACATGAACAACTTACTTGTTTTAAAGAGGAGATTGAGAAGGAGAAGGACGAGGTTTTTGGTTGTGGTGTTTTTTGGGGCAGCGGCAGCGACGTCCGTTGAAAGGAACGTGTGGATGTGGAGACGGAGCCAAGAGTGGTGAGTGGTGATGTGCTTTCACTTCAGTAACACGGAGTTCATTAACAATTTTCGCCTACTTCAGTGCAGAATAGTGACGTTTGTGGCTTGTTGATAACGTGTAGGTCGAATGCACTTTGGCCGTTCAGACTGAAGTCGCATGTCAAAAGATCAGATATGTATCGGTTTTAGGACCACATATCCAAGTGTCCTGGGTCACATTTGAAAAAATCTGATCTGTGTGGTTCAGACTGTCATTAAAAGATCGGATACAGGTCACATAGAAACCAAAAAATCAGATTTGGGTCACTTCAGACTGCAGTCTGAACGCAGCCTAAAAGACACCGGGAGCCAATGGAGAGAAGCTAAAATAGGTCGTGTTTCCAGGTTCCAGTTAAAAGTTGAGCCGCTGAGTTTTGGACCCGCTGCAACCAGGAAAGTGCATTTTGCCTGACACCAACATAAACTGCATTACAATAATCCAATCTAGTTGTCACAAATGCATGTATGACAGTTTTGAAGTGTTGCGTTGACAAAATAGGTTTCATTTTTGCCAGTTGTCTTAGCTGGAAAAAGCTAGATTTTACAACAGCACTAATTTGCTGATCAAGTTTTAGATCTGGGTCCGTTTTGACACCTAAGTTTGTAACAACAGGCTTCACTAAATGATTTAATGAACCCAGGTCCACAGTTCAAGTTCAATTTACTGTTCTCATGATTTAAAAATTAACTAAACTGTATTTCAGTCAATTCAGTTCTTGTGAATGCTACTTGACCAAAATATTATACATAATTATTGATAAGTCACAATATATCGTCCTTTGTTTTAGTATCAGGATATATCGTGATGTATATCGTATCGTCAGATTCATGGCAATGCAACCCCCTGACAGACATTATTTTGGTTTAACCTCCTTGTTCTTGTCCTTATTCTTTCTCGTTTATTTAATTTAGACTGACTGTGGCTATAAACATTTTATCTGAGATATTTTAAACTATATTTTATAAACTATTCCTGTTTGTGGCCTTCTTTAGTAACATTAAAAGACTAAATATAACTAAGCACTTGTCCATTTGAAACAGTAAAACATAAATGAATCCCATGACTGTACTGTAAAATGTAAACCACAAGCGGCAATTGACATTCAGGCGCTGGTATCAATGGCTCACTTATTGCACCGCTCTACCCGGAGGACGTCTACAGGCCATAGAAACTATAGAAACGGGAAGTTCACTGAGAGTGAAGTCATCGTAAACTCCGTGTCCTGTCCGGCTCAAAGTCCACGTCTCCGTGCATGGCGCCAAAGAGTGAGCGGCCATTTCGGCTCAGCTTAACAAAGAGTCCTGCTGTTGTTGTTATTTATCGACTTTAAGCGCGTAAGATCCTTTTTAATCGGTTTTTAAGTTTACCTGGTTGAACAGAACAATCATGTACAGTACTCAAAGGTAGTTCCATGTAAAAGTAAAGCGTGTGTTAAGTATACAAAGGCCACTTCCTCGAAAAGTGACCCACCTTTTGTGTCACTTCTGCTTGGCCTTTGTGTCAGTCCAGCTTAGATTTAAAGGATTTTTGATTCTTGGATTACATAAAAGAATGATCGAGGAATGTTTGGTTGCATCGAGGCAATAAACTGATCCTTTAATTTGAGTTTAAGTCAGGTTTTAGTTTACTTTGCTCGTTCAGGTCTTGCTTTTACATTCCTTTCAGGCTCTGTTATGCAATTATGTGTGGGCAGCGTAGTCTCTGTCAGAGGTGGAGACTTGCAAGTTACTATTTTTAGGATTTGAGGATTGACTTGATAAAATGGAGTAAGACTTGGGACTCGACTTGGACTTTAAGGTCACTGACTTGACAAGACTTGAGAAGCACTTTTAAATTCTTAATTCTTGCTGTTTTGACCGTAATGATTCACACTAAGGGCAGTAGCTCAGTTGGTAGAGCATTCGCCCACTGATCTGAAGGTTGGTGGTTCGAATCCAGTTCTCGACATAAACATCTCGGGTTGAGCGGTCAGATCCACTGACCCACAGGTTGGCTGGTGTGATTCCAGCTCCCACAGATGAATGCTGTCATTGTGTCCTTGGGCAAGACACTTAACCCACCTCGCCCACAGTGTCTGTGTACACTGTGTGTGAATGTGAATGGGTGAGTGGTTCCTTGTTGTAAAGTGCTTTGAGTGCCTTGAAGGAAAATGTGACCATTTACCAAGATCTTGCCAAGACTTTTAAAAAGGAAAAATAAAGATTTCTACAATTCTTACTCTATAAATACTCATATATAAATATACTTAGATTTTTTAAGTACAATTTATCTTAAAATTCATATAAATTGCAAAAATCTAAGTTATAAAGACTTGAAATGACTTGAAGCTCAAAGCAGACGACTTGGACTTGACTTGGACTTATGGGCCAGTGACTCGAGACTCGATTTGGACTTGCCTGTATTTGACTTGGGACTTGACTCGGGCTTAAGGTCAAAGACTGGAGACTTACTTGAGGCTTGCAAAACAAAGACTTGGTCACACTTCTGGTCTCTGTATTCAGCATTTTAGAATTCAAAGTCGTTTTCTTTGCGTCGTCCGTGCGAATGATTAAAAAAGAGATTGTTTTTGTGGTTTCTCATGTTGGTGTTGTTAGTTAGGCTTTCAAACAGACGCCTTACCTCTGTTTTAAGCTCCTTTGTGTCCTCATTTAAACCCTAAGACACACACCATTTAATAAGCGGGAATTAGCCTTTGCAATACTGAGTTGTAAAGTTCATGTAAGGCCCCAGGTAAGTCCAATGAAAACAGACTTATCATGTCCTATCATTTGTCATCATTTAGGATTAAGACTTGTATCCTTTAGGTTTAGTTTGACAAAGCCGTTGTGTCAATATTTACACACTGAAAATGTATCTTTACCATCATAGTAGTTCTTCTAGTTCGACTTGTATGTATACATTTATATATTTATCCACTTTCCACTTTATTTCTATAGCACATTTCACAAACAAACAGTTTCCAAAGTGCTGCAAAATAATAACAACAATAATAAAATGATAAAATAAACGCTCAGATTTAATCATATTAGTCTTAAAACTTACTTATGCCCTATTGACCCTTGTCTCTTAATCTTTTTGCTACTTATTATTACCATTCGTATTTTTTACTCTTTGTTATTATATTATATTGTGATGTGTGAGCTACTATGTCCAGATAATGGACAATAATAACCCTTGTTGTCTGAGAAGATCCGCCACTGTTGTTGGGTAATTGAGAACATTTGAAATTAACATTTGGACCCATTTTAAAGTAATTTCTTCATAAACGCTAGTCAGCCTGCTGCCACCTAGTGCCTCCGCTCAATTTCATTTTTCTCCAGTGACTAGATCAGGAATCGGAACACACTAGACGGTTCGCAAAAACCCCGGAAGTGCGAGTTTGGGCCAATCAGCGAAGAGACAGACATTAAGTGTTGGCAACGATTCATGAGAAAGAGAATATTTGGTGAATTTTATCAAGGGGAAAGACGTTATTGTCATTCTTCCTGCGGGATTTGGAGCATTACATACGTCACGACCAAATAGCGATTGGTTGAATTTTTAAAAAAGTACTTGCCTACCACCGAGCGAACGAATCCTAATGCTGCGAGGTCAGACCGTTTCCACAAAATGAAACCGGCTGGTGAATCAGGCGACTTAAACCCGGCCTGTTTCTACAAATGGAATTACACTCACACATAGACTTTGACTGTTTATACGAAATCACAAAATAACATCACTTGAGATCCACCTTAACTTGATTTAGGGTTGGTACGAACAACATCGGACCATCAGAACCACCAGTCCAGGAGGTAGAAACTGTCTTGTTGATGCTTTGCTGACGTGTGTTGTGTGTGTTGTGTGTTTTCTCTCCTCACAGCACACATCCAGGCCTGCCGGGCTCTCATGATCGTGGCTCTGCTCTTCGGTCTGGGCGGGATGATCGTGGCTCTGCTCGGAGTCAAGTGCATCAAGATCGGTTCAGCCACCGACCAGTCCAAGGCCAAGATGGCTGCGACCGGAGGCATAGTGAGCGCGCTCGGAGGTAAGACAACGGCCCAGATTTACCTCGCTGTACGACAAACACAAACAGAAGCAAAGTTGAAGTAAAGTTCCAAAACTTCCAAAACTGTTCTCTGGTGTAATCAAGGACTGACAAGACTAATTACCATCAAATCTAAATCGCAATTTGAATAGATGCAATTGGCAATTTGCTGTATTTTAATTTTATTTTTTTAACCATTCTTTCCTCGACAAACAACAAAAGATCTGTACAAATATGTGATTCTCGTATTAGTTTGTCAGTTCATATTTTTTGTCTCTTCTCCTGGACGTGTTTAAAATGTGAAGTTTGAACAGAATTCATTTATTAAAACATAAATCGTAAATCTAGTTCCAAATTTATAATTGGGTTACATGTTTTTCCTAAATCATTCAGACCAAAGATAATCTATAATCCCACTATGCACCGTATACACTTGAAAATGACCCGTCGTGGAAATTATCTGTAAAACAAAACCAAAACATAAAAGAAGACTGTCTAGGTTGGTTTATTACATTTGCACCGGTAACAAACGGTCCAAGCCCTTCCCCCAAGAACAGTTTGCATTTAGGTCAGTCTGATTGGCCATTTGGCTTTCTTAGCTTTGAAGTGTAACACCTTTACTTTCGCATCTGAGTGCAAGTGAAGACGATCAACACTTAAGATGTGACAAAACCATCAGACGTGTAAATGACAAACCCAAAGGTACTTAGAACCTTCCTGTGAGAGACAAAGAATAGTGTGGTTTTTAACACTTCTTTCTTACTTGGCCAACAGAAACAACAACACCCAGTACTAAAATTTCCACCACAGACCAGTCGAAAGTTTGGACGCTCTCTTTCATTTATTTTTCTTCTTTATTTTCATGATTGTTTGCGTTGCATTTGCATTTTTGGTATTTCTTGACTCTGATGGGTCAAGGAATGCCAATCATTTCAGGAAACCATATCATGAAGCTCACTCAGAGAAAGCCAAGAGTTTGTGATGCTTATATAAGGTGTAGAAAGTAGTAAACATAAAAAAAAACATTGAGGGTATGGGGGGTGTTGACCAAAGTTTTGACTGTGTCCATAAATGGTTCTTATAATAACTGTGCTTGGTCTTTCAGGTCTGTGCACGCTGATCGCTGCCTCGTGGTACGCCTACCGAGTGGTCCAAGACTTCTACGACCCCTTCACCGGCGGAATCAAGTACGGCTCAGACACACACACGCTGGGTTTAGGACTGTGCCAAAAATCGAAAGATCACGATGTAAACTTTGGTCGATCTCGATGATGAGGCGAGCGCATTTTAATCGACAAGTCTACAGCGAATCGTGTGGCAGTACGAGCGCGTGGTGCACTGCTCTCTTGTTTAGGTGAAAGCTCTGAGTCCACACACACCAGAGCGCGTCTCTTTATGTCTCCTCACGTGTCGTCGCCTTTCACAAGTTTTGACTCAAACTGCTCTCTCTGCGTCTGCGTGTGCGTCTACTCCTGATGTCCTGCGCTTTAAGTCCGTCCAGAAAAACTGTGATTGTTTTCTCCCCAGACCGCCCAAAACCCTCAAACCTGTAAGACTCGTGTCCCAGTCTACAGCAGGTCAAAGAACCCCACAGATGTGAACATGGGCTGTGAGGTGTTCAGGAGCTTGTAATAAGTTATCATTAGCACTAAACCTTTGCAGCTGTAGTTGTTAATAAAACCTCTGATTTGGTTATTTGCTCCACACCACAAATTGGGTTTGCATGCCTCCTGTCTCGCCTGCGACAAACTGGTGCATCCAGAATTTGACAAAGGTGATTGCAGATCCTTCTCTGTTCACTGAAAGTATCTCTGCAGATTCTGTACATTTGTCGGGCGCCTCCTGTAAGTTTATTAGAGCTGCCAGAGGAGCTTGAAGGTCCGACGCTTGGAAATCATCCAACATGTCTGTGCACTGTATGTATGTGACGTAAACGCGTACGTGACGTGAGCAGATCTGACCAGAGTTTTGCGTCTTGAGCAGTGTAGATGGAAACTCTACGGCGGAGAGTATTCAACTTTTCCACTCTGCGAGGTGGTTTCAGATTTTCGCATTTTTAAGCCTCAAAAATGCCATCACTTCCGATTAAATATTTTGTCATTTTTACCCGCAAGCGTTCTCGTGTAAACAGACCTTCAGATGTCATCCATGCATGTTTGAGTGTTTTAGTATTTTCTCCTGGACCCTTTTCAAACCCTCCTTACGGTTGGCTGTAAGATTCTGTGCAATGCTCCGCCCACAAGTCTACATCACCCCGACAATTCGCCGTAAATGACCAAAAACATGATATAAAACTGTACGCAGCAACTTGACAAACCTGATGTGACGTGCTGCAGTTTCATTAGCGGGAAGAAAACTTATTAAACATGGTCGTACGTTAATAAAAGGTGACACGGTGATCTAAATATGTTATATGTTTGCGGTAAATACGCCATAGAAGTAAAATAATCCGTCTTTAAATTCTGTATTGTCAGTCAGGTGAGTCCTAATCCTGACTGTCTGTGTTCGTGTGTGCAGGTTCGAGATGGGGACGGGGCTGTACATGGCTTGGGCCGGAGCCGCTCTGGACCTGCTCGGTGGCGCCCTCTTGTGTTCGGCCTGTAAGAGAGCTTCCCCCCCAAAGAAAGGGTCAGTATCACCTGGGCTAACATGCACTCAGGTCAGGCAGCGCTGCGTACCGTGCAAATGGTTCTATATCGGATTTTTCACTTGCAATACCAACTAGTATGGAGTCTTTCTAAAACAGTCCATTTGATGTTGGTGGGTGCTGTCATTTTTTTGGTATAACATGGTAAAGAGGGCACCAAATTAGTTTTTTTTTCCATTTTTAACACTTAATATCTTCTAGAGAGAAATACAAAGTAGACAGCATGTGTGGGAAGGTGTATGTTCAAGATCAAACCTCTGTCTTTGAAACTTTCCACAGTCCTTCAAAGACGCCCTCACATTTGAAGAGCAGAATTTTTTTTAGCAAATTCAAGCCCCCAGAAATCTGTGATAAATCAAAAGCACATGTGTAAAAGTCCAGATTCTACAAGTATATTTGACAAATTTAAACCCCTTTGACCTTAAATCGTCTTTTAGATGCAGTAATCTGAAAGTGGCTCCTCGGAAAACTCTGCTCAAAACAGATAAGGAGGGAGTTGACATAATATTTTTAATGACAAAATTATAAGGAGTTGGGAGCTAAAATATGGGACTTTTCCTGTTGGAAAGTGTGTGAACCTCCTAGAATTTTTTTTTCAGTCAAATCTGAGATGGTCGAGCGGGAGTATTCAGGGATAAAGTGTGTCTTTTTATGACCAGTGCTTTGGAAACAACGGTTTATTTGTCTTTTTAAGCTCTTATAGTCAAATGAATTTTAAGTGATAGTAATAAAATGCTATAAAAAGCAATAGTCTGTCCTGGAAAAGAGTTCACACCCATCTCTCCGACATACAGTAAGTGACCTACACAGGTGGTAATACACATTTGCAGCCCTCCCCGACGTCATGATAAATAAGAGCGTCAGCTGAAGAACTTCATTTACATTTTTTTCGACGTCAAATTTGCATATTATGGCAAAAACACTGGGTCAGCGGATTTTCCACACTGACCTTTCCTACTCACGAGCAGGTACCTTCTTTTTACGCAAAAGCCTGTGTGCTGAGGTCGTATTCTCTCCTGTTGTCTTCATTGAGAGGTTTTATGGTTTTGTTTGTACGGTGAACGGTGCATCAAAAGCCTCAAATTATGATCAGATCCAGTATAAGCAGTGTTGTGAAGGTTACTTTCCCCTACAGATTACAGATTACATACCTCAAAATGTAGTTTGTAACGTAATCCATTGAATTACTTAAAGTGAGTAACGTAATCTGAATACTTTGGATTACTTGATTTGCTGTAGACGAGGAAATGTTCACATAAATGTTTTGTCTGATAAAAGAAAATAAAAAAATCCAGTCTTTATTTAACCAAATTAAAAATATTACTGATAGAAGAGGAGGAGACAAGGTCCACGCAGCATGGTTTAGTCCTGTTAAATCCTGTTTTAGACCTGGTTTAGACCTGGTTTTAGTCCTGGTTTAGACCCGGTTTAGATCTGGTTTTAGTCCTGGTTTAGTCCTGGTTTAGTTCTGGTTTAGACCCAGTTAAGATCTGGTTTTAGTTCTGGTTTAGACCTGGTTTAGTCCTGGTTTAGACCTGGTTTTAGACCTGGTTTAGACCTGGTTTTAGACCTGGTTTAGTGTCTGGCAACGAGTGGAATTACCAAAATTAAAAAAATTTAAAAAATTTAAAAAGACATATAGCCCGAAATGTGAAAACAGGAACATACCTCTGTGTAATCCATTTATTTCAACAAAGTAACTGTAATCCAATTACCACTCACTGAAACAGTAACTGTAACTGAATACAGTTACTCATAATTTGTACTATTACGTAACTCCAGTACATGTAATCTGTTACTCCCCAACACTGAGTATAAGTCACATCAACAACCCCCTCCACCTTTACCATTCTGGTCCATATCACATACAAGTCGCATTTAATTGGAAATGTGAACGACCCTGCAAAAAAAAATCTGATTTCACAAAGAAATCCAAACTGAGCAATAAGCCCTGCAGTCAGAACGCAGTCTAAATGTACAGACTGACTTTTGAACCGTTTACACTGTTTTAAAACACTCTCAAGCTTTTATTTAAAGGTGCACTGTGTAACTTTTCGGTTGGGGGTCAGAGACAGAACCATGACCTGACTTCCCGCTTCGTGTCTTTTACAGGGGCTACATCGCAAACCAACCCAAGACGGTGTACACGGCCACAGCCAAGTCAGACCCAGACTCGGGGCGCGCGTACGTCTGAGCCTCCCTCTGCTCCTCCGTCACTGTTTTTGTTTACTCCGAAGCTTTCTACTCACCTGTGTTATGTTCTATGAATAAAGTTTGTTATGATTTTCTCCGGGCTCCATGTTATTGCTCTGTGCCGCCACTAGAGGGACACGCACACTCTGTATGGACTGAACAGCTTCTGCAAGGCAATTCAATTTAATCTGTATTAAGAACACATAATATCAGGTTCATAGTATAAAAAAAAGAACAAAAACTTAAATATACAGTGGATGTTATAATGTGCACAGACAAAAGAGCCAAGTTTCTCCACAGCTCAGAGGAGAATCCACCAAATATCTGGGCGTCATTGTCGATGATAATCTAAACTGGAAGGAGCAGCTGACTGGGTGATCAGAAAAATTTATAATATCTTTTGATATTTTCAGAAAATTTAATAAATTTCTGGACTCAAAATCTATACTTACATCATACTATAGTTTAATTTATCCCTTCTGTTATATTGTAATATAGTCTGGGCTGCACTTTCTCTACTCCTCTGAACAAAATATTATTGGTGCAAAAATATTTTGTTCGAATTGCAACTCATTCCTGCCACTAACATTGTCTGCTCATTTATTAATCAAACTTAACATTCTTAATATTTATGAGATTAATATTTATCAAATTTGTATTTTTATGTATAAAATTCTTTATAATTCAACAATGATCCCCAAACATTTCACATTTTACTTTAAAACCAATGCAGAGATTCATAGATACAATAATCGTCAAAATTTTAATTTTCATGTTTCAAAATGTTTTGTATTAAGAGTGGATTTTTGCTTATGATCCAGAGGCAGGAAATTCTTGAGCCAATTTTCACATCTGGTTAGTGACAGCATCAGAGGCGCTGAAACAGAGATTGAGGAAAGAGAAAAGAATAGAATAGAATAGAATAGAATAGAATAGAATAGAATAGAATAGAATAGAAAAGAATAGAATAGAATAGAATAGAATAGAATAGAATAGAATAGAATAGAATAGAATAGAAAGTCTTTATTGTCAGTGTACAATAGTATAATGAAATTCAGTGCTGCTCCATCAAAGAGCAAGAATTAATAATAAATAAAACTAATGAACGGATGTTTGATATTTCATGATAATGTGTAATAATTATTCAATTGTGGATGTTTCATTGTATTTTTGATCCATGTTTGTATCAAATTCATTTAATCCAAGGTGTTTAAATGTAATTTTTTTATTATTTTTATTGTTTTTATGCACGGTGATAATGTTCAGTTTTTTATGCATTCATAAGGTGGAATCTTTAATATGACACCCTTTTGAGTTTTTTGCCTCTTCCAGCACCTACTTGTTTATTAAGAGTGTGTTTTTTTTTGTTTTTGTTTTTGTTTTTTGTTATGTTATACACGCAAAATAAATAAATAAATAAATAATACAAAATAAATAAATTTGACAGAGCTCCTCCCAAAACACACTTGAGCTTGAATGATTTGATTGTTCAGATTCATGGCTCTACACATAAATGAAAAAATACAACATCTGATCGTGTCACACCACAGTTCACAACCATTTCACTGACGTTACAAAACCTCAGCACTTTCAAAAACCATAAAAGAGTCATCGAAGGCCACTGTCAAACTCTGCAAACTCTTTTTCTTGTAGTTGCGCCAAGGAGCAGAAACATTTAACAAGAAAGTGCAATTTCGACGTCACTGGAGCACACGGAGAACTTACGGACAAGCATGCTGCAAGTTTATTTGTACAGCACAATTAATACACAAAGTAATTCAAACACTGAACCTATTTATGTCACATTTATTCATTAACCTTGGACAGGGGGACACAGAGTTATGAGGACAGAGGACGGGGGGGTGGACAGTGGACAGGGGAGAGTGGACAAAGACACGTACGGTGGCAGGTGTAGCGAGTGCATTAGTGAATGAAGAGCCTGTGTAAGCTTCAGTAATCTGCTGCTGACTCAGAGGGCCCTGCATTACTCTGTCTGTGCTCCTCTGTACGTCTCTACAGCTCCGTGGCTCTAACAGGGACAGCACAGCGCCCCCACCTGGACACCGCACGCATGAGGGTGTCAGGGGGAGGTACAGTCCCTGTCCTCACACTCACAGGTCATCATCATCTGCACAAACACTTTGAGGAACATAAAATCTACAATGATGCCTCTATTTAAAATGAAGGTTTATATTTGGCTCATTTGTCCGTGTGTCATGTGGGAAAAGTGCTACTCAAGTAAGAGTAACTTAAGAGTAATTGTTGAAGAGTGAATTTAATATAACCATAAAACATTAAATAATGCACAGAAGCTAGTATTAGACAAACTAAATCATATCTGAAGGAGCTGCAAGAAACACACATGTTCAGATCATTTCATATTGTCACCAGAGGCGGCGCTACCATTAGGCAAAAGTAGACGGCTGCTTAGGGGCCCCCAAACCTGGAGGGGCCCCCAAACAATTGCCCTCAGTGTCACTAATGACCGAGGCCTTAGAGTAATTTGATTTTCTCTCAATATGACATTTAATGAGAGTAGATTACTTTTAAACAATAATCATAAGAAAAAAAAAATGTAATGGATGTAAACAAAAATGTAATTGTACTCGCAAAAAATACAACTTCTTCCAGTTCTCATTATCTAGTAGGTGACCAAACTAATAAGAAAAGTTTCTGTACTTCACATAAATAGAGATGTGCATGTCTCAAGAACAATTGGGAAAAACAGACAATAAATACATAAAATAGATAAATAAAAAATTGTGCATTGAGCGCCCCAAACTCAACTTCACCTAGGCCCCCCTCCACTGATTGTCACATAAAGCTTTTGTCACTTTAGACTTACACACAGTGGGAAGAGGAACCACAAATTTTACTTGCTTAAAAGTACTGTTACTTCATTAAAAATATTACTCAGATAGGAGTAAAATTATGTTGCTGGAACAGGTATTCAGGTTAATAACTGAGTAAATGTAACTGAGTATTACCCACCTCTGGATACAGGTCCCTTAAAATAGATTGATTTGATCACTAGACCACACACACAACCATGTTTATTACATAGGGATGTAACGATATCCAAATCTCTCAGTGCGATATCATCACGATATACATCTCACGGTACGATATTTATTGCGATATTTTGAAGAGGCTGATATAATTGTAGATGAGACACTTTTTTTACTTTTAAAATACCTTGACAAGATTTTAGTGTGAATTATTTCCATCATAATCCCAAGAGTTCAAGTAAAAATCATATCTCTGCATATGTCTGCACTGAAATGAATCATGGGATATGTAGTTCCCAATGTTTATAAGCTGTTGCTACTGTAAAACCTGCATTTAACCAAAGGAACTTGTGATTCTATATATTGTGACAGCCCACGAGGTTATTATGAGACTCTTGATGATACGATATCACAATATTTCTTATTATTGTTATTGTTAAATCCCTGATGTTAAACATAATATATTTGCATCCATCCTTTGCTTTGTGGACAGCGCTGTAAACCCTTGGCCTTGTCTCAATAAGAGTCTCCTGAAATGGTTTTTACTTTACAGCTGTGCCACGTCAGAGTGAAGAAATGCCAAAAGTGCAAACAGGGTCAAAGCAATTTTTTATATTTTTAAGCATAAAACAAACTTGGAGTTATTTTGAGCGTGTTTTTTGTTTACTACCTTCCACATGTGTCATTCATAGTTTTCTTCAGCGTAAATAATCATGGACCTGCACACTTCCATCAGTGAATGAGCGCAGGAGAATAATCTGCTGAGCTGCTGATCAAGGGAAAAGCACAATCCTCTCAGCCTCATCACGGGAAGTGCAGCCGCGCTCTCATTGGCTGGGAGGGAGCGGGGGGCGGGGCTTCAGGGCAGGTGTTTAAAGCGGCGAACTGTAACATTCATAATAACATCATTCACAGAGACGTCCAGGACACAGACTCACCCCGACACACAGGTGAGTCCACATGACACAGTAACAGCAGTAGTAGTAATAGTAGTTGCAGTAGTAGTAGTTTTAGTAGCAGCAGTAGTTGTAGTAGTAGTAGCAGTAGTAGAAGTAGTAGTAGCGGTATATTGAGATTTCCATAAAGAGGCAGCAGTAGTAGGAGAACATTTGTCTGCCAATCCAAAGCTGATGGTACAATCCCCATTTCCTACAGTGCAATATTGTCGGGTCCTTTGGCAAGACACTTACCGCTGGTGTTCGAGCAGTTGTGTGTTTGGGTGAATGGTTCTTTAGTTCAGTGGTTCTCAACCTGAGGGATGGAGCATTTACTTTCAGGGCAAATGCAGATCAAAAATAATTCTAGTCATATTTTTGCTCATTTGGTGATCTGGATTATTCAAACTCTGAACACGAACCAAAGACGTTTTAACAAACACAGCAGCATGATTATATCTGAATGTCAAAAAAGAAGAAATTAGTTTTGAATTCCATCAGTCCTGCACTTTATTTGGTTAAATGTATTTATAATTCTCAGTGTAAAATAGAAATAATGGTTTGCCTGATAAGTCCGTTACTGAAATACTGGTTAGTTTCAGCTCTTGAATACATGAGTTTTACTGATGGCTTTACTCTTTTAGTGAAAATCAAATCTACTCAAACCATCCACTTGATCGTTTTGCAGAGTTTATAGTTTGTGCTGGAGTCAAAGATGCAGCGGGTCTCATCATGAGAGTTACACTAAATAAAGGTTGAGACTCTTTGCCTCAGGGTTAAATCTTGGACATCTGGAGCTCCACTGTGACCCCACCCCGGCTCTGAAACTCAATTTCCCATCTAAATAAGCCTAAATGAATAGGCTTATTAAAAGTTTGAAAGCTCAGGGCTAATCAGCTCTGTGGAAACATACATTTATTTCAAATCTGTTTCTGAAAGTTTATAAACCGCTGAGTTTTGCAGAATCTTGTGTTTTAAATGTGTGTTTTTGTTTTTTTTTTGACTTAAAACAACAGTGTAATGGATAGTAGTTATTAATCAGCACAATGTTTTTGGACTCTTAATATTTGAATATTTCTAAATGTCTGTGGGAAAAAAATAATGGAAAATGTACTTCCTGAACCAGAGCAGGCGGTCATTGTTGAGCTCCATGTAAGCTTTATGTAAGTGTGTTTAATCAATAAATGTTAAGTCAGTGGGTCATTTAGCCCATTGTGATGTGTGGACACGGTGAAACAGGCTTAAACCAGACCGCCATGTATCTGTGTGCACACTGGTGTTTAATAAATGATGCTGAGGAATCCATATACTGGTACTGAAAAAATTTAAGAAAAGAAGAAAAACAAATCTTTGATATATCTATGTTTGATGGTTTATTCTGACATTATTTCACAGACAAAGGTGCAGGCTGAAGCTTGAGCTTATTCTGCTTTTACTCTTTATTCCTTTATAAGAGTGTCATTTTGAAACCAGTTCATCTTCATAAATACATCAAGAGGAAACAAAAAAAATCAGTAACAGTACAACAAAGTACTACAGCACAAACTAAGCATCATTTCTTAAAGGTTGTATGGAGGATTTTTTTTTTTAGTTTAAAATTGTCATTGAAAGTTTAAAATACCATTACAGAGACGCAGCAGCCTTGTAATTATGATGACCGAAAAAAAAAGAAAGTATGAAAATCTATCAACTGTGGACGTAGTGAGGAAAGATAAACATCAGCCAATAGAAAACGAGGCTCCCTCTTTTTCTATTGGCTGTTAGGTTGTCAGTCAAACTCCCTACATTTTTAGTGTAACTGACTCGTCGGCGCTCGGGGATTATGTGGTTTATGCGGCGGTTCTTTGAGGCTTTTTCAAACTGTAGCTCCCTTGCAATTTGCACAAAGTTTGTTGCGATGGTGGACGAGAATCCACGACCAGTTCGCCGCAAAAGAAAGTCCGAAGGGTCTAAAAACTGACGCGTCGGTCGCTAAAATATTTCTAGGCAGGTCACTTCAACAGTAATTCTGAACATGCACTGGATGTAAACAAATGTGATTTCTAGAGTAAAGAGGCGGGAGGAGATGTTTCTACTGAAACATGCACGACATTTGAAAAAGGACTGTCACTGTATTTCGCTTCCCTTAAAAAATCCTCTATACAACCTTTAAGGGTGTTTGTATTTACATAATGACCATAAGTACAACAACTTGATATTATATATTTACTTTATATTTGTGCATTTACTACTACTTAATTTATTCATGTGTGTGCCTTGTGTGCTTTTGTCCCTCAGCTCACACACAGACTCCAGGATGAGCCCCAAAAATGTCGTCTTCAAGAAGGTCTGCAAGGACAAGTCTGTGAGTACTGCTTCTATGTGTCACAACCAGGCAGTACATGTACTACAGGGAGTTTTTACACTGCAGGGAGTACTCGTAACATTGCCTTTTATTTGAATAGCAGTTCCTCAAATGCTTTTAACTCTTACTACCATACATCAGACTCACAGAGCAGGTCAGGAGATCCATCAGGGGCTGGACTTTGGGCCCATCATGGTCCTCAGAGTGGGGTCTGGGATCTGGAGGTCAGAGGAGGTACAGCTCTGCTCCTCAGTGTATCTTTAACAGCATTAACAATAATTAAGATCCTCTTTTGAGATACTGAAGTCCAGAGTTACCTTCATCTCTGTTTATAAGTTCTGTCTTGAGTCCAGTCAGATGTTCCACAGATTTGATGTTTTATCTACTTATTGTCCTCTTCACCGAGTGTGGAGTGAATGAATAATGCTCTGGAAAGTGTCTTTGAGTGTCCAGGAATTGTTCAATTTATTTTTCTCGTCCTATCTGTCTTCTATCCTCTGTATCTCCTTCCCTAATCCTCTCTGCCTCTCTCCTCTGTCGTCTTCTTTTGTCCTCTCTGTCTTTCTGTTTCTCTCCTTTTCTCTGTTTTCGTTCTGTCTCTGTCCTCTCGTGTCCCTCTGTCCCAGGTGACGGTGTACATGGGTAAGCGGGACTTTGTGGACCGCGTGGACTCGGTGGACCCTGTGGGTGAGTGCTGTCTCTGTGGGCTCCAGTCCAACGCTGTGTAATATGCACATTTACAAACAGTTCTCGTGTGCTCCTGTAGATGGCGTCATCGCTGTGGACACTGAGGCGCTGCAGGGGAGGAAAGGTCAGACTGTGACACAACACTTTTACTCACAACACTTCTTTCACCATAAATATGACAATCTACATTTATTACATTTTTAAAGGCCCTGTACCAGATTTTTTTTTATGAATTTGAGCGTCTGAAGTGTCTTGCCAGAGCACAGATAAAATGTAGAAGCCGCTCTTGAAGTCAAAAAGTATGTTATTGTCTGACAGTAGCTCAATTTTTAAGATCGTTTGTCCACTGATTTGAAGGTTAGTGGTTCAATTCCAGCTCCTACAGATGAATGCCGTCGTTGTGTCCTTGGGCAAGACACTTAACCCCCAGTGCTCTGGTGTATGATTGTGTGTGTGTGAATGGGTGAGTCGTTCCTTGATGTGAAACGCTTTGAGTGGCTTGAAAGTGGAAAAGCATTATATAAAAATGTGACCATTTATTTACATTATAATCAGGAAGTGAAAAGTAAATAAGCTGCTCAGAATGTGTAAGGAAAAACTTTGGACCACTGCAAATTGCTTAAAATGAATTAGTTGTTTTGTTATTTTATTATGTTTTATTTTATTTTATTATTATTTATTTATTTTATTTTATTATTATTATTTATTTTTTTTTTTTTTTTTACATTTTTAAGACATTTAAAATAGTTGCTTTCAGACTCCATACATCTTAAAGGGACTATACATGATTTTCTGGAAAAAAAAAAAAACGCTTTGTTATTCTTCACTTACTTTATACATTCTGAGCATCCTAATTATTCACCACAATGAGTTTATGATCACTTTTAACGGCTTCCAGAGGCCAAAGCTTCTAGAAGCTCAAAGAGGCTCATTTTGTGTTCTTATGTACTTTAACTTCTTGTTGACATGTTTTGGCTTCAAGTTGCAAGCTTCCAGCAGCCGAAACATGTCAACAGGGTAAATACACTTTACTCCACTGTCTTTAAAAAATAATCTAAGAAGTTAAAGTTTCTAGAACAGGGGTCATCAAACTAAGGTGGCCTATTTTTTTGTTTTCTCTCAATAAAAAAAATAAAATAAAAAAAAATTATATGAAGTATTTATATTTATATTTACATAATTATATGATGTATTTACATTTGGAGCTGAATTTGTGGTCAAATTTTCATCACCTGACAAACTCGACATCACACAGTGACAGTTGCTTTGTGCAAAGTTCTGTAGCGCAGTTAAGGAAAATGGCGAGTGTTTAAGTACGAAAAGTTGAGAGAGAGCGCCGAGTTTTCAAAGAACAGTGGACGACCGATTATTTTTTTGTTCAGTGTAAGGACCGAGCAGTTTGTCTGATATGTAAAGAAAGTGTGGCGGTTTTCAAAGAATATAATCTGCGTCATCAGGGTCGTACAATTCTGTTACACGGCCGACCCGACCCCGACCCCCATCACAGTCAGGAGCGATAATGTGACCCCCAGGTGTCACCTGTTCTAGAAGCTGTTCTAACATCGTTCCCTCATCAGAAACACGCCTGAAGAGGTTTCAGATGTCATCCATGCATGTTTGAGTATTTTATCGATCTCTACTGCACTGAGAGATTGATTCTCTATTCAAACCCTCCTTACTGTCAGCTGTAAGATTCTGTACGAGGCTCCGCCCACAAGCCTACATCACCCATGCTCCCACGTAACAATTCTCGATAAATATACAAAACCATGATACAAAACTGTACACAGCAACTTGACAAACCTGATGTGATGTGCAGTAGTTTAATTAATGGGATGTACAGTGATTGTGTTGTGTTGGCGCTCTGAAGGGGGAGTGACTTAGTGCTTGAGAGCCGAGGGAGGGAGACTTCGAGCTCCAAAAACAAAACTGAAACGTATTACACAATTATAACATGTTTTTTTGGATGAATATCATTTTCAAAACAATAAAAATTTCTGCTTTGTTTTCGTTGCTCCCCCTAGTGTTCGTCACCCTGTCCTGCGTGTTTCGGTACGGCCGCGACGACATGGACGTGATGGGGATCGCGTTCCGACGGGAGCTGTACCTGTCGACGCGGCAGGTGTACCCCCCTCTGCAGGACAGGGACAAGGCTGTGCACACCAAGACCCAGGCCAAGCTACTGCGCAAGCTCGGAGACAACGCCTACCCGTTCTTCTTCGAGGTCAGGGGGCAGGATTTAGTCTGGGTTTAACTGGTCCGGGGCGGTTTCACGGTGCTTGCTGTTGTCGTGCCTTTGAGCAAAACACTTACACTCCCCCTGCATTAACGTCGCCTTGTCTTTATCAGTTTCCAGACAACCTGCCCTGCTCCGTGGCCATGCAGCCGGCGCCCTCTGATATTGGGAAGGTAAGCGTTTTCTCTCCCTGGGTGCGGTTGTAAGGTCTGATGGGTCTGGTTGTAGTCTCGGGTGTTTTGTGGGGATGGTCGTGGGGATTGGGGTGGGTTTGGTTGTGGGGTTTTGTGTGTTGTGGGGATAGGGTGGGTCCAGTTGTGGTCCCGGGTGTTTTGTGGGTCTGGTTGTGGTATTGGGTGTGTTGCAGGGATGGTGTGGGTCAGGTTGTTGTCTACAGTGTTTTGTGGGGTAATGGTGGGCCCGGTTGTGAGGATGGGGATTGGGTGGGTCCGGTTGTGGTCTCGGGTATGTTGTGTGGATTGGGTGTGTCTGGTTGTGGTCTTGAGTGTGTGTGGGGGTAGGGTTGGTCCGGTTGTGGAGTTGGGTGTGTTGCGAGGATGGTGTGGCTCTGGTTGTGGTCTCTGGTGTGTTGTGGGGATGGTTGTGGGGTTGGGTGGGTCCGGTTGTGGTGTCGGGTATGTTGTGGGGGTGTGGTGGGCCCGGTTGTGGTCTTAGATATGTTGTGGGGGTGGGTCCGGTTGTGGGGTCAGGTGTATTGTGAGGATAGGGTGGGTCCGGTTGTGGTCTCAGGTGTGTTGTGGGAATGGGGTGGGTCCATTTGTGGGGTTGGGTGTTTTGTGGGGGTTGGGGTGGGTCCGGTTGTGGTCTCAAGTGTGTTGCAGGAGTGGGGCTGATCCGGTTCTGGTCTCGGGTATGTTTTGGGGATAATGTTGGTCTGGTTGTGGTCTCAGGTGTGTTGCGAGGATGGGTTGGGTCCGGTTGTGGTCTTGGGTGTATCGCGGGTATAGGGTGAGTCCAGTTGTGGAGCTGGGTGTGTTGTGGGGATGTAGTGGGTCCAGTTGTGCTCATGTCTTTTGTCTCTGCAGCAATGCGCCGTGGAGTTTGAAATCAAAGCCTTCAGCGCAGAAAAACAGGACGACAAGATCAAGAAAAGGTGAGAAGAAAATCACTACGGAAACCATGTTTGTTTTGGACATGCTGATAGAGAAAAATGCCGCAAAAATTTACATTTATTAGGACAAACAATACAACGTTTTAGCACTAGGCCTTCATCAGACAAAAAAAAGTTGCACGGTGTGTCCTCACATTTTGAAAGTAAAACGGTGTGATGGATTTTTATCTATGTTCTTCGGGTAATCCCTCTACTTCAACGCATTCATCTCAAGTAAATGATGCATGAAGTTCTCATTCTTTTATATTTTGGGCATTTTGTAAAAGAAGTACATAAATACATAACATCTCAGCTTTTACATTTTCTTTATTTAAGTGAAAGCAACGAGTGCAAACTGATCTAAAACCTGAAGACTTGTCTGTGATGTCTCATTTTAAACACATTTTATTGACGAATATGTTGTTATTTTCTCTTGTACTTAAAAAGAATGATGTGTATGTTAGGATTTTCACATTCATACATCTTTTATTTTGCAAAATTGATCTAAAATGGCTCTGTATTACAAATGGAACCACTGACTTTTCAACCTGAAGTGTTTGAATAACTACAGGTGCTATAGGGATGTGTGGGAGGAGATAAGGGGTAGGTGAAAATACAAGATTTTTAGAGCTCTCAGGCCACATGCAGGAACAGGAACATGATATGAAACACAGCTAAGCTCATAATGGTTGATTTGGGTTATTATGTCCACCTTAAGTGTCAATATTTACATTTTCACAGAATTTCGTACATAATCAGCCCATTGTGTGTTTGTGTGTGCGTGTGTGTGTGTCAGGAGCTCGGTGCGTCTGATGGTGAGGAAGGTGCAGTACGCTCCGGAGAGCCAGGGCCCCGCTCCGTGTGTGGAGACCACGCGTGAGTTCACCATGTCCGAGCGTCCGCTGCAGGTCAAGGCCAGTCTGGACAAAGAGGTGAGAGCACAACACAAACCAAACCCTGACCAACTCTGTGCCACGGGAACAGAGAGCAAAGTGGACTAAATGTGCAGAAATAAACACGACATTTGCTGCTCCTAAACTGTGTCTGTGTTATAGCCATGGTAATAAAAGTACGGAGCTGGGAATGGAGTTTAGATGATTTATTTAACATGAATGGGCAACAAGTTCGAGGAAGGGGATTGACCAGAAACAAAACAACAAACAAAAACAAACTAAAGGACAGCAGGGACAATGGCTGTAAAACACAACAATCCAAAATTACAGAAAATGCAGACAGGCTTGATAAATTTACATAAACGATTAAAAAATGTAGTTACCTGTGTCGTAAGCAGCACACACAGCTCAGATTTTTAAAACCAGCGTGGCCGCCCCAACACGCAACTGTACATTTTAAAAATACACAATCTCATTCATCCTCACGCACAAACTATTTAAAAAGTCCACCAGTATCTTCGGCAAATTCTGTCTTTCTGCGGCACCCCACGATACCACCCGCTGCATCCCTATATTGTTCGTAGTCGTGTGCAAACTAGGTAAATTTGCAGTTTTCTGATCAAAAAAACAAAATGTACGCTGCCTCCAGTGGTCATTACGATTTCAAGCACTACATGACATCACCTAGAACTGCCCTGATACAAACACCTGTCTGCAGGGGCGGAGTCTGAAGTGTGGACACCTGTTAGACCAGGGGTGTCAAACTCATTTTGGTCCGGGGGCCGAATCCAACCGACATTGATCCAAAGGGGCCGGATCAGAAAACTCATGTCATATAAACCCCAAAAATAACAATAAGTTCAACTATTTGTGCAGAGAAACACAAATCTATTACAGAAATCTTTTTTAATTGATGAACTCTTTTTTTTTTTTTTTTTTACAAAATATTATAATATTATGAACAACCTGAAACTTTAAGAAAAATACAATTTCAACACAATGTTTTAACATGAACTTGTATGTAAATAGGAATAAGTCAATTTTTGTTGCAAAATCCTGCACTCGGCTCCACTTTTCTCATGTTGGACATTTTTCTGATGAGGGTGTCACGGTCAACAGTCAAAACGATCGTCCTTTAAGAGCGTTTGGAAAGAGACAAATCTTCATTTGTGCTGCTCTGGTGGGAGGGGCCACGTACAGAGACGCTGGAGACGCTGCTGTGATAAACACCACAGAAAATTTATAATATTTTAATAAGAAATATAATTAAAATATTTTAGTAGAAAATCAGCCGAGGGCCACATTAAAGGTCTTGGAGGGCCGTATCTGGCCCCCGGGCCGTATGTTTGACACATGTGCGTTAGACCAATCAAACAAACAAAAGTCTGGATTTTTTTTATTAAGGGACGGCGTTAAATCTTAGTAGATGTTGCACAAACAGCTTCTCTTCGCTCTCCTCAGGTCTACTACCACGGAGAGCCCATCAAAGTTCACCTGCAGGTCACCAACAACTCCAGCAAGAACATCAAGAACATCATAGTGTCCGGTAGGTTTTTGTGTCCTGATTCTCTGATCTCTCGTCTGGCTGAGATCTTCTGACCCTAGCCCTGCTCCTCTGGTTGAGATCTTTCTCTGCTGTGCTTTCAGTGGACCAGGTGGCCAACGTGGTGCTCTACTCCAACGACAGCTACACAAAGTCTGTGGACATCGAGGAGTCTGGGTAAGTCCACTCTGAATGGAAGAGCACGTGATCGGTGTGAAATTGGGACTGAACTCTTGCTATTGTACAGAGCGCGGTGTTTTAGTAGCTCTTTAATGTTCTAAATCCATATTTTACCATTTTGGAGCAAACATCAGAGCTTGTGCCCATGAGTAAATTTCTCTCAAGAAAGGTATAATCAGCTCTATACAACTAATGACCACAAGACTTAAACCTTAAAATTAAAATCTGCTTCTGAAACTTGATAAACTGCAAAGTTATGAAAGCTTTTCGCCGAAACGTGCGTTATTAGTTGGCACATAGCTGCTTAACCTCAGCAATTTCTTTGAACTCTTAATATTTGAATTCAAAAGTCTATGGGAAAGCTTCTGAAATTTACTTGTGAGACCAGAGCGAGCAGTTACTGTTGAGCTTGAGATGAAACACGGTCACTGGTTTTGAAAAGGTTTACCACGTCACGCGCCCTCGCACCAGCGCATCGCACCAGGCTTGCAGATTTTTTTCTATTTGTGCTAACCATCGACACCATCGTCATTTGAATATCTTAGTGTTTATATTTGTTGCACTGTCATTCCCTCTGTTATTCATAAGGCAAGGATTCACTTTCTGAGCTGCACAAGGCCGCACTAGCACTGATTCATGATTGGCTGCTGTGGTTTAGGTAGTGACCATTTAAATCAGAGAGAGGCACTTAAAGTTTAAACCAGGTGACACCAAACTTTTTTCTCTGAGGGCCACATTTTCGCTCCTGACTGTGATGGGGGTCGGTTCGGTCGTATAACAGAATTGTACAACCCTGATGATGCAGATTATATTCTTTACTTTCTTTACATATCAGACAAACTGCACGGTCGTTACACTGAACAAGAAAATAAATGGTCGTTCACTGTCGTTTGAAAACTCGTCTCTGTCACCTTTTCATACTTTAACACGAGTCATTTGTTTGTTCTTAACTACAGAACTCTGCATGTGCGTCGACTGTCACTGTTTGATCTCAAGCTTGTCAGGTGATGAAAATTCAGCGGCAAATGTGAATATGTCGTATAATTATTTAAATATAAATACTTCATATAAATGTCATTTTTTAATTGAAAAAAAAAAAAAAATCAACAAAATACAATTATAATTTAAAGAAATAGGCCATGACGACTTTTTAGGGTTGCTTCATAGAGCCAGTTCAAGTGGTGGGGGCAGACTGGACTGAACCAAGAAACCAGGACTGAACCAAGACTAAACCGGGACTAAGCCAGGGCTAAAGCAGGACTAAAACAGGACTAAAGCAGGACTAAACCAGGACTAAACCAGGACTAAAGCAGGACTAAACCAGAACTAAGCCAGGACTGAACCAGGACTAAACCAGGACTGAACCAAGACTAAACCAGGACTAAGACCAGGACTAAACCAGGACTAAAGGCAGGACTAAACCAAGGACTAAACCAGGACTGAACAAGGACTAAAGCAGGACTAAAAGACCAGGGCTAAAGCAGGACTAAAACAGGACTAAACCAGGACTAAACCAGGACTGAACCAAGACTAAACCAGGACTAAATCAGAGCTAAAGCAGGACTGAACCAGGACTGAACCAAGACTAAAGCAAGACAAAACTAAGACTAAACCAGGACTACACCAGGACTGAACAGGGACTGTACCAGGACTAAAGCAGAACTCAACTAGGGTGAAGCCAGGACAAAATTAGGACTAAAGCAGGACTGATCCAAGACTAAACCAGGACTAAACCAGGATTTTAGCAGGACTAAACCAGGACTGAATCAGGTGAGGACTTCATTGGGACTAAATCATGATTCTTTGTGTCTTTTCAAACTGCTGCTCTTCTGTTTTGCTGCTGCAGTGAAGGAGAGGTGAGTTTTACTTCATCTCTCCACTATTTGAATAACACTGACCATTACAATCCTCCAAATTTATTCACATTTATTACTTTTTTACCTTTTTATTTTTATTGCAATCCTAATTTCTTATGTAAAAACTGAAATTATTATAGACAAAAGACATTATCGAACTACTAAATATTCTGGTTTAAATGGTCAATAGAATCAGGAAACTGGAAAAGTTACGCACTAGACCTTTAAATATGATTATTGTGTCCGCGCAGTGAGCTGGAGGAGGAGCTCGTCTTCCAGGAGTTCAAGCGCTCCTACCTGAAGGGCATGCTGGGAGACGACGACGAAGACGAGGAGGGCAACGTGTCCGGAGGAGACGACATGGCGCCCAAAGAGAAGTGACCCGGCGGCGACTCCACAGCACCCAGCACCCAGCACCCGCCCTTATAAAGGACTTCCAGGGTGCTCACCAGTCAGACTAGACCAGTTTTCAATCAGTGAATGCAGTATTAGAGGAAACTAGTCTTTAACGGATACTTCAAGTTTATGTTTAGATTCTTTTCTCAAGTCCAAAGTCATAATTTCCTTTTTTTTTTTAATTATTATTATTTACTTATTTTAAGTTTTCACCACTGTTTTAAAAGTGTTCTCTCAAAAACAGTCAAAAAGTGTGTGCTGCCTCCAGTGGCCACTCCAGTTACACCGTTCGTTATACGTCCAGACCTCGACCCTTCTACTCCTTCACTTTCCCCTTTAGTCCTCAAAACTCCTCTTCCCACTTTCTCACTCTCCCCTTTAGCCGTTTAGTCCTCCAGAACCTGTCCCTCCGATCTCCTCACTCTCCCCCTTTAGTCCTCCAGACCCCGCTCCTTTTCCTCTCTCCTCCCTCTCCCCTTTAGTTCTTTAGTCCTCCAGACCCCACTCCTCTTCCTCGCTCCTCACTCTTCCCTTTAGTCCTCCAGACCCCATTCCTTTTCCTCCCCCGTCACTCTCCCTCTTCCTCGCTCCTCACTCTTCCATTTGGTCCTTCAGACCTCGCTCCTCTTCCTCCCTCCTCACTCTTCCTTTTAGTCCTCCAGGCCCTGTCCAGTTTATCAGCTCTGTTTGAAACGTGTTTGTGGGAGGAGTCAGGTGTTTAGTTCCACTTTAACTCTCCACAAATGTCCCGTGTGTCGCAGATAGAGTTGTTTGTGTATTTATGTGTGTGTTCGACGTACAGTAGATAAACCTGTTGGATGTTTTCGCTGTTGTGGATGTGACAATAAAAGCTACAAAAGATACTTTGTGATGCATTTATTTATTTTTAAGAATTTAAGTCTGGTTTATAGTCCAGTGTAAGACCCCAATCAGCATCACAGGAGCTCTCTGATTGGCTCTCTGTGCATCATGGAGGAGCTCTCTGATTGGCTCTCATGTGTGTGTGGAGCTCTCTGATTGGCTCTCGTGGAGCTCTCTGATTGGCTCTGTGTGGAGCTCTCTGATTGGCTCTCGTGCGTCAAGGAGCTCTCTGATTGTCGTGGAGCTCTCTGATTGGCTTTCGTGTGTCAGGGAGCTCTCTGATTGGCTCTCGTGTGGAGCTCTCTGATTGGCTCTCTGTCGAGGAGCTCTCTGATTGGCTCTCGTGAGTCATGGAGCTCTCTGATTGAGCTCTCTGATTGGCTCATGTGCGTTGAGGAGCTCTCTGATTGGCTCTCATGCAAAATGTGCAGCTTTTACTCTAGTGTAGGACATGCGGTGTGTCCTAGGCCTTGGTAAAAATGTGACAGGTGGGGTCATAAATAAAATCACATAAAAATAAAATGAAATGAAAACACAGAAATGTTTTCAGCAGGGATTTATTCTGAACAAATTCCCAAAAATCATAAAATCAATCATCGTCGGAAGCACCACCAGATCACAGCTTAGGTTTCGTTTCTACGGCTACAGCTTCTCTGATTCACGTATGTACAGCAGCAACTCTAGTCATCTGGACAGGCCTATTCTACACAAGAAACAGTCTCGCTCTCATCAGGAACAGGTCATTCGGGTCATTCAGGTCATTCTGCTTGTTTTTCCTCTAATACAAGGGCTTTGTTTTCACGCTTTGCTTTTTGTCAGGAAGTCAGAGCAGGTTACAGACTGAACTGAACAGCTGCAGGTTACAGACTGAACAGCTGCAGGTTACAGACTGAACAGCTGCAGGTTACAGACTGAACAGCTGCAGGTTACAGACTGAACTGAACAGCTGCAGGTTACAGACTGAATTGAACAGCTGCAGGTTACAGACTGAATAGCTGCAGGTTATAGAGTGAACAGCTGCAGGTTACAGACTGAACTGAACAGCTGCAGGTTACAGACTGAATAGCTGCAGGTTATAGAGTGAACAGCTGCAGGTTACAGACTGAACTGAACAGCTGCAGGTTACAGACTGAACAGCTGCAGGTTACAGACTGAACTGAACAGCTGCAGGTTACAGACTGAACTGAACAGCTGCAGGTTACAGACTGAACAGCTGCAGGTTACAGACTGAACAGCTGCAGGTTACAGACTGAACTGAACAGCTGCAGGTTACAGACTGAACAGCTGCAGGTTACAGACTGAACTGAACAGCTGCAGATTACAGAGTGAACAGCTGCAGGTTACAGACTGAACTGAACAGCTGCAGGTTACAGAGTGACCAGATGCATGAGGGAGCAGGGGGGAGAATCTTAAGTCACATGCTCAGTCCTAAACTGTCCTAAACGTTCTTTTGTGGAATAATCAAGGTGCATCACATTCTTAGACTGACGGACAGACAGACACACGGACACACGGACAGGGGAGTGCGAGGCATGATTTGAGTTGATTTATTTCCACTAAGTAAATAAATATGGACATATTTATTTTGTTTTGTTGCTCAGATGAATCCCTGGATACACGGAATAGTAAATGTAATTCAAATTAATTAATAAGTAGTATTTAAAGTTTAAAAATACAAATGAAACATGGCCATAATAACAGGGAAAATAAATTAAATAATTTATGGTGGTTATGGAAATATGGTTAAAGTGGACCAAATAAAATCCCTTTGTTTACGGAAAGTGCCTTTATGATTGGTCCCTGTATTGTCTCAGCCTGGACATGAGGACTATGGACAGTCCACAGCCCTTGGAGACAAACTGAAATACGTAGATCTAAAACAATATTCCGTGTACCTGCAGAGACTTTAGTTTTATTCAAATTTTTTTGATGTCCAGGGAAATTGTAGACCGGTGACATTTTTATGGTGAGGGAAATCTCGAATCCCGCCGAAGTCACAGGTGTCTGGGGTCAGCAGCCAGCCTGAGAATGTGCTGGTCATCTCCGGGCCAGCGTACATGCCATTATTGTTACTGTCCTTGACCTGCACCCACACCATGTCCTTCGCATCTAGGTGCAACACTATCTCCTGACTCACTGTGTTTGTGTCTGTTTTCTCTGTCATCCTCACAACAGATCCAAAATTATGGAACAAGCCCACTATGAGGTGTCTCTCTTTGACAAGCAGATTAAAGGTGAAGACATAAGTGCCATTGACAGGCGCGATGTAGATACCGATTAAAGGGTTATAGTGACTATGAACATTAGAGATGATCTTGGTGAATCGGACAGGTCTTGAAGGCTCTGGGAATGGCTCGGCCAGCGCAACAGAGAAAGCTGATTGGACAGCGAGTGAGCATGGACCAGGCATCCCCGGAATCCCCATGTCTCCCGGCTCTCCTTTAAAGCCAGTTTCTCCATGAACCCCCTGTGCTCCAACATCCCCCTTCTCCCCCTTCTCTCCTGTCTCTCCTTTCGGCCCGTCTGCTCCGTCCACACCGTCGGGGCAGTCACACGGGCCTGGTGAACCTTTCTCACCTTTCAGCCCATTTAAACCATTTATTCCGTTAAGTCCTGTGTCTCCCTTATCACCTTTGACTCCTGGACCCCCCTTGGAGCCTGTAGAGCCTGGTAAACCACGGGCACCAGCTGGTCCTGGGGGGCCTTGTACACCAGGAGGTCCAATGACAATGTCACAGTGGCAAGAGCCGGGCACACCCTGAGGCCCCAGAGGTCCTGCGGGGCCATCATCTCCATCGTCTCCCTTCTCCCCTGGAAAACAAGCACAAGCCTTCAGACAGTGCACTGGTGTATGACTGTAAATCTGTACTACTGGATCTGAAATATAGTTAGATCTTTGCAGTTTGAATGTTCTTGTCTGAGAATGCACTGATAATTATAGTCGTCCCTCGCTATATCGCAGTTCACCTTTCGCGGTTTCGCTGTTTTGCGGATTTTTTGTGTGTGTGTGTGTGCAATTTTGCATGTCTTTTTTTTTTTTTTTTTTACAGCATATGAAGGCACATTATGTTCCTCCCCCTGCATCCTGATTGGATAAAGGACTGTAGACCATTGTCAATCAATCTCCTCCGTGCCATATCTCCTGTACTTTACAGAATGTGTTCAGCTGCCAAATTCAAATAAATGTTCCATCTCTAGCAGCGTGGTTCTGAAGTGCTGTATGTTTGCAAGTTTTCTCCCCGACAAAACCCACAATGTCGACGAAGAGTTCTGCACGGATGAAGGTTCCTGCGGTCACACCCAAAAGGCAGAGAAAGATGCAAACCATCACACAAAAAGAAACGCTGAAGGAAGGTAGAAGTTACGCTGCTGTGGCAGAGTCCTGCACCGGGTCGGGTCCTGGCAAATAGTTGCTGAAACGGGTGGGTTTTAACATTCTGGAATTTTAAGGGCGGGTCAGGACTAAACCAGGACTAATCTTGGACTTAAGAGAGAGAACACTGAAGCAGGGTGTCTGTAAAGCACAACTGGGTAACGGCCGAGTTTACCTCTGTGAGGTGCGGAGCTGAGCCGGTCCATTCTCATGCGGTCACCTCCAAGCCCGTCCCGACATTGAGTCCCGTTTTAGTCCTAGTTCAGTTCTGGTTTAGTTCTCCTGTTTCAGTCCTGGAATCAGTCCTAGGTTAGTCCTGGGTTAGTCCTGGTTTAATCCTGATTTAGTCTTAGTTTAGTCCATGACGTAGGCAGTGCAAATGTTTGATATAATCTCGGGTTAACGGGCGGGTGTGGTCCTGTACTACGCGGGTGCAGGTCTCCATAAATGGACCCCTGCAGGACTCTGCGCTGTAGGGCTCCATTACGGAATAAATTAATTCTTAGGTTCGTTACATAAAGAAGGGGGAAATAACAAAAGGACAAAAGCAGCAATAAGTTTTAAGAAGAGAAAGTGTCTGAGAAAAGTGTACAAAGTGTGTGCTGAGGGGTTTTACAGCCTTAAAACAGATATAATAATTGTAAAATTTAAAGCTGACTACTTCACCTATCGCAGGTTATTTTTAGAATGTAACCCCGCGATAAACGAGGGACCACTGTATATCGAAATAGTCCATCTCCTTCTGCTACCTGGAAGATGCTGTTGAGTTGTGATTAGTCCTTAGGAGCAGAGGGTGATAATGTTCATACCTTTGAATCCCATTTCGCCCTTGATCCCGGGAAGGCCGATGGGACCCGGCTGGCCCTTTTCTCCCTGGTCTCCTTTCTGACCTGACAAACAAACACACACAGATTCACAGACACAGTACAGAACCAGAAGGACGGAAGTGCACAAAACCAAAGCCATGACCCATGATGATCTTTACTTGACTCTACTTGATCCTGGAGTCTTAATTTCACAATTTTTTTCATAAACCAATATACCTTCACTGCCTCATGCCTAATTGGCTCTTTACTTCCACTCAGATTTCCAAAATAAATATTGGCTCTGGATTAGCTGCCCCAATAGGCTCTATTCACGTCACAAACCAGCAGTGTTGTGCAAGTTCACACTTTTCATGAACTAGTTCAAAGTTCAGTTTGCACATGTTCAAAGTGAACAATTCATGTTCATAGTTCACAATTTTAATTTTGAATTAGTTCAAAGTTCAGTTCATTTTATTTTTAGGTGAGATATGTAAATGAAAGGCTGCACTTATATTTCAAACTGACTTCCAGTTTACAACAACCTTATAACATATAAACTATAAGCACTATAGAGCCACATCAGCCCGTTTGAGATTATAATGTGTATAATGTGCAGCTTTGACACATTTGTCTTACAGAAACGAAACTTAAAACCACATGGCTAATATGCATAAACTGCACTGATGCATCAGCTTCTGTTGGACTAAAGGACATGACTATATGTGTTCTTTCTGTGACAGAGAGATGTCACTGCAACTTTTGGATGAGTAATTTGTAGAATGAAAATGATGAGGGCAGCTCCACTGCACATGCCAAACGCACGTATGTAGCAGCACATCCTGCACACGGAGATTTCCAAAAATGGGATCCATCCTATTTTTTGACGCTCTCCGCGAGCGTAGGTGCGTATCCCCTTGAAAATACACAGAGAGCATGGATCTATTGTTATTGTTTACCATCTGTGCAACGTGCTTCCGGAGCAGTTCTGTGTCGTGTGAAAGAGCTCGGGTCCAGAATGACTGTTCATTAATGTTTTCCCATTGAGAAACGCGGAGGCAGAGCTGCGCCCTCACGAAACCACAGCTGTGCGTCAACGCAAAGGCGGCTGCAGCAGGACGTACACACGCGGCACTGCTCTGTGTTTGTCAATGGGAAAGACGATCAAACTTGACTGGGAGCGTTTAGCCGCTTGTATCAGGTCCACAATGAAACTAAAAAGTGCGAGCAGACCTTGATACGTGACTCATCAGTTGAAAACAAATTCCGATGTTTAATTGAACCCCAACAGTGACGTACGTTGTTCATCTCATATAATTTGAACAAATTCACGTTCAAATTCTTTATTTACAAATGCGCTGCGTTCAGTTCAAAGTTCACTGAAAAATGAACGTGTTCAATGAATGCGTTCTTTTGAACTCGTTCATGCACAACACTGCAAACCAGTAAGACATCTGGAAACCTGCGATGACAACTTCCAGTGTAGTTCCCGACACTGGGCTCGCCGACCGACTGTGATAAAACCCACTGAAGTAAACGTGATCAGCTGTAAAATGAAGACTGTGTACGTATGTGCTGTTTGGAACTATCTTGAATTTGGGCCTCGTCTCTTCTAATCGCTTGTACCCAGTGCGCTCGGAGTTGTGTTTCATTGGCGAAATGATGAAAAGTGAGGTACGGTTGGAATTGTTGATGAGCCGAACATAACGGAACACTGCAATGACATGGAGATGAAGAAAACTGGACCATTTTCTCATTTTTCCATATGTGGCCCTTTAAACCTTTTAATCCGGCCCACTGAACTTGAATAAATAATAATAATAATACAGCTTGTTAATGTTTTACTTTTCCAGCAGTTCCAGCATTTCCCAATAGATGGCGCACTCTAGAAACATCGATCTTTTTGAGGTGCGGCGTTTTATGCTGCATTCATGCGGTGTCGAAAGATCCGACTTGCCATGCTGTTTTTCCGATATGAGGGAGCGTTCATGTGAAATTTCCCGCTGGTAAAGTTATTTTTCTGATCATTTCGACACTGCACGAACGCATCCTGAGAATAGCCACAACAAAATTAACTCCAGGCTTTGATGCGCTGGATAAAAAGAGACACCAACAACACTGATCCCACTGAAATCAAAAGTAAGTTTCTCTGCTGTTATGTAAAAAATTCATTTATGTGTTACATGTCATTTCCGTTAAGGTGTGAATGTACGTTGTCATTATAAACAATGCGCAAAGATGAAATATAACTCGCTCGCAGACTGGCGCGGTGGCGCTGTTCCGTCCTTGTTTTGGTCGTTGGGGACGCACATTGAACAGAAGGAGCAGGACTGTAGATCTGCGTCTCCTCACGTTTTTTAAAGGGCCCATCTCATGCAAAATAACTCTTTTCACATTGTATCTTCTCCACATAAACAAGCACAATTTGGGTTTTGGAACATCCATTACACAATAGTTATGAAATCTTACTGATTTCTTGGAGGCGTCACAGACCAGGAGCTTGGAAATGCCGACTATTGCTCATCCCCTGCCCGTCCTGAGAAAGCACAGGCTCCGCCCTCCAAACGTGACGTAGGCTCTGAGTGAGCCGCCCTTCCTCCGCCATCTCAGGGAGGGAGGGGGAGACAGGTGTGCACCCTGATAGTGGCAGGAATAAACTTTTATTCATCATGGAGATACAGCGCGTTCAGCCGCATGTGTTGGACCTGGAATCGGACGAGGACTTTGAGGAGCACGAAGCTCAAGCACCGCGTCCACATCAGCTGAACATTACTGATTGGTAAAGTATTAATAAACACTAGTAGATCAACTTATTATATCGTGTTCACTGCTGTGTAGAATAATGAGCTTATGCTGTCGCTTTTGTTTAGGTCTTCATGTGGGAATTGTCAGCCAATGCAGGGCGGGGTGGAGCGGGGAGGGGGTCGGGTGCGAAGCTCTTTCTGCTACGTCAAACGTGTCATAGGTGTCGCTGCTGCGTCATCGTTGTAGCAGCTTTACTTCGATGGCAGAAATACGCTGCAATTTGTTTAAAAAAAAAAAAACGCAGAATGAATCTAAAAACCACTTCGGCGACATATACAAGGCTCACACATCACTCTTAGAAGGTAGAAAGCTCTGAAAAGTTGATTTTGCATGAAGTGGGCCCTTTAAATAAAGACAGTGATTAGGAGACTGATGATGAAAATATCCTGAAGTATAACAAAACTTTCAGTGCTTTAAAATAGTAACTGCTAGTAATAAAAAAGCTGTATTTTATTAATTAAATTTTCTGTGTTTTAAAAGTAATTTCAGTAAACAGTAAACACCATGGGACTTGAAAGACAGATATTTTGTTATAATGCTTTGTAATGATTTTCAGTTGAAATTCAAGCACAGGTTTTCTACGTATCCCATGTTATTTTTTTCTCTCCGCTCCATCCATCTGCTCTTGGTCCGGCCTTCCGACAAATTTTAGAACCCTTTGCGGCCCACGAGCCAAAAAGTCTGCCCACCCCTGGCCTATTGTCTTCATTTGACTGGGGCCGAATGTTGTGGGTTACGTCCACTTCTTTATACAGTCTATGAGATTTACACACGCTAGTACTTAAGGAACCTGAACTTGTGAACCTCAACACTGCACAAAAAGACCCATGCCTGGTTAAACACATCTCCAGCTATGTTTACACCATTGGTTGATTAAACTAAATACAGTATTCCATTAACTAGATGTTTTCCAAATAAAAATACCACATTTTCTACTTGGAGGAGATGTCTTCCACTAATGTGCTCGGCCTCCCTACTTAGCAGAAGAGTGAAGAGTAAATATGAGGACTTACCTTTGGCCCCAAGAGCACCCGTAAATCCCCGAGGTCCTCTGAAGCCATTTAGGCCTCTCCTGCCTGGACTGCCCGGAAACCCTGAACACAAGACAGGTGAGGAAAGGTGAGTATTAAAATTTTGCATCTATGTCACAAAACTTGGTGTTTATGTCGCCACATTGGAGATCAAACTATCCATCTGGACCAACGTGTAGTATTTGTGTGCGATAAAATTTGAACTGAATAACAATGGTTTTGACCCGTGTTGCTACTGGACGTTCTGTCTTTCTATCGGATCCCGGCTGATAAAGATCGCAGACAGAGGAGGAGAGCGACACTGAGTAGAATTGTCTGTCAACATTTCATTTCTGGTGAGGGACCATCTCCACACAAACGAAGAAGGGATTTACAGTAAAAAATGAAATGATCAATACCAAAAGTATTTTTCTCGCCGGTGTACTGGCACAGAACCCACCCCCTGTCCTCACTTTCGGCGGCAAGGAATCCCCCCACCCCGGCCCTCTGTTTCCACCGTCCCGGGGTCGCTCCGGCTCTGATTTTGACCCCCGTTCTACTTCCCCTGGCTGTTATCAGGAACAGATGTGATGTTTGGTGATCAACAAAGATCTGAGGCATCCTGCTACAAAATATTTATCTGCTTCTAACCCCGTGTAGCTTTTCAGTTCTTGGTTGGTGTAGGACGACGTCGAATGAATGAAGTAGTTGTAAATATCTGGATACTAAAGGTCGGGCACAGAGCGAGCGTTGATTAGACTGACAAACGCTCCATTGGAATCAGATCGGGATCTATTCCACAACCAGGAGGAAGACTTCAGCTATATTCCTTTCTAATGACGGCTGATCTAACGAGCTGGCGATTTTGGACAGTTTTATGTCGTTTGCGCTGTTCAAAGTCGCCATGATTATATTGAAATCAACTGAATAATCCCAGTCTTGACCTCCAGTACGGTCGCCAGAACATTAAATCACGCGACTGCCACGTCACACACAAATCCTTAATAGATAAGGACAGGTGAACTGTAATTTTGTGCAATACAAAAATAAACTGAAGTGAATTGCTGAGTCTGTACAGCCACATGGTTTATTAGTCCAATGAGATTCATTTGGTCTTCCGATATTCTATGTTATTAGGTTCTTTTTTTCAGACCTAGAGTGTTATTTCATACCTGACAGTTTCGACTGCTCACTATGCTCAGGTATGAAATAACACTCTAGGTCTGAAAAAAAAAGAACCTAATAACACACATGGTTTATTATCGTTGACTTTCCTAAGATTTCATGTCGTTTTCATGAATTCATGGATAAGAACATAAATAATATTAACAAATTAACATGCATAAAAGTGAAATTCGTCATTTGTATTTGAAAACATTTGTTAAAAGATTCTAAAAGGAGACAATCTATATATCTTGTATTTGGTAACTTTCCATCTCTGAGTGTTAGTGATGGGGTGTTCGGCTCTTCTTTTATTTGGACCTGTTTATTTCAAAGAGCCATTTATGATTTGTTCATATTACAGAAGCCAAGGTGAGAAGTAATTTTATCTACAAACTCATGACCCTGACTCAGACGGGTTTAAAATGGTTCAAAGTGAGAGTAGAGTGTGTTTACCCACTGAAATGATGCTAAATAAAATGTAAATAAAACTATCAGTATAAAAAAGAAAAAGTTCTTGTCCTTTTAAGTGTGTGAGTGTGGTGTGCACTTGCCCGAAGGGCCCCGGTCCCCACGCTCTCCCTTGGGGCCCGTGGTGGACTTGCAGTGGGAGCAGAGGCAGAAGAAGGGGATCTGGTCGATGGAGATGGGTTCTGAAGAGCTGAGGATCACGTCACAGATGGAGGTGTCAGGGAACATGACGTCAGACAGGGGGATCCCGGTGTTCTCAGCCATGACCGGCAGCAGGCTCCTACCTAAGAAGTTACTGCCCTGGATCCCCTTCCCCAGCCCTTTGTTTGAGAAGTTACCACCGTTATTGAACATTTTGGTGTTGTCCGTGGCATTTTGGTTGGCTTCAGGCGGGTTATATAACATGGACGTACTGAGCACGCTCATTAACACCGGCCCCAGCAGCCTCAGCAACATCTGTGACAAACAGACAAAAACAGACCCATCAGGCTCCAGCATGTCCTGTTCACAAACCCCACTGCCCAGTCTGCACCAATTACCCCATCTACATCAATCATGGCTCCTGATAACAAGGAAAAACACATGAGCTAATATCCCTCTAGTCACACACAAAAAAGTAAATAAATAAATAAAATAAATAATCTAATTTCAAACTAACTAACATAAACTACTGTATAATTACATTCTTTTAAAGGGCTCATATTCCGCTGTTTTCTGATGTTTTTTATACTGACATTTCCTCATCACAAACATACCTGCAGTTTTATTTTGTTTCATTCACACATGTTTCACACAAACCCTGTATATTACGGTTGAGCTCTTTTCTCAGATTGAAAACGCTGTTCCACTTTGTGATGTCACTGAAGCTACATCTTATTGTTTTAGCCGCGTTGAAACTTCTTACTTCTTGGTGCCTCAACAGATGCTGGAGACTTTCTGCGGTAATTTTAACTTAACATATGGTTATTCTAATACTAGTACTGTTGAGTTGTAAAGCTCAGTTGAGGCTATACCTGTAAACTGTGACATCACAAGGTGGAACAGAGCATTTTGAGCTTTGGCGATGCACACAGTCTAATAATACAGGATTATTCAAACATTTGTAAATGAAACAAAACACAACAGGTATGTTTTTTTTACAGTGGTGGAAGAAATCTAAAAAATCTACTTGACAAAAATATTAAAGCTCCAGTTTTAGAATGTACTGAGCCAAACTGCGCCCACCGCCATCACTCACGCACACACCACATTCATACTAGACAATGTGGGTGAAGTGCCTTGCCTAAAGACACAAGAACAGTTTTTGCGCCTGGTGCCCTACTGTTGCACCTGATTTTCCCAGGTCTCCCATCCAAGTACAAACCAGTTCAGGCTTTACTTAGATTCTGAGAGGTCAAACAACTAAATCAATTGTTTCTTTTAGCTGTTTTTATTTTTATTTGTATATTTTCGTTTGGTGAAATTATGAACTTAAAACCCCTCAGCCTTCTCAAATATACTTTTACCTTTCAGTCCAGTTCAAAAATGTAGTGGAGTAGAAAGTACAGGCGTCTTCTTTCAGTGTATGTAGTGTAGTAAAAGTGAAAATTTTGCGTTTAAATCGACTTAAGTAAAGCGCCGGGGTCTCATTTATAAAAGTTAACGTAAAAAAGTAAGTGAGTACGTACAGACAAATGTCCGCAAACTTTCCTCAGACTTCTGTCTCATCTCTGACAACCCACACAAACTTCAGACGTTTTGGACCAGGCCACTCATGTCGGCGTTAAGTTTTCTTTTTGTAGATCACAAACCTTTAAGCTTCCGGACTAAATGTTCCCAGAGCGCCGCGGCCTGTCTCTGATGACTGTATTGTTGTTGAGGTTTTCGTGATGGTCCACTCCTTCACGAACGGCCCGACCTCGTTTTGCTCGAAGATCGTTTACAGTGTATTGTTTTGTCCGGACGAGGTTTGGTTCAATCACTCTTTACAGTGCCTTTGTCAACTCACAAGGGGCTTCACAATGTAAGACAATCTGTGGGCGAAGTCTATGCCCTCAATAACAACATCTCCCTCTGCTTTTCACGGGTTCGATACAAAAGACGCATTAGTTTGGTGGCAACATGTTGAGAAGAAATATGGAATTAACATTAAAGCGAACTTGCTTTTGTTTACAACTCGCCCAAGACAAAACACACTCTTTTCAAAGTCAGTTTTGGAAAGTCGGTATTCCAACTTCTCGCAAAGACTTCGATTGATTCCTTCGATTTATTCCAGCGCACAACTACACTCAAAAATCTTTCTTCGTAAACTCCGACAATCAAAGAATTTCAGATGGTTTTGATCAGTTGTAATCGAAGTATTATGAAATGCATGTACACATCTATATTTACATTTTGGTTCTAATTGTCGCGCTCGATCTGGTTGGTCGGAAACTCACCTTGGTGCCGTGCGTCTGAGCTCCAGTCCCGTGCGAATGAATGAATAGCTTCGCCGTTTTCGCAGACCTTTTATAGACCTCGCCCAGATCTTGTCCTGGTTTCTGCTCGGTTTCTTTCCCCAGACAAAGAGGAGCAGATCAGGTGGGACGGTGCTCTTTGTGCTCCACCAGCGCAGCGCCTGACCCGAGTCTATCCTTACATCTCTGAGCCCATCTCTCTCCACCATCTCAAAATCAGAGAAAGTTCATGTGACCGGGCCAAGTTCAAGTTTGTTCTGTCCATTGCTCAACACTTCTCCAGTCAGTAGACCAGAGGTACACATATTTACTCAAGTATAATCAGTGTTGGGGAGTAACAGATTACATGTACCGGAGTTATGTAATCAGAGTACAAATTAAGAGTAACTGTATTCAGTTTTTTTTTTTTTTTTTTTTTTCTCAGTAATTCCACTCATTGCCGGGCACTAAACCAGGTCTAAAACCAGGTCTAAAACCAGGTCTAAACTAGGTCTAAACCAGGACTAAACAAGGTCTAAACCAGGACTAAACCAGGACTAAACCAGGTCCAAACCAGATCTAAACCAGGACTAAACCAGGTCTAAACCAGGACTAAACCAGGACTAAACCAGGTCCAAACCAGATCTAAACCAGGTCTAAACCAGGTCTAAACCAGGACTAAACCAGGACTAAGCCAGGTCTAAACCAGGACTAAACCAGGACTAAACCAGGTCTAAAACCAGGTCTAAACCAGGTCTAAACCAGGGGAGTCTAAACCAGGTCTAAACCAGGACTAAACCAGGACTAAACCAGGTCTAAACCAGGTCTAAACCAGGTCTAAACCAGATCTAAACCAGGTCTAAACCAGGACTAAACCAGGAGTGAACCAGGACTAAACCAAGACTAAACCAGGACTAAATCATGCTGCACGGACCATGTCTCCTCCTCTTCTGTAAATAACATTTTTATTACGGTTCAGTAAAGTTTGGGCTTTTTATTTTCTTTTAGCAGATAAAACATCTTATGTGAAGATTTCCTCATCTTTGCTTCTCTACAGCAAATCAAGTAATCACAAGTATTCAGATTATATTACTCACTTTAAGTAATTTAATAGATTACATTACAAACTACATTTTGGGGTATGTAATCTGTAATCTGTAGGGGAATACATTTTAAAAGTCACCTTCCCAACACTGATTGTTATTACTACATTGTGCTTCTTGGAGTAATTTTTAGTCTTATATTTTAATATATCGTACAGTGTAACTCAAGAGTGTAGGTTTGCTCAGGGACGGTGAGGACATGTCACAACCAACATTTGGGGAAGACAAAATAGTCTCTACCAATACGTTTTAGTTCACATTTACTTTATTGGTAAATTAGTTCTGAGATGTGTTCAGTGATATGACGACTGCTGCTGTTTCATTGGCTGCAACAGAGTGATGTCATTTGTGGAGCCAGGAGCCTAAACTGGGGAAGCGGCAGGACAGGGCCGCACCTGAACATGTCGTCTTGAGCAGGCGTGAGTGAAGACGCCGCACCAAACTTTGAAAAACTTCTCAAAAGGAACTTACTCGGCTTCATCTTCAATTAAACTCGTCTTATCATGAGTCGCCGCGGAAAAAGAGCGACTATCACCACAAGTGCACCTCCCAAACAAACGGAGCCCTACTCGTGCCGGACTCTACTGACAATATTCCGTGGAAAAATGTACGGACATGACCTCACAAATATCTCACCACCGACAAGCAAAGGGAAATCTGCTACAAACTTCTACATCGCTGTTATCTGCTAAAGAATCATCTTAGAAGGACAATGGACACAAACTGAAAAATGAAACCACCTCCCACTTATTTTGGACCTGCCCAGACTCTGTGTGTTTTTGGAAAGAATTAATAAAACATAAACGCAACTTCTTCTCCCATTTGACCCTTTCTTATAAAGACGTGCTGTTTGGTTTTTGCAGTATATTATATAATATTATATAATTCATCAGCTGGTTTCATGGGGGGGGGGGGGGGCGCTTCCTCTTCTCACCATGAGTCTACAAGAGACAAAAGTGTATGTTGATAATATGAAATGATGAACATTTGTGTTTCTCGCAGCATTTCTTTAGATATGATGTCTCACTTTTGGGCCCGGTCAAGTAGAAGTAAACAACAAGGCTAAAAATTCAAGTTAATGCATCTGATATAAAAATGTATTGAACAGATACATATGTACTCTAGTTTATGAAACTGTTTACCTTTTTTCTGTATCATTTTTGGTTCTAAAGTTACATACGTTTTAAACAGACCATGTATGAAACATGGAACAAAAATTATTTCCCAAATTTCAAAGACCCAAAAATCATGTAAATAAATGGATGTATTTCATCATATCTTGTGTTATTCCATCTTTGAACTGTTGGAACATGAATTTTTTTTTTTATGTATTTAAAATGATAAAAATTTGCTTGGAAGGACTGACATATTTTATAGAAATATTTTCCTTTCATTTTGAAGTAATATTAAAGTGTTTGGAAGAAAAAAGTTGACAAATGATGTAAAATCCTGCACCTTCTACTTGTTTGCACAATTTTCCCTCTGTTACTTTTCCCTCCGTTACCATGAACTTTCTTAATAAAAAATCTCATGACTCAAAAAGTAAGAGGTTTTTCAACCTAATCTTGTACCATATGGTAGAAAACTATATGAAGCAAATATTCAAACCAGTTTGTTAAGGATATGTAAGTGAGAACCAAGAGTTATCACTGTTTGGATTTATTGCCCAAAAAGTGCTGCATATTTCATTCCCTCCGTTACTAAGTAACTAAGAGTTTTTAAATTTTTTGTCCACAACTTGAAAGAATATCACAGGTTTAACTTGACCCTGTTGGAGTGTAACTCTTTCCTACATTCTGATACTTTACTTATTTCAATAGTCCCTCTAGTTTCTGAATAAGAGACATTTGAATGTCAAGAATCTGCCCCTGTTTCCCTCCATTACTGCTTGACTGGACCCTTTTGTATCTATTCATCGAAAATATCAGATTTTGTGTGTCATGCAGTGTCTATAAAAGTGTGTTAGGGGAGTCAGTGTTTCAGATTCTTGCAGATAAAACCTGAAACAGTTTTCCTGAACATGTGAGACAGACTCTACTTTGACGCTATTAAATCCAGGCTCAAAACGGTTCTGTTTAGCTGCAAATGACTGAATGGTTTTCATTTTTCATTCCTCACTCTTCTCTCTAATTTAATCTCTCTCTCTTTTAATTTTATGATGATTATTTATGTTTTGATTTGTTTTTATTATGGTTTTAATGTATTTCTTATTCTGTAAAGCACTTTGAATTACTTAGTGTATGAATTGTGCAATACAAATAAACTTGCCTTGCTTTGTTGTGTAACTTTTCTGGTGGAGGGTCCGCTACCTGCTGGTCTCCACGGACACGTGATCGCGACATTGTGTCACGATGGTGTATAGGTAAGTGAAAGTAAGGACATCCTGAGGGCAATTCTGGGGCAATGCTGTGTGGAGTTGGCATCTTCTCCCTGTTCCTGTGTAGGTTTCTTCCTGGTGCTCTGGTTTCCCCAAGTATTAAAACAATAGCGTGTCCTCTGGGGCCAGAAGATATTTAATCCCTGCAGGACTATTCTGGTTAAATAAAGGTAAATAAACACTGTACATAGATATGCTTTGTCTGGAATGTTCCACAGTATGATAATGAACATGTCTTTCCCAGTGAAGGATACACCAGTCGGCTGAATAACAGTAACCACGCTGGCGACACCTAGTTTCATTTCTCTCCAGCGACTACGTCAGAAATTGGAATACACTAAGTTTGCGCACCGGCCAATTAGTGAAGAGCTGTGAGGCCATGATTTCAAATTCAAGTGCCTGTCTGGGTCCCTTTTGTGGTCCAACACAACAGTAAACAAAGCATTAACTTCTTGGGTTCTTTTTAAAGACAATACAGTAAGTGTATTTACCTTGTTGACATGTTTTGGCTGCTGCTGCAAGCCATCTTCAGAACTGTCATCGATGTTGGAAATCAGGAAACGAGGCACGGACAGCATTAACCGTGATGACGGCGCGTTCCTCCTTTCACACACCTGGGACACCCTCCTCCAGAAAACATCGGGCAACAGGAGACGTGGTCAGTCTGAGCGACCTGTCAGCTCCATCAGGCTGACCACGCCTACAGGAAGTAACAACAGCAGATATACGAGACGTCACTGGGGACAGTTCTGAAGATGCAGCAGCAGCAGCCGAAACATGTCAACAAAGTAAATACACTTTACTGTATGGTCTTTAAAAAGAACCCAAAAAGTTAAAGTACATAAGAAGACAAAATGAACATCTTTGGTTTAGTAAACAAAGTGGTCGAGATGGATGTAGACGAAGACAGACATTCTGTGTTGGCAACGATTCTCGAGATTGAGGATTTAAAGCCGGAACAAAGAGAATGTTTGGTGAATTTTATCAAGGGGAAAGACATTATTGTCCTTTTTCCTACAGGGTTTGGCCCATTACATACGTCACGACCAAATAGCAGCGATTGGTTAAATAAAATAAAAAAGTACCCGCCTACCGTCGAACGAATCCTAATGCTGCAAGGTTAGACAGTTTCCACGAAGTGAAACCGGCTGCTGAATCAGGCTAGAGTAACAGGTCAGATCTGTGGAAAGTCAGGGTAGTTTTAAATGCTATACTGTCGAACATTTCAGATAAAGTAATAATATCTCAGTGGAGACAAGTAGGTGGCAGATCAGAAAAGTTAGATGGTGCACCTAAAATGTTTCCAATTACATTCATTTCTCAATCAGGCAGAGCATTTCTCAGTTACTCAATTGCACTTCAGTTGCTGTTTACTCAAATCCTGTATTTGTAGGCCAACTTTGACTTGAGTCAGTTTGACGTAACAGAACTCCCACTTGGGAACATTTTGGCACATTTCTGCCACATCAGCAGCAGACCAACATAGAAACATCTCTGCAGATTATCTGACAGATAACACCCACAACAATTCAGCATGGTACTAGATATGTATCATACAATGCGTAGCACTTACTAAATTACACAGATTCCCATATAGATTTCTTAATGATCCATGCATTTATTCTCAAATCACAGCACATAAACTTCCAGAACAGTAGGCTCATGTGTCAGCTACCCTACTTCCATCTGGTTTGAACAACTCACGGGGGAGGGCATCGGCACTGGCAGCTCCACAGATCAGGCTGTTCACGACCAGAACCAGTAGTGGAAGGAAAATACCTCCTCACCTCTTCTCTTAAAACCACATCAGTGTTTAAGTGTTTCTACTCCACTATAAGAACTCAACCTACAAAAGAAAAAGCTCAGCGGAAAGTCAACAGACAGAGGGCGTTGGTTATTGACCAATGACTCTTTCACTGTTTGATTTCTGTTTGTTAAATCATCTCTCTTGTGCAGCCTGAGGCTGTTGCTGTGATTTTGGATAAAAGAAAAATACACTGAATTGCTTGTCATGTCAGTGTATCTCTTTATATTTAGACAGTTATTTATTTACTTTGAATTTAGCCATGAGGACAACGTCATCTGCAAACAACAGAGGTGAGATCCTGTTGTACCCCCCAGCCCCTCATGTCTGAAGAACAGAACCAGTGGGTGACAAAGGGCAGTCCTAACCCGAGTTTTCATCATAGATGCAGAACACAAACGTGTGCTTTGTGGATCTAGAGAAAGTAAGTTTTTAGTGATATAGCCTTTTTCACAGACATATGTCACAAAGACGCTTTACAGATCATTATTCATTAACTCCATACCAGGTGGTGGTAAGCAGCCACTGTAGCCACAGCTGCCCTGGGGCAGACAGAAGCTGACAGAAGCGAGGCTGCCAAACTGCACCATCGGTCCCTCTGACCACCACCATCACTCAGGCGCACACAACACTTTCGCCAATGTGGGTGAAGTGCCTTGCCTAAGGACACAATGACAATTTTTGCGACTGGTGCCCCACTGTGACACCTGATGTCCCCAGTGTCCTCCGTCCAAGTACTAACCAGGCCCAGCCTTGCTTAGCTTCTGAGATCTGACGGGATCAGGCTTTGACAAGCTGGTATGGCCAGAGAGCAGTCTACATGTCCCTCGTGTCCTGTGTGGGGGCTCAGGGAGTATAGAGTCCAAGGCCCTTGGCTTCTTGTACCTGCTCCTCCACGTGGGGAGGAACCAGCTGAGGGGAGGGCATCTGTTCTGGTTGAATGCTGGACACCTGTTTTAGGAGGTGGGACATGCTCGGCTGGCCTGGGAGTCCACCCGGAGGAGCTGGTATGGGTGGACACCCAAATCTGGGAGTCTCTGCTTAGACTGCTGCCTCCATGACCCAGCCTCAGATCAAGCAGAAGAAAGTACAGGAGTGAGAGTGATGATGTGTTCAGATGTTCAGATAATGGGCGGAGCTCCTGACACTCAGATCCTGTGAGCTTTAGCCCGTAACTCAAACCTGAGCCATGTGACGTCTTTGTGTGGGAATTACATCTGAGTCACCCAATCCAAGAGATAATCCTATCACAGATCTATACACGGATCATCCAGACTGGCTCCCATCATGATGATACATGTTAAACTAAAAACATTTACTACAGATTACTCCAGAAGCAATTTACAGTCATACTGGTTCCTTCAAAACATCTTTAAGTGGTAGTTTCCTGTTTTCAGTGTGTGTGTGGTCTCACCCTTTAGCTCGAGGCCATGTTCCATACATCTCATTGTCTGGGTCAAAGAGCTCATTTGTCTTGTATAAATAAGAGCTTTGGTGGAGTTGTAAAGAAGGGGCTCCCCCGATCCACGAGTGTTCCTGCCTCTGTGTGAGATGCTTGTCCCAGGCAGGTGAACCCTGGGCAGTGAGCAGCCCTGGCACCTGCATGGTCAGGTGTGTGTCTGTGATCTCAGCTTCTGTCATTTAATAGTTTGGACAGTGTTTGACCGGTGTGTAGAAGAGTAAACATGGCTGGATGTTGGTTGATCTCCAGTGTAAAATGTGGAGTTTGATTCTGTCATGTCTTCATCCTCACAACCAAAGCTACTGTGTGTGAGTAGCTGTTACTTTGATACATCATAGTATAAATTCAAGATATTTGAGTCTATACTGGTAGATTCTAGCTCTCTTTGTTCCCTGCTCATTGTTTTGTATCCATAAAGCACTGGATTAGTATGTGGGAGGGGGTTCAGATGGTTTCACAAGGTGCAGAAAATGCTGTAGAGACACAACATTTACATGTTCTATGCACTAGTGCTGGAAATACAAGGCTGTTTTATATAGGACTAAAGCTTTATCAGAGCGAGTGGACACGAGCCACCCTGTGGGCTCCAGAGGGGACACACCTCCTGTGAATGGACCTCACTCTGGTGTTTGTGCTGTATCCATAGTGAAACAGTCAACAGCATTAGTGCGAAAAGCAGAAGCCACATGTGACTCGTTGAGCTAAAGTCCAGGATTAGTGAGAGTTTAGTCCTGTTCCCATCACAATGATCATGTTCTATCAAAGAGTCTCAGGAGAACTGTAGACAGGTAGCCCCCTCCCACCCCTCTGTCCCACTGCTCTGTGTGTGTGTGTGTGTGTGTGTGTGTGGAAACCAGGACACGTATTAAGGGCAACGCATTCACAGCCCAGCGCTTTTGTGGCTGCTCCGGTGCTCCTTTGTGCAGTGTTACTTGTTTGCACTTCTCGGTATAAAAGCTGGATATGGGCCATAAAGACGAGCGTCTCTGGTGTCAGGAGCAGCAGAACAGGGAGTGTGCTTTACACAAACACCACAACACAATAATAATAATAATGCATCAGTTTTATATAGCACTGTTCTGGGTACTGAGAGACGCTTTACAGATCATTTTTCATTCACTCTGCACTCGGTGGTGGTGAGCTGCTTTTGTGGCCACAGCTGCCCTGGGGCCATAGTACTGATCTGTACCATTGTCCCCTCCGACCACCACACCACGTTCACACTAAGCAATGTGGGTGAAGTGCCTTGCCCAAGGACACAACAACAGTTTTTGCAACTGGCGCCCCACCTGATTTTCCCAGTGGTCTCCCATCCAAGTGCTGACCAGGACCGGCCTCGGTCAGCTTCTGAGATCTGACAGGATCAGGCCTTGACCACAAACACAACAGCAGCACAACATAAAAACTCAAACACAACGCAACAACACACAAACACAAGAGCAACACAAGACAACACAAAACAACTGTATCCACTTTGTCTTCTCTGTGTCCTCTCTGTCCCCAGTGTCTACTCTGTTTCCTCTGTGTGTGTTCAGTTTTTATCTTTTTTTATTATTTTCCGGACTTTTTGACACTTGATATCCACTGAAATGAAATATCTTTTATTTCCTTCCACGTGTTATGTGACTATTATTTTTATTTATATGGTCATTTTCTCGCTTTTTAAAAGACAGACAGAGACCCAGACTCACCTGCGCAGACAGACCCACACTCACCTGCGCAGACAGACCCACACTCACCTGCGCAGACAGACCCACACTCACCTGCGCAGACACAGACCCAGACTCACCTGCGCAGACAGACCCAGACTCACCTGCGCAGACAGACCCAGACTCACCTGCGCAGACTCAGACTCACCTGCGCAGACAGACCCACACTCACCTGCGCAGACAGACTCAGACTCACCTGCGCAGACAGACCCACACTCACCTGCGCAGACAGACCCAGACTCACCTGCGCAGACAGACCCACACTCACCTGCGCACACAGACCCAGACTCACCTGCGCACACAGACCCAGACTCACCTGCGCAGACAGACTCAGACTCACCTGCGCAGACAGACTCAGACTCACCTGCGCAGACAGACTCAGACTCACCTGCGCAGAAAGAAGGGAAGAGCTGCATGTCGAGAGAGATGAGCCACTCTAAAGTGAGAGAGAGGAGCTGTTGTAGACAGAGAGGAGCTGCTCCAGAGTGACAGAGAGTTTATGTTTGGTTTTGTTTGTTTATTTATATATCGCTTTTCACAGACATATGACACACAGACGATTTACAGAGCATTATTCATTCACTCCACACCCGCTGGTGGTAAAATACTACTGTAGCCACAGCTGCAGACTGACGGAAGTGCGGCTGCCAAACCACAATCACTCACATACACATCACTTACATAGTAGACAATGTGGTTGTAGTGCCTTGCCTAAGAACCACAGACTGTATAAAAGAAGTGGACTAAGTGAGTGTGATGTCAACCATAACGTTCAGCACCGCTTAAATGAGGCTCAAGATGTTCACGGTTACAGGAGCGAATCTGAAACCAGGATTTAATTTAATGAAAAAAAAAATCTGGATCATGTGTCGTGGGTTAATACGAACATTTGAAGACCAAAATGACGAGGCTCAATGCAGCAGGTACAGAGAGGAGCCACAATATTCCAGTGTAAGTCAGTTGGAGCCAGAGTCAGAAGGAGCCAGAAGCGCCTCCTGACGAACTTGCTATTTGACTTGCGGCGTCCACTCATATCCACTCAGATATACAGTGTACGCTAAGGACACAATAACAGTTTTTTTTACCACTGGGGCCCCCCTGTGGCACCTGGAATTCCCAGTGGTCTCCCGTCCAAGTCCTAACCAGGCCCGACCCCTCTGAGCTTATGAGATCTGATGAGATCAGTCTTTGACAATCCGGTATGGCCACCAGCAGAGAGAGAAGAGCCGCTCCAGAGAGAGAGATTTACTGTGGTCCAGGATAAAACTGTTGGGTTCACACGGGCCCAAGCACAGCGCTCTCTAGTGTCAGTGTGAAAACTGCACGAGCTACATGAGCGCTTGGTAAAAACAAATCCAGTCCACTTTATTTTTATAGCACATTTCATAAGCTAAAACTGTTTCCAAAGTGCTGCACTTTGAAAAAAAATACAAATCTACAATTTAATACAGTAAAAAACATAATAAAAATAACATTTTTTTTTTAAAACTATGAATTAACAGGCCCAAAATAGGGGCTATGGAACCATATGATCAAAATGGGTGCATTTCTGGTCCATTTTATGTCCACTCTGGGTTCACTTTGTCTCCTGAGCACAAATCATCTGTCAGTTTCAGTTTTTTGGCACTTTTACTGATATGGTTTTATTATTTGGGGGTAAATTTTCCAACCACTGATGGAGCCTTTGCCGCCTCCACAGTGACCAGTGAGCTGCCCTGTTGTGGACACTCTTGGACAGACCGTGGACAGACTGTGGACTCAGAGTAAACAGTGCAGTCAGTCATTAACATCTGCGTGGACACAAACCTCAGCGACGGCGGACAAGTCTGCGCTCTTCTGTCTTTCTGCGTCTCAGTGAGTACCCCTCATGTCCCCGCGCTAGGGACACTTTACCGGCTCTCAGTTTTGTCCACATAAGATTAGCTCGGTGTGAGAGGTCAAAGGTCTTGGGATCACACAGGGACTCTGCTGTTGTCTGCTCCACCGTCACTGATCAATACTTCAGAAAATAGGCCACACACAGGCTCTGTCTACAGTGTTGAAAATACGTGAAATAAAGTGCAGCGCTGTGGTTCAGAGACACACTTATATGTTTCAGGTTTTGTTTGATTTGGACTTTCTGTTCGATGTTCTAACGTTCCGTTTTGTGGAGCCCTGTGAGGCGACTGCTGTTGTGATTTTAGGACAAAAAAAATACACTGAACTGAATAAAAGGAAAAAGGTAACACACTTTCATAACTGTCACTATCAAGTGGCCAGCCCCCTGTCAAAGTCTGATCTCGTCAGATCTCAGAAGCTCAGTGGGGCCGGGGCTGGTCAGTACTTCAGTGGGAGACTGCTGGGAATACCAGGTGCCACAGAGGGACACCAGTGACAAAAACATTGTATCTGTTGTGATGGAAATTTATACTGTGGAAAGAGTCTTTTTGTGTAAATGAATGTAATTTCTACCTTAGACCAGAGCATCATTAACATGTGTAAAGGCTCAGCAGACACAACTGTCTCCACTCAGGAAGCCCTTTATTGTCTTAGCTGTACTCAAATGTATGTTGTAGTTGATTGTGTGTAGCTGATTAGCACAAGCGTGTGAAACAATCACTCTGCTTTGATATGTATGTAACTTGTATTTTCTGTATAAATACTCAGAGCTCAAATGCTCTGGGGGCAGAGACTCAGAGCTGAGATGCTCAGAGGGGTAAATGTGGAAGAGACCTGCTGCTGGAGGAGAGGCTGTTGGTTTCTGACCAGGGCAGGACTAGGTACATATCTGCTGTAACAACAAGAATAAACCTTGGTCTGTATTCCAAAACCTCACCGGGCTTCGCAAATGGATTCATTATTTATCATCAAGAGATATAGAATTTTTTCAGTGTCCTTAGGCAAGATATTTCACCCACATTGCCTAGTATGAAAGTGGTGTGTGTGAGTGTCTGAGGTGGCCGGAGCACAGACTGGTAGCCTTACTTCCATCAGTCTGCCCCAGCTTGGCTACAAGAGCAGCTATCGTCACACTGTGGGTGTGGAATGAATGAAAAATGCTCTAAACTGTAAGTGACTTTGAGTGTCTGGAAAAGTGCTATATAAGACTAATGCATTATTATTATTAATATTATTATCATTATTATTATTATTATTATATTATTAGTAGTAGTAGTAGTAGTAGTAGTAGTAGTAGTAGTAGTAGTAGTAGTAGTAGTAGTAGTAGTAGTAGTAGTATTTCATATGTTTAAGGTTTCACTTAAAAATGTGGTGAAAAACAAAATGAGTTTATTTGAAACAGTTTGCAGAGGTGCATAGTTGTTCCTCTCTGACCTTATGCATTCAGATCATCCTAATTATTCACCAAGATGAGTTTATTTAGAAGTGCTTTTCACAGCTCTCACAGCCCAGAGCAGGGTTTTGCCATGACGGCAAAGCATGAACTAGCATGTTAACAATGCACTTCCTGATTATCAGACAATAAGGCAATTAGATACAGACCTTAAAAGCTGCTTGTGCAACACAATACAGCTGACGCCACCAGACCAAGTTACAGGTCAGATGTGTCTTTTATGCACTGGATCAGTCCCTAGAAAATGAGCTCTGTAATCACCAGCTCCATCCTTCAGAGCCTCATCTGTGTCCTGAGGCAAGACGCAGCTCTGTTTCTATTGTTCAGTGTCCCTGTGTGTGTTTACAAAGGACTATGTTTAAAATCCATAAACATGACCTGAGTCCCATTATAAGACATAAACATACCATTGCCCAATACAGCTGTTTTGCCGTTTACTCCACTGGGGCCCAGCAGTGAGAGCAGAGAACTGGTCTGACACTCCTTCCAGTTCATAAAGCGCTATAATGCAGTGCAACCTAGTACCACTATTGCTCTTTCCCAGATGTTCTACAATGTCTGAAGATATGAGAATTACAACATAAATATGCCACTAACTTAAGTTTTATTTTATCTTCTTAAGATGATTACACAATCAGAAAGCCAAATGAGAGAGAACATGCAAACTCCTCCATGCCAAACTGTGATTATTTATTTTGCAGTTCAAAAATTGTTTTGACTGGCTGCTGTGGCGTGATGTCCCGTCTCCTGCTGTATGTTTTGTTGTGCTGCTCTATGTGGGCCATGTCGGTGCTCAGTTTGTCAGGTGGGTCCCTTCAGCTCATTTAAAACTGTCCTAACAGGAGTATACCAGACCATTTATTAACCCTCTTCTGTCCAAACATGCAGTGTTCTCTGACGCCCGCTCCGCCCACTCTCTGCTGCGCACCCGCAGAGCCAACTCTTTCCTGGAGGAGCTGAAGCCTGCAAACCTGGAGCGCGAGTGTGTGGAGGAGAAGTGCGACTTCGAGGAGGCCCGGGAGATTTACCTCACCAGAGAGGCCACAGTGAGACCCTCTTCGCTCCTCTGGTTACTCTTAATACAGAATAGTGACAGTGTTAAGTGCTGACTGTGTGTCTGTTCTCAGCTGGAGTTCTGGACTGTCTACACAGGTATCACCTTGTACTTTCATCATGTCATAACAAAGGTGTAATAACATCATGTGGCCTGTATAATACACATATCAGTTATTACTAGTACATGAGTCAAAGTGTGTGTGGTGAACAGATGGGAACCAGTGCCGCTCCAACCAGTGTGTCCATGGCACCTGTGTGGACCTGTTCCAGGCCTACGCCTGTCGATGTGACCAGGGCTATGAAGGACGCTACTGCAACCAGCGTGAGATGACATGACAATTATATAACTATTACATGTCTATTACACGTCTGTTACATGTCTGTTTTATGACTGTTGCATGTCTGTTACATGTTTGTAAGTGTTGATAACTGTTGGGTGACTAGTGCATGTGACATGTCATATCTGTATGATTGTTTCATGAGTGTTAACTTTAATCCATGTAATGTCTGTGTTACATGTCAGGGTGACTGTTACATGTTACATATGTGGTGAATGGAAACATCTGAATGACCAGGTCCATTATAAAGTCTGTTACATGTCTAACAACTGTTACATGCCTGTTACATGTCTGGGTGTTTGTTACATATCTTTTAGGTGTCTGGATGTCTGTTATATATCTGTTACATATCTGGGTGTTTGTCGGTGATCCCCTGTCCTCCGTGTGTTCATTTCCAGCCCAGACTCACACAAACTGCTCTGTGGACAACGGCGGCTGTGACCACAACTGTGAGGAGAGCAGGGAGTGGCCCAGCCGGAGCTGCAGCTGCCTGGACGGGTACTCACTACTCGACGACCACAAGAAGTGTGAGCCTATAAGTGAGTACGCACCAAGTGTATGTGTCTATAGGTGAGTACCTACAAGAGGAGTGTGTGTCTGTAGGTGAGTACCTACTAGAGGAGTGTGTGTCTGTAGGTGAGTACCTACAAGAGGAGTGTGTGTCTGTAGGTGAGTACCTACAAGAGGAGTGTGTGTCTGTAGGTGAGTACCTACAAGAGGAGTGTGTGTCTGTAGGTGAGTACCTACAAGAGGAGTGTGTGTCTGTAGGTGAGTACCTACAAGAGGAGTGTGTGTCTGTAGGTGAGTACCTACAAGAGGAGTGTGTGTCTGTAGGTGAGTACCTACAAGAGGGGCCTTTGTGAAATAGTTCCCTTCTCCATTCCCTGTGCTCTATCAATGTGAAATCTGAACCTGCACTAATAAAAACACCCATTACAGCTCTTAAAACACTTCATACACAATATGAAAAGAAGTTATGACTTATTTACTCTTCTCTTCTTTTACGCTTCATGTGTTTGAGCGAGTTTCCCAAGGCTGAGTGCTGTAAATGGTGATCAAAGAACCTATTTCAAATGTCTTCCGAGTAAGTGTAGTGAGGGGGTAGAAAGAGAGAGGAGAAACTCCTGGTTTGGAAAGGTTCACACTGTGTGCCTGAGGTGAGTACCTAGTGGAGGTTAGAGCCCACAGGTCATTGATCAAAACCCACAAGAGGTGGTGTCTACAGGTGAGTATTCCCAGGTGAGTCTACCCTCAGGAGCTGTACCCAAAGGTGAAAACCCACAGAGTGTATCACACACATTTCCATATCAACTACTACACTTTTTCATAATTTCATTTAGTCACATAGAACTTTTAAATATTTTGTACTCTTTGTAAGTAACTACAGAGTAATATATTCATTCTGTGTGTATGAAAACGGTTGCTGTGTGATCTTAACAGCAGCCTGGTCTGACTGTAACCCTCTGCAGACCGCTTGTCCTGTGGTCAGCTGCTCCTCAGCCGCTCCTCGTACTCAGAGCCGATCGTTGGTCTGCAGCCCTGGGTGATCGGAGGAGAAGTGGGCAAGAAGGGGGAGAGCCCCTGGCAGGTGAGACCCTCCCTCATGTTTCCTGAGTACAGTATGTGTCAGGGCTGCACAATAAGAGAGAAAGATGTAATATTTGATAAATACGTTTTGCAATAATGATATTTTTCAGTATTTTAATATACTCTGGCATTAATTTCAAATATTTAAAACAAAAAATGCACATACTTTCATTAACTACTCAAACTTGGCCAAATGCAGGTCTAATGCAGAAAGTCATGAATAAAATCTGTATTTTTGCCAATTTTAATACATTAATAATTGTATTCATTTCAAGGCACCCAAAGTGCTTTACAGAACTTTATACTATTACTAAAATAATATTATAGCCACAGCTGTCCTGGGACAGACAGAAAGGATATTGCCAATCTGCGCCTTCGACCACCACCAACACTCACACACACACCACTTTCACACAAGGCATTATGGGTAAAGGGTTTTCAATAAGGACAAAGCAACACTTTTTGCCACTGACGCCCCCTGTGGCACCTGGTGTTCCCAGTGGTCTCCCGTCCAAGTACTCCCACCCCATCCAAGAGATCTGAGCTGAGGCTTTGAACTGCTCTATGGCCATTTGATTTTCCATAAACAGTATACTTCTGTAAAACAGAGAACTTGGTGTTGTTGTGATATATTTAATTTCTTGCAATATAATTTTTGCTTCTACCAATATTAATATTTTCACAATTATATTGTTCAGCCCTAGAATTTATTACTGTCAAATGGGATAATGTGAGACAGAGACTTTATGATGATGTAATAATGTGATGTGATAATGTGATGTGATGTTGTGATGATGTGGAGATGTGATGATGTGGAGATGTGATGATGTGGAGATGTGATGATGTGGAGATGTGATGATGTGGAGATGTGATGATGTGGAGATGTGATGATGTGGAGATGTGATGATGTGATGTTCGGCAGGTGATGTTGCTGGATGCTCGTAACCAGCTGCACTGTGGAGGAGTCCTGATCGACCACAACTGGGTCCTGACCGCGGCACACTGTCTGCGGAGGATCCACCGCTTTAAAGTCAGACTGGGTAAGAACTGTCAGGTCTGCAGCCAATCAGAGGGCAGGATCTGTGATGGACCGCCAGTCATAGAGCAGCGTTTGTGCTCAATCACAGACTGGGTTTCTCTGCTTCGACCTACAGCTGAGAAAAATAATAGTTATTCATGCATCATTCTAAAATGATTCATAAAGACTAATGATAAGAAAGTATTAAATCAGACCTGTCAGACTCAGGCCTGGGGGCCAAATTTGGCCCACGATATAATTAGATTTAGTCTGTGAGATCATATCAAATCTGTATTAGAGCTGCCCGCAGGCTACAGATAGATTATAGAGACATTATTTATTTAAAATGTTGTTATTATTTTATATTATACTTGTTCTGGATTCAATGTTTAAGCAAAACTATTATTAAACATTTATTTTAATAAGAAAAGTTTGAACATTACATATCTCGAAAGAAGAGAAAACATGCAAATGTTGAAATTTTTCAATAAATATTTAGTTTGGTAAAAACAGTATAAGATCCATTCAGGACTGCAACTATTTAAGCACAACTAATCAATTATTTAAATAAGCATCAACTAATTTAGTAATCAAATAATCAATAACTTTATTAAACATGCCATGAGATGAGAAAGTTTTCATTTCTAAAACAGAGTTGTAATTATGAAAATGACATGGGAAAGTTTTAAAATTCAATGTTTTTAAAATATGTTTTATGTAATGAAAACACACTTTCATCAGTAAATATACTCGATCGGGATGTGCTCAGGAGGCTTCACTTTACCTTTATCTGGGTAAAAACGAGTAAGAATCTCATGCTCATATTTGCTTTGTTCTAAACAACGATTTGATTAATTAATAATCACCACCAGGTTAATCAATTATTAAAATTTGTTGTGGTCTTGCATCATTTTACACCCAAAGTCTCATTTATAGTTGAACTTAATAGAACATGTGGTGTTTCAAAATCTAAGTAAGTAAGTAAGTAAATAAGTTTTTATTTATAAAGTGCTTTTCACAGACATGTCGAAAAAGATGCTTTACAGATCATTATTCATTCACTCCACACCCATTGTAGCCACAGCTGCTCTGGGGCAGACTGACAGAAGTGCGGCTGCCAATCAAATCAAAATGGGTTTGGAGTGTTTCATGTGTGTAGTCGCTTCATAAAGCCAGAACTACGAGATGTCCAGTGCCTCTGTCGTAGCAGTGAGCTGGAATAGTGCCTCCTCGCTCCACCTTCACACAGCTTTATTTCAGACTGACTGTGTTTATGTGTATATGGGTCTGGTCAAGTGGTAACGGAGGGAAACAGGGGCAGATTTTTTACATTCAAATGTCTCTTATTCAGAAACTAGAGGGACTATTGAAATAAGTAAAGTATCAGAATGTAGGAAAGAGTTACACTCCAACAGGGTAAAGTTAAACCTGTGATATTCTTTCAAGTTGTTGACAAAAAATTTAAAAACTCATGTCGGTAACGGAGGGAATGAAATATGCAGCACTTTTTGGGCAATAAATACAAACAGTGATAACTCTTGGTTCTCACTTACATATCCTTAACAAACTGGTTTGAATATTTGCTTCATATAGTTTTCTACCATATGGTACAAGATTAGGTTGAAAAACCTCTTACTTTTTGACTCATGAGATTTTTTATTAAGAAAGGTCATGGTAACGGAGGGAAAAGTAACGGAGGAAAATTGTGCAGCAAGTAGAAGGTGCAGGATTTTGCATAATTTGTCACTTTTTTCTTCTGAATACTTTAATATTACTTGAAAATGAAAGGAAACTATTTCTATAAAATATGTCAGTCCTTCCAAGCAAATTTTTTATCATTTTAAATACTTTTTTTTTTTTTAAATCATGTACCTTCATCAACAGTTCAAAGATGGAATAACACAAGATATGATGAAATACATCCATTTATTTACATGATTTTTGGGTCTTTGAAATTTGGGAAATAATTTTTGTTCCATGTTTCATACATGGTCTGTTTAAAACGTATGTAACTTTAGAACCAAAAATGGTACAGAAAAAAGGTCAACAGTTTCATAAACTAGAGTACATATGTATCTGTTCAATACATTTTTATATCAGATGCATTAACTTTAATTTTTGGCCTTGTTGTTTACTTGTGTGTGTGTGTGTGTATGTGTGTGTGTGTGTGCATGTGTGTGTGTGTGCAGGGGACTACGACCGTATGCGCGATGAGGACAGTGAGGTGGTCCTGCGCGTGGTCAAAGTCTTCAAACACCCCCAGTACAACAGCCGGACCATGGACCACGACATCGCCATGCTGCGGCTGGAGAGCCCCACCCCCTTCTCCACCTTCATCCTCCCCGTGTGTCTGCCCAATCCCGACATGGCCCGGCGCGTGCTCCACCTCAACGGCACCCTCACCGTGGTCACCGGCTGGGGCAAGGAGGACGTGGGCAGCACCCGCTACAGCTCCACCCTCAACACCATCAAGATCCCCCTGGTGGAGCGGTCCGTGTGCTCCCAGTACATGACCAACAACATCTCGGACAACGTGCTGTGCGCCGGGGTGCTGGGCAAGTCGTACGACGCCTGCGAGGGGGACAGCGGGGGCCCCATGGTGACGCTGTACCGGGACACGTGGTTCCTGGTGGGGCTGGTGTCCTGGGGCGAGGAGGGCTGCGGGAAGGAGGACAAGCTGGGCATCTACACCAAAGTGTCCAACTACCACCAGTGGATAAAGGAGGTGAAACAGGAGTGGGAGAAAACATCCACGCTGGCGCACTAGCCACACCACCTATACAGCCCACACCACCCGCACGCCGCCTGACCAGCAGAGGGCGCAAGAAGTCAAGATACAATCAAAATACAGTCTTATCAATGATGGAATTTCAGTTCTGTGGTTGGTTTAGGTCTGGGGTTGTTCCAAATCTCATTAATTGTACTTCTGCTTTAGTCAGAAACATTGTGCTTTGTCTTATAATCACTTCAAATGTATCAATAAAAACTGATCAAAATGTTGGGAGTGCGACTTTGTTGAGTTCTGTCATTATTAAATAAAATGTAGTGGTACTGTTTAGAGTTACCCAGTTCAGTTGTACTTTTCAGAGAACTTTTCTAGCAGCAAACTTATAGTCCTGCTTGAGTTATATTTTTACTGAAGTTTTGGTTCCTCTTCCCCCAATTATTTTAACATTTGAGTTTCTAACACCGCTCCTTCGTATATAAATCTGTTTGTCTAATTTTTGGGTCTGTCCACTTCAAATTATAAATCAAATTTTACCTCCCGATAGTTACTCTTAAAGTTACTCAAGTAGTTTTCCCAAATACTTTTTTAATCTTACTTGAGCAATTTCTTGGATCACTACTTTGTACTTCTACCTGAGTATAATTTTTGTCTACTACCCGCTGGTGTTGTCATGGTAATACTTTTTATACATTTTTCAAGTGCAATATCGCCAAAGTAAATATTATAACAGGCCATTAAAGGTGCACAGTCAGGTCAAGTTACAGGTCAGATCTGTGAAGAGGTGACCCTGCTCACACCTGTATTTAAATGAATGGAATAAATACAGACACAGCGTTGGGCAGGCGTACAGTACCGATCTAATATATAAGCAGCTCTTTAGGTCAAAATAATTCTGCCGTCCTCTGTCTGCATCTGATTATGAAGTGTTTTGTTTCCAGAATGCAGAAGGGAAGTGAGGAGTAACTTTGAACCTCTGCAAACCGTTTAAGATGAACTGTTCTGCTTTTCATATTTTAAGACTGTAAAAATCAGATATAGTGCTGTTAAAACCATACGCTGATGTGGAGCAGTTAAGATTAAGCAATGACATTTTATTGGAAACAATCAAGTCACAGACCCGCCTGGTTAGTACTTGGATGATAGACCAAAGGGAATTCCAGGTGCCACAGTCGTTGTGTCCTTAGGCAAGACACTTCACCCTCATTGCCTAGTATGAAAGTGCTGTGTGTGTGAGTGACGGTGGTGGTCGGAGGGACCGATGGTGCAGATTTGCAGCCTCGCTTCTGTCAGTTTGCCCCAGGGCAGCTGTGGGTACAGTTGTAGTTTACAACTGGGTGTGGAGTGAATGAATAATGCCCTGTAAAGAGTCTTTGAGTGTCCAAAAAAGCAAAAACTGATGCATTATTATTTATTACCTCCACCAAGGAGGTTATGTTTTTGCCGGCGTTTGTTTGTTTGTTTGTTTGTTTGTTTGTTTGTCTGTTAGCAACATAACTCAAAACGTTATGGACAGATTTTGATGAAATTTTCAGGATTTGTTGGAAATGTGAAAAGGAAGAACTGATTTCATTTTGGGGGTGATCCGGAAGAAATCCTGGATTCTGGATCACTTTGAAATTTTAGTTAACATTGTGGTAAATGGGGCCAAAAATTTTGTTTCTCAATATCTCGGTTAATTATTGACCAAACCCCATGAAATTTGACTCAGGGATGGACAATGGGATCCTCTTTCATATTCCAAAGGCTGATTCGGATCTGATCCAGAAGACTGATTTTATCGCAATTTATATAAAAAATGGGGTAGTCCTTGGCGGAGGTCTGCGCTCTCTGAGTGCTTTTCTAGTTATTATTATTCTCCCTCATTCAGAAAAGCTACATATTGCATCTTTAAAAGACAGAATAATTACAGTAAACACTTGTGTTGGCATTAATGTTGTTTTAAATTTGCATTTAATCAGGCAGGTTAATTGAGATTTGATTCTTATTTAAAACCGAGACCTGGTGTAGAGGTAGCGACACAAAACAAAGACTGAACACAAACATGGATTCTCTCCCTGAGTTTAACAGGTCACACTGTACAGGAGCCCAGGACTTGAGTGTGGCTCCCCCTGGAGGTACAACCAGGAACTACAGCAGGTTTAATTTTGAATACTTTCAAGTTCCACTGCAGTTTTCATTGCTCTGAGAAGTACAGTTTAATTGTCTGAGTTTGACCTCTGAATTAGTCCCTGGTCGGACAGTCCACTTCCATATCTGGCATTCCAGCGCTGGGCACAGACTGGAGCCACCACGAGGAGCCACGAAGAGCCACGAGGAGCCACGAGGAGCCACGAGGAGCCACGAGGAGCCACGAGGAGCCACGAGGAGCCACCACGAAGAGCTGTCAGGTCTGGTCTCTCTGTCTCAGCTCCTCCTCATACCTCTGCAGCTGCAACATGAAGCCTGGATTGGGTTCGATGACATGACGCGCTGCTTTCACTTGCTGTAACAAGAAATCACAAATGTTCCAAAGTAAATCATCCACTGTCAGCCCATTTTTCCACATTTGTGAAGAGGAATCCGCCAAGTGCTCTCACAGAGATGTTATTGCTGTGCTTGAAATGTTTCAAGGCATGGCATTAAGCATATCTATCTCATATTTATTCACTTACAGCAGCGTTATTGCTCTAAAGTACCTTAAAAATGCATTCTGTGAGTGGGCTTGCCTCTCCACAGATCTGACTTGCAACTTGGTTTAGATTCCTCACATTTGTGTCCTTGGAGATAGAAAAGTTTAACTGGATTATCACAATATTTGTGCATTTACAAACTCACTTATTGACACCAGCCTGTCCAGGTACAGAAGATGGAAATGAGTAATTTTGTTATAACCGAACACAAGCATCTGACCTCTTTGTCTTTCTCAGTGTTTTTATGTGCATTGTCCCTGACAAATAAACAAATAAACTAAAAAATAAACTAACTAAATGTTTTTGGGGGACCGGAGCAGAGGGATGGTGTTGCGGGAGCATGTTTTAGTCCTGGTTTAGTCCTGGTTTTAGACCTGGTTTAGACCTGTTTTAGACCTGTTTTAGACCTGGTTTAGTCCTGGTTTAGTCCTGGTTTTAGACCTGGTTTAGACCTGTTTTAGACCTGGTTTAGTCCTGGTTTTAGACCCGGTTTGTCCTTGTTAAATCAAGTTTTAGTCCAGGTTTAGTCCTGGTTTTAGACCTAGTTTAGACCTGGTTTAGACCTGGTTTAAACCTGGTTTGTCCTGGGTAAATCAAGTTTTAGTCCTGGTTTAGTCCTGGTTTAGTCCTGGTTTTAGACCTGGTTTTAGACCTGGTTTAGTCCTGTTTTAGTCCTGGTTTTAGACCTGGTTTGTCCTGGTTAAATCAAGTTTTAGTCCAGGTTTAGTCCTGGTTTTAGACCTAGTTTAGACCTGGTTTAGACCTGGTTTAGACCTGGTTTAGACCTGGTTTGTCCTGGGTAATTCAAGTTTTAGTCCTGGTTTAGTCCTGGTTAAATCAAGTTTTAGTCCTTGTTTAGTCCTGGTTTAGAGACACAGCCCGCATGTCGTACGGGAGGAGGCACAGTCCACGCAGTGTATGGGGGGGTTGGGCTTTCGCAACCCGGTACTGGGGATTGAGGACCCCTGATGAAGAGTAGATTAACACAAACATTTTAAGGTCAAAATGAAGATCCTGACAGCAGCAGTTACAGTTTTCAATAGAAAGTGAACTGGATGGAGCCAGGAGCGCATCCATGCTCACTTCCTGTCCGGAACATGGTGTTTAGCAGGTTGGCCATGTCCATTTATAAACACAGTGCATGGGGCCTCACCTGCAGAGCGCCCTCTAGTGTGAGCTGCTGGTACTTGAGCAGGTAGGCGGCGCAGATGGCGGCAGATCGGCTCCGTCCGTTCTTGCAGTAGACCAGGGTTTTGCCTCCGCGTCGCGCCTCCGCCTCGATCGCGTCGGCGCAGCTGTCGAAGTGCGCGTGCAGGTCCTCGTTGGGGTCGTCAAACACCGACACCTGCATCTTAGCGACCGTCGCCGAGGGAAACGGCTGCTGCCTGGTGACGTTGATGCACTGCGTGACCGCCTCCTGCTGGAGAAGCTCAGTACTGCAGGCGGAGCGGGCGTTTGAGATGAACAGCGACGGCGTGACTTTACACAGCTCCAGCATTCTACAGGAGGGGAAAGAAAGTGCATTCAATTAAAGAAAAAAAAAACAAAAAACTGACATTACATTTCCAGATTAAAACAATGGTCCACATGACAGTTTAAACTCTTATAACTCCTGTTCTTATGTTTATGTGCAGATGAGTCAGCCTCCTACAAACTCTCTTCTTTACAACATTCTAATTGATGTCATGATTTCAAATGGAGAGAAATTCTATGTTTGAGTAATTTAGTGATCTCTTCAGGGCCCTATCTAAACTCTCTTTATGGTTAGCAGCACGAGCCTGTCCAACAATACTCCCACACGGCAATAAAAAATGTTTAAATATACAAAAACATGACACAAAACACTAAACTTCAGCTTAACAAACCTGATGTGATGTGGAGTTTCATCACAATGATTGTGTTGTGGTACCGTTCTGAAGGGGGCAGGACTTAGCACTGGGAGCAAAGTGACTAATTACACACTTTAATACGTTGTTTTCGGGAATATAGTGTTTTCAAAACAGTAAAAGGTAACATGGTGACCTAAATATGTTTTTAGCAGTTAATATCCCATAGACGTGTAATACTCGATCTTTAATGACAAAAACACTCGACATAATGACAAAAACAATGGCCATCATGTCATTTCTGTTATAATTAGGTGCTTTGGTTCAAGACAGTTATTCCATTCATCCATTTTCTTCTGCTTATCTGGGGCTGGGTCACAGGGGCAGCAGTCTAAGCAGGGACTCCCAGACTTTCTTCACCCCAGACACTTCCTCCAGCTTCTCCAGGGGGGCTCCAAGACATTCCCAGGCCAGCCAAGAGACATAGTCCATCCAGCGTGTCCCGGGTCTTCCCCAAGGCCTCTTTCAGGTGGGACATGAACACCTCCTGAGGGAGGCGCCCAGGAAGCATCCGGAACAGCTGCTCGAGCCACTTCAACTGCTCCTCTTGACGTGGAGGAGCAGCAGCTCTACTCACCCTGTCTCTAAGGGAGCGCCCAGCCACCCTGCAGAGGAAATTCATTTCGGCCATTTGTATCTGTGATCTCGTCCTTTCGGTCGTTACCCAGAGCTCATGACCAGAGGTGAGGGGAGGAGTGTAAATTGACGGTAAATCGAGAGTTTTGCCTTTTAGCTCAACTCCCTCTTCACCACAACGGTCCGATACAGCGACCGCATCACTGTCGACGCTGCACTGATCTCCTGCTGGTGCAGCTGATTCAAGACAATTATCCAATCAAAAAGCAGAATGAGTCTCTCATTTGTGTTGCCAGTTTCAAAACTGAAATCCAGTTGGTTTAAACCTAAAATGCCTCTGAATGGTCTCTACCTAAACCCCAACTCCTGCAGCCAGTCATGGGTCAGTGCTAGTGCAGCTTCTGCAGTTCAGGGAGGAAATTCTGGAGGTTCTGATCTTTCACATGAGGTCTGGTTTGCCCAAATATTGAGAGTGAGACAAACTTGACTGTCCTCTATCTGCAGGTTAAGGCTCTGGTGACACACGTTCAGACAGTTGGGATTGTAAAAGTGTAAGACTGAGTGAGTCCTTAAATTTCTATCTTACAAAACACGCACTGTTCGTACAACTAGTTCTTTGTCCACTTACATTTAGAACATGTGTTGTAGGTTATGTAAGGCAGCCTACAGTGAAGACTGACCTGGTGCACAGTGATGTGGTGTGGACTAAAGCTGCACACACACGAGGACCAAAATAACCTGCCGGACCAAAGTCAGACTCTCCTTCAGGTTCTTGGAGCACAGCGGCAGTACCACACCACACCGGACTTACCTGGAAACACGGGTCCTGGTCCGGATCAGGTTCTGACCCGACACCGCGGGGAAGTGCGCCCCGCTGAGCCCAGGGCGCGGGCGCAGAGCGGCTTTGGGCAGCAGCGCTCTGTAGATCCATGCGCTATATTTACTGCGGCGTCTGTGTGGCTCAGTGCGCGTGTGCCGCTGCTCCTCTCCGGGTCCTAGTGCTCGTACGGACTCTGTGGGCTGATGTCTGGCGCCCCCTTCTGGCAACATTACAAAACAAAGTTGAACTAGTAACAGATGTCCCTTAAAACATCAATTAAAGAAACTGTTTGTGTCCTGCGCTCTTAGAAAACCACGTAGACCTAGAAATAAATGTCCCATAAACTTCAATTAAAGAAACTGTATCTCGCGCTCTTATGGTTTTAAAAATGGTTCTACAGTCAGTGTCGGGGAGTAACAGATTACATGTACCAGTGTTACGTAATCAGAGTACAAATTATGAGTAACTGTATTCAGTTACAGTTACTGTTTCAGTGAGTGGTAATTAGATTACAGTTACTTTGTTGAAATAAATGGATTACACAGAGGTATTTTCCTGTTTTCACTTTTTTTTTTTTTCCCCGTAGTTCCACTCATTGCTGGACAATAAACCAGGCCTAAACCCAGGTCCAAACCAGGTCTAAACCAGTTCTTAAACTAGGTCTAAACTAGGTCTAAACCAGGACTAAACCAGGACAAAAACCAGGTCCAAACCTGGTCTAAACCAGGTCTAAAACCAGGTCTAAACCGGGACTAAAACCAGGTCTAAACCAGGTCCAAAGCAGGTCTAAAACCAGGTCTAAATCAAGACTAAAACCAGGTCTAAAACCAGATCCAAACCACATCTAAACCAGGACTAAACCAAGACTAAACCAGGACTAAACCAGGACTAAACCAAGACTAAACCAGGACTAAACCAGGACTAAACCAGGACTAAACCAGGACTAAACCAGGACTAAACCAGGACTAAACCAGGACTAAACCAGGACTAAACCAGGACTAAACCAGGACTAAACCAGGACTAAACCAGGACTAAACCAAGACTAAACCAAGACTAAACCAGGTCTAAACCAGGACTAAACCAGGACTAAACCAAGACTAAACCAGGACTAAACCAGGACTAAACCAAGACTAAACCAGGACTAAACCAGGACTAAACCAGGACTAAACCAGGACTAAACCAAGACTAAACCAGGTCTAAACCATATCGCAAACAGGATTTAACAGGATTAAATCATGCTGCATGGACCGTGTCTCCTCCTCTTCTATCAATAATAGTTTTAATTTGGTTAATTAAAGTCTGGGCTTTTTATTTTCTTTTAGCCAACAAAACATCTTATGTGAAGATTTTCTCATCTTTGCTTCTCTACAGCAAATCAGGTAATCCAAAGTATTCGGATTACATTACAAACTACATTTTGGTGTGTGTAATCTGTAATCTGTAGGGGAATATATTTTAAAAGTCACCTTCCCAACACTGGAAACAATCACAACTGAACCTGTGTCACCTGTGTTTTGAACTAAAACACCAAATTATAAAATAAAAAAGTTCAGGTCAAATGTTTGTGTAATTAAGAGTAAACCAGCTTTAAAATTGTTATCAGTAAAATATTTCAAGTTTATGTCATTTAAAATAAAACTCATTTTCTCTTACGGTTTTTAATGGCACCTGTGGGTGGAATAGTTGATGTGTCTAAATTCCAGGCTACAGTGGAGCAGAACAGCACAAACCTTCCAGGCGTGAGTCCAGCCACTGATGCCACCAAGCCAAGTTACAGGTCAGATCTGTGGAGAGGCCACCCTGCTTTTTCATCAATTCAAACGTCTATAGTGACTAACTGGCATACAGATAGGTTTAATACCATCCATCAATTTTCTTTCGCTTATCCGGGGCCGGGTCACGGGGGCAGCAGTTTAAGCAGGGACTCCCAGACTTCCTTCACCCCAGACACTTCCTCCAGCTCCTCCAGGGGGACCCCGAGATGTTCCCAGGCCAGCCCAGAGACATAGTCCCTCCAGCGTGTCCTGGGTCTTCCCTGGGGCCTCCTCCTGGTGGGACATGCCCGGAACAGGCATCCGAGCCACGGTGAAATATTTCAGATAAAACAGCCTCAACCACAAACAACAACCACATTTTTGAAAATTTTGAAAATATAAAAATACACCAATTCCCAAATAATAACTGCTATTAAAGTTTTTTATTATTGGGTTGCCAGTTTCAAAGCTGAAATCCAGCTGGTTTAAACCTAAAATAGCTCTCTCTGATCTGAATGGTCACTGTCTAAACCCCAGAACCTACAGCCAGTCATGGGTCAGTGCTAGTGCAGCCTCTGCAGCTCAGGGAGGGAATTCTGGAGGTTCTGAGCTTTCACATGCGGCCTGATCTGTCCATAAACTGAAAATGAGACAAACTTGGATGTGTATCTATCTGCAGGTAGTTAAAATATTTGAAACAATTTCTGTTTTTATTAAATATCCTTCATGCTCAAAGAGATTACACAAAATTGTCTTGTGTGAGATTTAAGCCCTAACCCTAACCCTGGAATTGTGTTTTTATTTACTTTTTTTTTTTCATTCACACATCTGAGTAATACTTGATTACTTTATTACGCCGTCTACATCTCCAAAGCTCAAAATGCTCTGTTCCACCTTGTGATGTCAGGTAGTTTTCAAGTTAACATTTTTTTACCTTTAGCTCAGTAGAGATTGGCAATTCCAGAGATGAAAACATCGAAATGATTCTACTGAAGGTGTGTGAAGTTTAAAAACACAGCGGCATGACATCAAAATGAGGTGAGGAGCTTTCCTTTTGAGACAAGAACTCAGCGTAAAAATGAAAGGTTTTTGCCCTTAAACATGTGTGAATGTTTGTGAAGAGAAAACAACATTAAAACATCATTACTTAACTATTAACTTTGAAATAAACATTCAGTAGTTTTCCTCAGAAACACAGAAACACACAAAGACCTCGGCTCCGTTTGGAAGTGGCTTTATTGTCGATTGAAAAGCCCACACATGCAACAGGTGAAACAAAGCATGTCCCTCACTGTACAGCTCAAGTATATGCTACATTATGTAAATATGATACAGCACAAGCTCCACCCACAACACGCAGCTACATGTGCGCACACGGAAGCCTCGGGGGGGGTGGACGCGCCTCGTGTTACAACGCCGGCACGTCTACGGACAGGTTACTGGAGAAAAAGAACCGAGGGTAAAAGCTCAGGGGGGCGATGGAAAACTAGGCGCTGGATCTCGGGTCGTTACTTACGTGGCCAGTTCTTTCAGTCAGCTTTGGTTTTGCTTGGAATTAAACAACTAGAGCTTTGTGTTAAATACTAAAAAAAAGCCAATTTCACGTCATTTTTTGATGTTATAAACTAGAAAACAGACCTGGAGTTGTCCTAGATTACGCAAAATGATGTTATAAAGCTGTGATCTCGTCAAAACCAGACCTGGAGTTGTGTTTTGTTTCATTCACTCACTCGTTTTTAACACACAAACGCTGCAGATTTAGGCTGAGTTCTTCTCTCGAACAGAAAACACTCAGCTCCAGATGTCCTTTTTTTTAAATCCAAGACAGTCCCATTTTTGAGCCCCGTGTCCCCTATCCCGATAGATTTAACCAAAACTAGTGATTTGTCCCGGTTTTATACAAAAAATTTCACTATTTTTGATAAATTCGATCCCTGCGAACAGTAAAAAGAGGCATAAACTGTCACTTGTTTAGGTAAAATTAAAAAAAAAGCTGCTTAAAAACGGCCAAAACACAAAGAAAAAAATAAGTACGGTGGCCGGCAAGTGCAAAACACACAAGTTTGAAAACAAAATCACATCTAAAATACGGCATTTACATCTTGAAAACAAATTTACGTTTGATAAAACAGATTTGCAAATGAGAATACAAAACAGGAAACATCTGTACAAGCGCGAGACAAATTTAGACGTGGCAAAAACACAAATACAAACCTCCGAAACACATAGACCTTTTTCACGACAGCTGGACGTTCAGTGTTGGGGAGTAACAGATTGATTATGTAACGTCAGTACATGTAGAGTACAATTTATGAGTAACTATTCAGTTACAGTTACTGTTGCAGTGAGTGGTAATTGGATTACAGTTACTTTGTTGAAATAAATGGATTACATGGCGGTATTTTCCTGTTTTCACATTTTGGGCTAAACCAGGACTAAACCAGGACTAAAGCAGGACTAAAGCAGGACCAAACCCAGGACTAAACCAGAACTAAACCAGGTCTAAACCAGGACTAAAAGCAGGACTAAAAGCAGGACTAAACCCAGAACTAAACCCAGGACTAAACCAGGACTAAACCAGGACTAAAAGCAGGACTAAACCCAGAACTAAACCAGAACTAAACCAGAACTAAACCAGGACTAAACCAGGACTAAAGCAGGACTAAAAAGCAGGACCAAACCCAGGACTAAACCAGGTCTAAACCAGGACTAAACCAGGACTAAACCAGGACTAAAGCAGGACTAAAAGCAGGACCAAACCCAGGACTAAACCAGAACTAAACCAGGTCTAAACCAGGTCTAAAAACAGGACTAAACTAGAAAGAGCCTGTTCATGGAGACTTGGGCTCAGCCAATTTGAAGAGAACAAACATGAATTTTCAGGATGTGGTCGGTACATTCATGCAGTTTTAAAAAACATGACAATATCAAGTAATCCAAAGTATTCAGATTACGTCACAAACTACATTTTGAGGTATGTAATCTGTAATCTGTAGGGGAATACATTTTAAAAGTCACCTTCCCAACACTGGCCGTGATGTCGGGTAAAAGTAACTTCGGGTTCATGCTTTTCTCTGGCAAAATATCTGTGGAAATGTCTCGCATTTTTTCCACCAGCTTCATAAATCTGCCCCATCACCAAATCCTCATCCAACAAGGTCGACAAAGAATAAACATTCTGTCCATGAAGAATTTATCCACAACTATCAAGGTAAGAAAGACGAAAACGTAAAGGCGAACAACGATGGTCATTCGTCATTTCCGATTTTTAGGACATTCCCTTTCCTTCAAGAACTGTGTAAATTTGTTTTTCGGAGGTTTGTATTTGTGTTTTTGCCTCGGCGCTTGTACAAAAGTTTCATGTTTTGTACATTTGTGTGTTTGCAAATGTGCTTTATGAAACTTGGAATTTGTTTTCAAGATGTAAATGCCGTATTTTAAATGTAATTTTAATGTTGTGTTGTGTTGCCGGACACTGTAAATAAGACTATGCTGACTCACGTAACAATTTTCTTTAATTACACACTAATTTAACAATTTTATTATTACCAACCACTCCAAATCAAGTGTGTCCCAGCTTTTAATTTGAAAATCTGGTCACCCTCGTCATGTGGTAATACAGGAAGAGCTCCACCCTGTTTTTAAACTCCATTCAGCTTCTCTAGAATCACTGTGATGTTATGTAGAGGTGGTTTTCAAGTTAAAAGCTGCATTTTGTTTTGTAGAGATTGGCAAATCCAGAGCTGAAATGATCAAAATTAAGGTGTACGGAGTTTAAAAACACGGTGGTTCTCAGCCTAAATATGCAGGGTTTGCGTTTTAAACATGTGTGAATGAAACAAAACAAAACTCCGGGTCTGTTTGTGATGAGGAAACATTATAACACACATAAGAAAATAGAGTAATCTGGGCCCTTTAATGCCGAAATTATTCATTAACACGGATTCGGAAAACAGTTTGACACGCGACACGGTCCACTGTATTGCTTTCTATATTCCCTATCGGCGAGCGCCCCCTGCTGGATACGTCGGTGGAAGACAGGGGCCCGGGGGTCACGAGTTTGGAGTTCTTCTTGTGTCGGAGCGGAGGAACACGGAGGAAGGAGGAGGAGGAGGAGGAGGTGTGCGGCGCAAAAAAACCCAAAACAAAGCGAGATTCCTCCGAGCGCTCGTCAGCGTTTCCCGTTTACAGAAGAGAAAATGGTGACGCTTCGAAGTTTAATTCAATCCAGTTTTCTAAAAAAGAATCTGAAAATACGATGAAACAAATCCTACTTAATCAAAACCACACGGGCGTAACTGAATTTCGTTTGTTTTCAGAGCTCTTTTGACCAGTTGGGGGGCAGTAAGTGACATTTATTGATACTTTGCAGCGGATATCGTCAATATTCTCTGGGGGTGTGATACTAACTGTACGCACTGCACTGACAGAAGCTCTATTAGACTTTAACGTGAGCTTTTTGTGATCTGATTTTAACACACAAAGAGGCGAGACCTGATTTGAGCTGGAAATTCACCACAGTTTTTCAGTCAGTCGCTCTGAAAATCAAACTCTTAAACAAAACCAGGCTTCACAGTTACTTGTTTAAATCCGTTTTGTTTAGTTTTTTCTCCAAAGTTTCTCCAGTCTTAAAACTTCTCTGACAGTGTTTGCTCATCTGTGTGCGTGCCCGCTGAACATTTCACCGTAGAGGTACATGTAGAATACCCCCTCAGCGTGATGTCGCTGCAAAGTATCAATACTGAATCAATAAATGGTATGAAATAAAATGATTCAAATTTGAAAGGCTTGTGAATCCGTGTATCATTCTTTAGTTTGTTCGTTTTTCAAAATAAAACTAAAAAACGGAAAATGAAAAAACAACTATTTTCTTTGTTATTTGTCTCCAAAACCAAAAAAAAAAAAAAAAAAAAGGATAATGATTCGTTTTTTCAGTTTTTGATTTTTAAATGAATAATGGAAAAAAAAGTGATAACGGTCGCCTCGTTTTCTCTGCGACTTAAACCGCGATGTCAGACTGAACCAGGACTGGACCAGGCCTAAATCAGGCCTAAATCAGGCCTAAATCAGGCCTAAATCAGGCCCAAATCAGGAATCAGGCCTAAATCAGGACTGGACCAGGACTGGACCAGGACTGGACCAGGACTGGACCAGGACTGGACCAGGACTGGACCAGGACTGGACCAGGACTGAACCAGGACTGAACCAGGACTGAGCCAGGACTAAATCAGGACTAAATCAGGACTAAATCAAGACTGAATCAGGACTGAACCAGGACTGACCAGGACTGAATCAGGACTGAACCAGGACTGAACCAGGACTGAATCAGGACTAAACCAGCACAGAAGCAGCACAGAGGCAGGACTTAACCAGGACTTAACCAGGACTTAACCAGTCTCAGTCCCAGTCTGGTCCCGGTCTCATTCCTGGTCTTAGTACAGGTCTCAGTCTCGGTTTCAGTCCTGGTCTCAATCTTGGTCCCGATCTCGTCCCAATCTCAGCCCTGGTCTGGTCCCATTCTCAATGCCGATCACCCAACAGTCTACGCAGGTGCACCTCCGGGCCCATCCCGGTACTCAGTCCTGGTTCAGTCCCGGTTCAGTCCTGGTTCAGTCCCGGTTCAGTCCCGGTTCAGTCCCGGTTCAGTCCCGGTTCAGTCCGGCATCACAGTTTAAGTCACGTAAACGGGAAACGATCATTGTCCATTTTTTCCATTTTTAATTTAAACCCAAAATCAAAAACTGAAACAACAAATCATTATCAGTTTTTTTCATTTTAGTTATAGGGACAAATTACAAAGAAAATAGTTTTTTTTTTTCATTTTCTTATTTTTATTTTGAAAAACAAATGAACGAATGACACACGGATTCTTGTTTCGCTAAAGTCTCAGTCTAAACCTTTTTGGAAACACGGGGTCGGTTCTAACGTCGGTGAGATGGAGGCGAACTGTCAAACGTGACTGGAAATGCCACACACAAGATTTACATGTGATACTTGCTTTCAAATATTAGATTATTATTATGATTTTTACATTGTACAGAATGATAAACCCTATTGTGAGTTAAGCTGATAGAATTATTTATAAAATAGAAAATAAAAGATGCATCAGATCTGCAATAAATATTTGCAATTTCATTTCGTCGTCGGAGAAGTTGTCCTTCCTTCCTGCAGTCTAAGGCACCCGACTCTCCGGGTGCTCCTGGAGAACCCGCTGAAGCCTGAGGAGAAGAGCACCCAAAACCAGCGGTACACCCAAAGGAGTCACACGCACTGTCACTGCAAACGCCTTCTGTCCAGTCCTTTGTTCCTTCGGTCTCTGCTTGTCTTGAATCACCGCCTGGGACCATGACACTGAACACGGAGACTTAAAGGTCCGATATTACGCAAAAAATGATTCTTGTGAGCTTTAAGCCGTGTTATAAAGCCGTTATCTCATCAAAACCAGAGCTGGAGTTGTGTTTTGTTTCATTCACACGTGTTTGAGGAGCCCCGTCTCCATCTAAAAATCTCAAAATGCTCATGAGGCGGTAAATTTCAAGTTAACAGCTCCTTTTAGCTTTCGTTCAGTAGAGATCGACAATTCCAGCGCTGAAATCATCCAAATGATTCTAGTGAAGGTGTATAGAGTTTAAAAACATCCTGTATAGCCCTTTTTCACAACGCAACTCCCGGTTAATGCTTTTCTACGGCAAAATATCTGTAGAAATGTCTCGGGTTTTTACCACCAGCTTCATAAATCTGTCCCATCACCAAATCTTCAACCAAAAAGGTCGACAAAGGATAAACATTCTGTCCATGAAGAATTTATCCACAACTATCAAGGAAAGAAAGACGAAAACTTAAAGGAGAACAACGACGACGCACTAGTGAACTACTCCTGAGCAAAACTAACATTATGGTCATGAATAAAACATAAGTGACTTGTTAACTCAGACTGATTCTAGAATTAAAATTAAAAATCGATTTCATGATGTAGATATTCACATAGACAGAAAGTTTTGTGTAGATTTGTGTGTGTAATCTGTGAACATCTGTAGCAAGTTTGTTTCGTTTACACTGAAACAAATCCGCGTATCACCGTATCGGAAACGACCTGCGTCCAGACATTTCTGTCGTTTCTGTGTCCGCAGTCTTTCCCTGTCCACACAGCTTTGAGCCTATTTGTTTACGTGTGAAGAATCCCTCAGTCGTCCAGGTAGAATCCATGGAGAGGAGAAAAATCAGTTTGGCGACTGGACAAAAGTTAGTTTGGTTACGTTTTGCAGAAACAACACTTAAAATTTGTTGGCTAATTTGCATAAACTGAGCGCTCAAAACAGCCCGTTCCTTGTGCGCCGATGTGGTTCAACTTCTGTCGGACTAAAGGACACGACTCAGTGGAATATGAGTGTTTTTTCTGTGACAGAGGGGTGTTCTGCTGATGGTGAGTCTGTTCTGTGCTTCTGTCACGTTGGAGATGGTTCATGTTAACATTTTCATAGATTACACGTCTGCAGGTCGTACACACAGACCATATACATGAATGGACATATGTTCTAGCCTCTCAGCATTTTTGGCGGTGAATGACTTCGCGGCGCACAGACCTACATCAGCGTATCAGCGTTTTCAGGCGTCCACACAGTGCCGGATCGAATTTGTGGGAGCTGGAGGCACCAGATCGTTCCGTCTCTGGAGCAATTTTCAATCGGATTAGTGTGAACGAACACTGCACCGCAACGAAAATGACTCTAATACGTACTAGTGTGGACGGGGCCTTATTAACGACTGACTTGTGTTAGTTTTGCTGAGTAGTTCACTAATGCTCGTTGTTGTTCGCCTTTAAGTTTTCGTCTTTCTTACCTTGATAGTTGCGGATAAATTCTTCCTGTTTATCCTTTGTCGACCTTATTGGTTGAAGATTTGGTGATGGGGCAGATTTATGAAGCTGGTCGAAAATACACGAGACATTTCCACAGATATTTCACCATGGAAAAGCACTAACACGAGTGACGTTTACCCGACATGGCGGCACTTTCGGCCATTGTGAAAAAGGTTTATTATCACATCACAAGGTGGAACAAAGGATCTCCTGTTTGAGAGCCTTTAAACATGCGTGAATGAAGCAAAACACAGCTCCAGTTATGTCTTTGATGAGGAAACTACATTATAATAGAGCAGAAAAAAGCGTAATATGGGCCCTTTAACTGAAAGAGCTTTGTTAGTAGCTTTAGTGTTGGCTCAAACGTACACCCTGTTTCTGCGTAGGGGAGGGGCCTGAGGGGCGACGGGGGCGGGGCTTAGAGGGTCCAATCAGGAGTGGTCCATCGGCTCAGTGCTGCCCTGCTCGACGTCCTGACTCTCCATGTCCTCCGGCTCCTCCTCCCGCGGGAGAGGCCGGGCCGCGCTCTGCTGTGATTGGCCGCTGGAGGCTGTCCTGTCCCTCTGCTCCCTCAGGTTGCGCTCCATAGACGCCTGTATGGAGGAGACCATCTCCTGAAGAGCCCTGCGCTGCTGCTCCATCATCTCGGGGTCCAGTCCTCCTCGTCCGTCCTTCATGGTCACGAAGCCCGGCGCCATCCGCACCAGCTCCCGCGAGGCGTTACCCTGGAAACCACACAAACACACACACTTACTTTAAAAGGTCCTATACAGGGGAGGGCAAACCTTTTGGGCCACAAAGGGTTCTAATATTTGACAAAAGGGCCGAATCAGGAGAAGATGGATGGAGTTTTTTGGTAATCCACCTCATAAGGGAAAAAAATTTGATGTTACATTACATTATTGAAATATCCCATAACTGAAAAACATTACAAAGAATTACAACGAAATGTCAGTCTTTCAAGTCCCGCGGTATTTAGTATTTATTGAAATGACTTAAAACACTGAAAATTATACGTACAGATTGGCGATTCCAGAGCTGAAATGATCAAAAGTGATGGTGTATGGAGTTTAAAAACACAGTGGGGCACTTCCTGTCTTACCACATGACGTCAAGTGGAAGAAGAAATTATTTTTGTGTTATACATGCGTGAATGAAACTATAAGTGCTTTGTAATGTAGGGCAGTGGTGGTAATTGGTCTTTGGGTAAATGCACATGTACATAAACACTAGTAGTAGTAGTAGTAGTAGTAGTAGTAGTAGTAGTAGTAGTAGTAGTAGTAGTAGTAGTAGTAGTAGTAGTAGTAGTAGTAGTAGTAGTACCAGCTCTCTAGAGGCGTCCTCTGCGATGTCCGACAGATCTGCAGGTCCTCGGCTCACACTGGCACTCAGGTCCACCCCGGAGCTGTGCTGCCGTGTGATTGGCCGATGATCTGGAGGGGAGGAGCCTCCGATGGAGCTGGTCAAAGAATGACCTTTACTCTGAAAAATGAAAAAACATGAAGAGAATAAAGAGCTGCACAAATTTAGTACTTGTGACAATAGTCGATACATCGCAGTTACCACTTTAACTTTATGAAAATGTAATATAACCCCCGGGTTTGATTAATCATTTGTATTAAAACATATGCGCCCCTTCCCTCTCTGGCCGCTTGCTCGTGTCACAGCTGGATCTCGACTCTGATTGGCCCAAAAGTCATCTTCTGATCTTATTTGGGTAACTTAACCTGGTCTGAAGCAGGTTATGAGTTCAGGATATGTTATCATGGACATCTACCCTGATACAAAGTGATCCAGCTTCGTAATACAGGTTTTCATTCCACACTCTTCTCTCTCATTTAATGTCTCTCTCTCTCCTTTAATTTTATGATGATTTATGTTTTTGATTTGTTTGTATTGTGATTTTAATGTACTGTATTTTTTGGACTATGAGGTGCACGGGATTATAAGGCACAATATCAATAATGTTGAATTCTTTCATCTATTTTCATACATAAGGCGCAACGGATTATAAGGTGTATTAAGCGAAACAAACTGACGACACTTGAGACTGATCCTTACCCCAGGCATCTACGATCCACTGGCAGACTGTGGCGTAATACACCCAGTAAGTTTTTTTGTTTTTTTTCCCCTACGAGGAAGACTCAAATATACACTGATTAATAATGTGTTTAACGCAGCTTTGCACACATTTGTTTAAGTTTTACAGAAACAAAACTTTAAAACTACTACTACTACAGGTGGAAATTAGCACTGGTGCTGCAGCCTAGTACAATGCATCTCTCCTTTTACGGTTACTGTAAAAATTGTGCGCTGTCCCTGTCTCAAATAAATAAACAAATAAATGAATAAAGCCACATGGCTTATTTGCATAAACTATAAGTGCTAACAAAAGGACGCAACTCAGTTGAAAATATGTGTTCTCTCTGTGACAAGAGGATGTGCTGCTGATGGAGAGTCTTTTCAGAAATAGTAAGTCTGGCAGGTTGTACACATTGACTGTATATATGATTAGACATATATTCTCTGTAGCATTTCATTGATGTCATAAATGCCGACGCAGAACTATACTTCACCCTTTACTCCGTGAGACTGCTCACTACGGTAGCTGTAATGCTCCAACAATCCATCAAGCGGTGCGGCTTTGTAGTTTACCAAAGTCGTACTAAAACATTTTAACAGATTTTTGAGCGCCATGTACCACATAAAATCGGTTTGAAGTCAGTAAACACAACCAGAATTAATACATAAAGCGCACCGCATTATGAGGCGCACTGTTGGTTTTTAAGAAAATTTAAGGATTTTAAAGTGTGCCTTAAAAAATATGGTATTTCTTATTCCGCAAAGTACTTTGAATTACTTTGTGTATGAATTGTGCTGTACAAATAAACTTGCCTTGCCTAAACCCAGTTAATCATAATACAGGGCTCCGGTCAAAAAGTAGCATGTTTACAAGTTGTTTCCTGATGAATATTTTTTCATTCACAAACTGACTTTCCCATGTAGTGTAAATGTTGCGTACCACCTGCCCGCTGGAGCCTGTCCGGTGCTCTGGGGGGGAGCCTGCGCTGGAGCTGCCCAGAGAGTGTCCTTTGCCCTGGAAGGCTGTGACGCTGTGCAGCTGCTCCTTCTTCAGGACCACTCCTCCACTGCCCAGCTTCAGCGTGTTGTGAGACGGGCTGCCCTCGCGGCTCCCCCTGGAGGCCTCTGAGCGCAGCTGCAGCATGGCCTCCTTCACCAGCTCCTCCACGTCGGGGCCCACGGGGAAGTGTCCCGCGGTGTCCACGCACAGCTCCAGCCTGTCCTCCGCAGCGCTGTACACAAACGTCTTCCCCGTCAGGTGCGGCAGGGTGCAGTGCTTCCCGTCCAGCAGCCCTGACAAACACAAACACACACAAACACATAAACAAACACTTTAGGGTTTATTTGAAAGAGCAAACACAATCAGCACATTCAGCTCACGTTTAAATAGCACCAGTCTATAGTAGCTGTCAAAAGTAATGAAAATCTGAATCTAACTGATACTTAAACTTGTATCGAAACTAGATTCTCATTTGCACAGGTATCGATATGAAAAAATCCCGTTCACAGGACAGTAAAGAACCTTCCTTGAATGTCTTTAGAATGATCTTGAGCTGTATTAGAACAAGTTTAAGAGCACACAGACTAGAACACGCCCATGGACCACTATGGAACTTACCTGGACCACTGAGGGATTACACAGTTATAAGACCACACGGGAATAGAAAAGCACATACTGTGATTTAATGTTGAAAGTCACATTCTGTTGTCTAAAAGTTGTTGTTTTTTTCACTAGTATGATGAATATGAGGTTATGTTTACACTGAAACGAATCACCGTATCGGAAACGATTTGCATCCAGACATGTCGTTTCTGTGTCTGCGAGCCTTCTCTATCCACACACCTTTGAGCATATTTGTTTACATTTTACAAAAATGAAACTTCAAATCACATGGTTAATTTACATAAAACTGAGCGCTCAAAAAAACAGCGTTTTCCTTGTGCGCTGATGCGGTTCAGCTTCTGTCGGACTAAAGGACACGACTCAGTGGAATATGAGTGTTCTTTCTGTGACAGAGGGATGTTCTGCTGATGGTGAGTCTGTTCTGTGCTTCTGTCGCGTTGGAGATGGTTCATGTTAAACTTTTCAGAGATTATACGTTTGCAGGCCGTACACACAGATCGTATGTATGAATGGACAAATATTCTAGCCTCTTAGCATTTTGGTGGTGAATTACTTCGCGGTGCACAGACCTACATCAGCGTATCAGCGTTTTCAGGCGTCCACACAGTGCTGGATCAGATCTGTACTCAGATGAATTCGTGGGAGTTGGTGGCACCAGATCGTTCTGTCTCTGGAGCCTGTTTTCCATCGGATTACAGTGGATCCGCAACGAAAACGACTCGAATACGTACTAGTGTGGATGGGGCCTGAGTATCGAGTCTATTCCTCAGTAGCTCAGAAATGGAGTTCGGATTTTAGTATCAAGACACTAGTCTACAGAGAGGATGTATTTGAGCGGTGATGACAGACTGAGGAATGACAACAGCAGAGATTTATTATGTTTTTGACACAGACTTTCAGTTCATTAAAAAGGAATTTGTTTGTTTCTTCAAGTCACTAGTACAGGGGTCTCCAACCTTTTTATTCTGGTGGGCTACCTTCACAAAAAGAAAATGCCAAAGAGCTACTGATTTTATCTGTCACAAGAAACTGAGTGTAGAGAAACCTTAGACGGGGAACAGTTAGATACCTAAAAAACATACATTTTAGTGCACAAAGTTAGGCATCAAAATAATACATTAACAATGGTAGGTCATCAAATTTTAGTCATTCAGCACAATATGTATGATTCAGAAATCCTTTGATGAGCTACTTGGAAGGGGGTGGAGAGCTACTGGCCCCGGCCCAAGTCGTTCACGACGATATGATTTTATCTCCAATCAATTCACTCTATTTATAGCACATTTCAGAATCAAACTGTTTTCAAAGTGCTGCACAAATACATACTAATAACAATAAAATGATACAATAAATGCTCAGATTTAATCATACTAGTCTTAAATTAATAAAACCAGTAAAATAAAATAAGAGCAAAATCACAGAATAGCAATAAATAAATTAAAGCTTATCTGGAACCTAATACTCTTCAAATGCTAAATATCACCTTTTATAGGACAAAGCTACTGGATTATTGTCAGTACGCTTCACTGTGATTGGTTAAATCCACCTGTCACTCACTCAGATGGATGGAGGAGCCAGTAAGGAGAGAGAGTGAGTGTGTGTGTGTGTGTGTGTGTGTATCTTTGAGCGTAGAGCTGCATTAAACAGGAGCTCTGAGTCACCAGACCCTCTCTGCAGATGGTTACATCACTATTTAGTGTTTGGATTGCTTCATATGATCAAACACTAATGACAAATGAGATCAGAGTGCGTGTAGTGTTTACCCATGTCCTTCTTGACGATGTTGTAGAAGACTCCTCCCTGCTGGAACAGGTGGGGCAGCTTCTTGGCGTAGGACCAGACGTCTTCACCTGCACAGAGGAGCACACAGCTGAGTCCTGACCTGTCCTTTTGGTAGACACAACTCAAAACAATGTTCACCTAAAACCTGTCTGTTCATTGGTGTGCAGTAGTCCTATAATTTGTCATGAACGTCACTGAATTAAACCTATGAAATCAAATGTGTTCTTCTGTGTTGCATTAGTATCTACTATCTGGTATAAAAGTTTCCATTCAGATGCCGTTCTCCTCAGAGACCTCACCACTTCCAGACTGCTCAGTTGACTGATCAATCACTGGTTTGTTATTATTTGACGAGTCCATTTTGTTCCTTGAGGGTCACATATTGACACACGCACACAGCAGAAGGCCACAGACGAGACATCAATAAGGTACCGTATTTTTCGCACTTTTTTTCAGGGTTTGGGTTTTTCCTGCGACTTATATATTAAAATTTTCACACTAACAACAGAGAGGGTGCTCTAGTCTTGTGTGTCAGTATCTGCTGCTCCTGTTCCTCCTGTACCGCTGTCATCTGGCTCTGCTGCGCATGTCTCCTGCAGAAAGTCTGTCTGTCCTCTCTGTATCATGTCAGTCCATCGCACCATTACTTCTGTACCACTGAACAATTTACAATTTTACAATCCTGTCGAGATTCAGAAAGGCCGGAATAATTCTAACTGGAACTGATGCCGAGTCTGACGACAGCGACACAGAAGAGGAAGTGGCGCTCTGTTTACCTCCGGAGGTCGAGGAGTTGCTCAGAAGTGACACAGATGAAGATTTGAATGGATTTAATGATTTGGAGTGAGATGGAGAGTTTGGTAAACTTGTTCTGTTCTGTTGTTTATGTTATAGTTTATCTGAAGAACTGTTCATATGTGTCTCTGTATATGTATATGTCTCTGTTCTATATATATATATATATATCTCTGTTACTATAACTTCCTTTTCAAGATAAAATGTTGGTTCCTGGCCTCTGATTCTTTAAAATAAATTTCCCCCAAAAAGTGTATACTCCGGAGCGAGAAAAATACAGTACTGATTCAAAATGTTGCATTTGATGACAGCACAAATAAAACACACTGAAGCTCTGGTAAATTTCACTTTAACATTGTGGTCTAAAACAAACCAACATGAGCTGTATCAGAAGAAGTATAAGAGCACATAGACAAGTATACGCCCAGAGACCACTACAGAACCTACCTGGACAATTATGCAGGGATTATGTAGATATAAGTCCACATGGGAACATAAACGTACTATTTAATGTTGAAAATCACATTCTATTGTTTAAAGAAATTGTTGTTTTGAAGTTGAGTTTGAAAATTCATGGAGCATCATCTTACCCATGAGCGTGGCCAGCAGGCAGAGGGAGGACATCTCCAGGTCGATGCTGTCCTGCAGCTCTCGACTGGCCCGGCTGGCCCCCGTCTCCTGGCTCCTGGCCCCCGTCTCTTGGCTCTTGTTTGTGGCAGCAGAGTGGGAGCTGAGGGACTTCTCCTCTGGGCCTTTGCGCACCAGAATCTCCACACTCACCCGGTCTCCGTGTTGCAGTGCCACCGGCTCGTTCTCCTCTCCGTCCTTCGGGGGGAGCAGTTCTTTGGGCGGGAAACCGTGGCGGATGCACTGCTGTGATGGAGGCACATTAAATTCTTTTGCTATGCTTTTTTGCAACTCTGTAAACGTTGTGTTCGCTTGTAGGGTGAGCATAGCCTGTCTGCCGTCACTGGTCGTCACGCGCAGCTTCTTCTCCTTATTGGATGAGGAAGACGAGGGGGACTTTGTGGGTGTGGCTGGAGCTGATGAGGAGGGGGAGGAGCTATCTGGAGAGACACGCCCCTCACTCATCTTTTGCTCTTGCTTGAGTTTGTCAGTGCGGCGTTTCTGCGACAGCCCGGCCTGCTCGCTGATGCTCTGCTGGAGGCTGCGCTCAGCTTTGCTCATGGTCAGCTCCTCTTTGTGCAGAGTTTTGGCTTTCTGACCCGTCAGAATGATCTTGGTGGGAGGGTGAGGGTCAGGCGGAGGTTCAGACTCAGAAATGAGCGGAGCATGAGCACCATCTATCGATACAGGATTATACTCATCCGGGTTCTTCTTTGCCGTGTGATGCAAGATGGTATTGACCACTTTTTGTACCAGTATCTCGCTCCCAAACTCTCCAGGGAAGTGTTTCGTGACTAGCTTCATGGCTACATCGTAAACATTGCTATTTAAGGTAGGGTCTGTCTCGTACTGAAACCAGTAAACAGTTTCCCTGACCACGCGGCCCGCCCACTCTAAGGTGATAGGAAAGGCTTCAGGGAGGTTGTCATACTCTTTGCCCTCCCAGTAGTGCTTAAAGCCACAGCCACATTTTCCTCCCTGAGACCTGCTGTGGGTCCGGTCTCCGTCCAGATAAACCACAGAGCCATTCCCACGGACGCGGCGCACAGACGTGCCGTGGCACCAGTTGCACGTGCTCAGAGAGCTGAGTTTGTAGTCGGGCACCAGAGTGTCTCTGTGTGGATCGTAGGAGCACACCACACTGTTCAGGGGGAAGCTGTAGTTCTTGTCCGGGCGCAGTTGTCCGTGGGTGGACTTGGCCAGGTTGTAGAGTTTACCTCCTGGGGAGAGCCACTCCGGGGGCACGTGCAGCTCAGACAGAGCTCCACAGAGCAGGCAACGGTGGAGCCGGTTCTCCTGCACACACTTCTTAGCGGCTTCGGTCACCTCCTCGGGCTGGATGCCGATGACTCCAGTGCGCCGGTAAACGTACTGGTGAACATCAGCCACCAGAGACGGGTGGATGCTGTGCTTCTCCATAAACACCTGCACACACAACGTACAAGAATAAGACAGGAAAACATTCAAAATAAAAACATGTTTGATAATAGAAAGAAGCATGACTTGTTGTCCACATGGAAACTGCCTCCTCAGTGTGGTTGAGTGGAATGTGTTGTGAATGTAAAGTCTAATATCTGTGTGATGTGGCTGGTTTGTCCAACATGGACTTCTCCAAGGGCTTAAAGTGAATCTATTAAACATTTTCCAATGCACATTTACAGTTTGAGAGGAATCATTATGATTTTACATTTTTTGAGTTAAATATGTCATATGTTACACATTATATATTTATGCTGATCTAAATATAGTAAAGATAAGAGGTAAACATTGTAATAAAACCATGAGTGTAGCAGATGTGACGGTGCAGACTCACCTCCTCCATGGCGTTGACCAGCCTCATCAGGTATTTGTCCTGGAGGCTGCGGTCGCCCCCGATCACACAGCTACCGTCTGCCTCCAGCTTGATGTACCTATGAGCAAGAACAGATTCACCATCATCCTTCCATTAATATGCAACAAAATCATTGTGCAGTAAAAGATAAATACTCATGCCGATATCTCGATACAGCAGCCCATAATAAAAATACAACACCAAATGTAGTATCACGATAAATCGATATTTCTGCACACCCTTAAATCTAACTGTGATATTTCTGAATATTATTGAATTCAGACTTATAATAAATGTTTATATAGTAACATTCTGTTTAGAGTGCACAATGTAAACAACACCAGGATTGACGTCATCATTTCAGGGAAAACTGAAATATGAACTGACAAGAATCCTAGGAGAGTTTCAGAGTAGACCTCTGAAACTCTCCTATAACTATAAGATTTTTCTGTAGAAATATGTTTTTTGGACGGGATTTGTTCTGATGCACACTGAATAAAATCTTAATTATTTCCGTACAGTGAGTGCGTTGTACCTGGGGATGAGCTCCTGTGGCACGCCCCACGCTTTGGGCAGGAGGCGGGAGGGCAGCTTGGGCAGCACCGTGTTCTTGATGCCCACCAGGGGGATGTAGTGGTTGCGCCCTGAGCTGCTCCAGGCGATGCAGATGGGCTTGTTGAGTTTGCCGTCTTTGGCGCGGCACTGCTCCTCTGGCACCAGGCCGGGCAGGAAGGTGGCAGAGTAATCCCCAGAGCTGCGCATGCCGCTCAGGGAGTCCAGCAGGATGATGGGACGGTGCAGCACGTTAGCCAGACCGAAAATGTGGATGTTCCGCAGACCCAGAGGAACACCTGCCCACAGACAAGGTTTGGTCACAGCATTAAAACTTGGAAGTAGAAAATAGAGCAGATTATGAAGGCTAAATGTCACAATTTAGAAATTAAACACTAATGCCAAATAACGTATTTTCTGTTGTAGCCCACATCAGGCCTATGTGAGTGAGAGCTTCTGCCAGTCTGCCCTCGGGCAGCTGTGGCTACTGCTACAGAAGAAGCACAGGTATGGGGAATGAATTAACACAAGCAAAGTCTTTAATGCACTAACCACATTCTGGATTAAATTTAGTATCATGTTTATTTTTCCCAATATTCTATTGCATTTAGAAGCATTTTTCCAAGCTTTAAGCTTTAAGTCGTTAGAATAAATGCAATTCTATACTTTAAGGCACTCACGGGCCTCATTTATCAAACATTTGCTCACGTGTTTAACTGTTAACCACTTGAAAAGTGAACACAACACAATTTCTCACACAGATGTTAAAGAAGATGCAGCACACTTTTGCTCCTGTGTGCATGAATGAATATCCAAAACTGGGCATTTTTGCCAAAGAGCGTAAAATCTGAGGCAGAGGAACTGCAAATGAAGTTGTTTAATGGGTGCTCCCAGATTGATCACAACTATGAGAGCACAAACTGTGTGATAACACTAGTGTAGTTCACTGGAGACTGACTATTCACACAGAAGAGCAGCTGCACCAACAGGGCATTTGAGAGTGATTTTAAGTGCTTGAAAACAAAGGGCTGATGAGATAATAACATGTTGTTTTCAAAGCTGTAGTAAAAAAATATAAACTATCAACATGTGACACGGCCCTGACTCCCACAAGTCTTCAACTGATCCAGAGACGTCCACATCAGCTGTCCATCCAAACTGTGTCTTCACACGTCTGTCACATGTCTTAAAGACTGTCCCATGTCTTAAACAGGACACTGTGTGGTCGAGTCACTGTGTTCTCATGTATGTATTACAGTAAACGAAACAGAACGCTGGTTATTTTATTTTAGTTACTAAGTTTTTACAAGTTCCTTTTAGAACAACCCTCCATCTAAATGCTGTTATGAAGAAGGAGCAAACCTTCATTTACAACAACAATTCAATGTCCCACAGAAGCAGAGTCTCGTAAACATTTGCACTGCCGACTCTCATTACATTTCCTTTTTGTGGCAGAAATAATACACACTTCCCAAAGGTTAATCACATGCAGCATGACCACAGTGTTGTTTTTCAGTACAAAGTTTAGCGCGTGGACTGATAACTGAGGCCCTAGGTGCGCCTGTCACTATTAGAGATGTAACAATAACTGAAAAACTAAACAGAACTACATGAACGTTGGCTCTGTTTCAGTGCAGACTACATTTAAAAATTTTAGGTCTTTGGATTAGGACAGAACCAAAGGCTTGTCAAGCCATTTTAAAAAGAAAAAGTAGCACATTCACCATTTTGTGTCTCCACATCGTAACGTGAGATTTGGATATGGTTACATCCCCAGTCACAATAACGCATTTTGATGTTCGATTTATTGCTGAAGTAAATATAAATGATAAACAATAACACTGCAACTAATTTATGCCACTGACACAACAAACCAAGACCAGATTTACCACAAAAACTATTCTAACTCTACAGTATTGGGACAAGATGGGACAAGATCTCGTGCCACAAGATCTGGCAAGACAAAATTGCCACAGGATCAGGCACATATGTGAAAAATTATCTAGTGAGATTTCTTCCCACCAGAATTTACCTTTGGTCTTGGACCAAAAAAAAAAAAGAGTTAAGAGCTGGAGAGTTATACTACCAGTATTTGGGAAGCTGTATTTCCAAAAAGCAGCACTGCAATGATCACTAAAGTATAAAATAAAACAAATGAAACCAATATTGAGTACATTTCTACTAACTTATTACCAATTATGTCAAAATCTCATCTTGTCTCATTCTTGTGGACCCAATATTGTGGTGTGTCTCGTGAAAATTGTGTCTTGTCGTGAAGAAATCATGAGCTTCAATAAATAAATAGCAGAATTAAGCACTTTAGTACTTAGTTTGCATCTGTAATGAGTCATAGAAGTTATTAATTCAACTTCCAGACCCGTATTACACTATTTTCTGGGACGGGACAAAAAAAAGACCCGGTAAGAGATTAGGTTTATGAGCAAGAGACAAGATTAGACTTTAACGTAATTCCTAATATATACATTTCACGATTCAGTTTCCAATTTTGGCCTCATGATTTTTAATGTATTTCATATTTTTGTGTCGATTCTAGTGCTGCTTTTCAGAACCGTAAGAGCTGTAACTCACCAACACGTAACCTGTTTTTGTCCGATCCAAATGTAAAGCACTTGGGAAAAAATCTCACGAGATCATTTTTCTCATGTGTGCAAAATCTTGTGGCACTCATCACAAACATACCCTGAGTTGTGGGAATACAGGAAGTGCTCCACTGTGTTTTTAAACTCTACACACCTTCACTAGAATCTTTTGGATAATTTCAGCCCTGGACTTGCCTGTGCTTGTGATTTCACTTAGTAAAAAGTAGCTGTTACTAAATTAAATAACAAGCACAAGCATTTTGAGCTTGTATATGTAGACAGATTAATAATGAAGGGTTACCGTATTTTTCAGACAATAAGTCGCACTTTTTTTTCATGGTTTGGGTGGTTCTGCGACTACTTCAGTGCGACTCATATATAAAAATTTTCACACTCAAGCATTGAGAGGCTCTAGTCTTGTGTGTGAGTATCTGCTGCTCCTGTTCCTCCTGTACCACTGTCACTTGGCTCTACTGCGCATGTCTCCTGCAGAAAGAGCCTCTGTTCTGTCTGTATCATGTCAGTCGATCGCACCATTACTTCTGTACCAATTTAAACAAACGACTAAGAAGACTGAAAATCATATTTTGCAGATTATAAGCTGCAAGCCGTGAAAGCTGCAGAATCGAGCAGCAGAAAGAAAGTTTGGTGTGAGCGAGAAACTTGTGACACTGGGAGGATGCACCATGAAACTTTCCTGAAGTCACTGGATGGATGGACAAAGTCTGGACTTCAGTGACACCGAAACCATCCTGTCGGGATTCAGAAAGACCCGAATAATTCTAACTGGAACTGATGCTGAATCTGACGACAGCGACACAGAAGAGGAAGCGGCGCTCTGTTTACCTCCGGAGGTCATGGAGTTACTCAGAAGTGACACCGAGGATGAAGAATTCAATAGATTTAGTGATGTGGAGTGAGATGGAGAGTTTGTTAAACTTGTTCTGTTGTTTATGTTATAGTTTATCTGAAGAACCTGTTCATATGTGACGTTAACAGTCTGTTGTTCTCTGTTCTATTGTTTTTACTAGAACTTGCCTTTCGAGATGAAATGTCGATTCCTGGTCTCTGATTTTATTAAATAAATTTCCCCTAAAAAAGTGCAACTGATATGTTTTTTTCTTTTTCATTAAGCATTTTTTGGCTGGTGTGATTTATACTCCGGAGCGACTTATAGTCCGAAAAATACGGAAAACAACAGGTAACAGGTAACAACACTATAACATGGCGTAAAGCTCACAAGAATATATTACATACCTTTAAATTTTATCAAAAAGCCAAAAAATAACAAAAAAATTCCCAGTAGTAAGAAAATGTACATATATTGACCGATAAGTGGATATAGTAATTTTCGGGTGTACGTTACTTCACACAATCACTGCTTAAAGCCCGTACCTTCTGGAGGGATAAAGAGCGGGTCACACTCGTTGATGATGTCCTCCCACTCGGCGGCGTCGATGAAGTCCTGGAACAGCGCCTTGTACCGGTCCAGGTTCTGCTTGAAGTTGTGTTTGAGGTTCTCCCGGAGCGCGTGCCAGAACAGCTCCCTGCCCACCAGCGCCCGGGACACGGCGTGCACCAGGCAGTGTCCGTCCCCGTCCACGTGCACCGGGATGAGGCACTCGCCGCCCCCGTTGGCCCTCTTCACCTCCTCCAGCGTGTCGTGCAGGTAGATGAGGCTGCCGGAGCGGTCCTTGCCGTAGCCCACCGTGGACACGTGCTCGGGCTCGATGAGGAAGGCGCGGTCCCCCAGCAGGGAGCAGTCGAACATCTCGCCCTGGTTCATGTCGCGCAGGAGCTTGGCCTTGCCGCTCTGCTTGTCCATGCCGTAGCGCGTCAGCACCGGGGACAGGAGCTTACAGTGGTAGTTGGACAAGCCCATCACCTGGAAGAAGCAACCGTGATTATGGATTTAAATCAAACTGAGTCAAATCTGTTAATGAAGTGCGTTTGTTTTAATAGTACATTTTCAGTCTCACTCTGTCTAAAACCCACTAACCCTGTAGTTTAGACTTCTACTAACATGAGATTGTGTTAGCAGGGGTGTTAGTGCAGTTATAAAGTCATCACGGTGCATAATTAGGATGTTCAGAATGTGTAAGGTAAGTGAGAAATAACTTTAAAGTGTTCTCGCACACATGATAAATACATGCACTGTGAAATGAATGATGTGCCGTATTTTTCAGACTATAAATTGCACTTTTTTTTCATGGTTTGGTTGTTTCCTGCGACTTGTACTCCAGTGCAACTTATATAAAAAATGTCCTGTCCTGCTGCAAGTAGTGAAATATGCAGATGAAAACGGTAATCGAGCAGCAGAAAGAAAGTTTGGAGTGAGCGAGAAACTTGGGACAGCGGGAGGGTGCGCCATGCAACTTTTCTACAAGCCACTGACAAAGCCTGGACTTCAGTGACACCAAAACCATCCTGTCGGGATTCAGAAAGGCTGGACTAATAGGCGAGTTTCATTGTTGACAAAAGCGCGCGTTGCATGCTGGGAATTATTTTGGTCGGCGGCAAGGAACACTAATTCATCATGACGGACGGAGCAAGAAAGCACGTAAAGGGTATTGATCCTGGTTATTTATCCACTCTAACGGCAGAGGACCCAAGACCATTTGACCAGAAATTGGTCATAAGCATCGACGCCAAATCACCCTTTTCAACCCCGACAAAAAGTTGGACCAAACCAAATTTCTGGTCAGAATCGCCAACTACCTGGACAAATATTCACTTTGGCGATATCCACAATGACTTGGTGGAAACTCCTGGGCCATTCACAGCAGAAAAGATGAAAACCTCCAAGAGTCTCAGAATACGAAAAAGACATTTTCCTTCTTCCGTGCTTCTATTTGTGCATCCGATAATGCAGCATGAATTTACCATTATCGGGGATAAATACGTGAGGTTACGCACCGTGTTTGACGCTATCGTTTTTCTTGCCTCCGACCAAAATATTTCCCAGCAGCAACGCGGGCTTTTAATAACAATGACGTCAGCTGAAACTCGCCTATTGTAACTGGAACTGATGCTGAGTCTGACGACAGCGACACAGAAGAGGAAGCGGTGCTCTGTTTACCTCCGGAGGTCACGGAGTTGCTCAGAAGTGACACCGAGGATGAAGAATTGAATGGATTTAGTGATTTGGAGTGAGATGGAGAGTTTGGTAAACTTGTTCTGTTCTGTTGTTTATGTTATAGTTTATCTGAAGAACTGTTCATATTTTACGTTAAGATACCAGACAATTATTCAGTCTGTTGTTCTCTCTTCTATTGTTATTACCTTGCCATTCAAGATGAAATGTCAGTTCATTATGCATTTTTGGGCTGATACGTCTTATACTCTGGAGCAACATATAGTCTGAAAAATATGGTACTAATAACCCATGTATGAGGGGGGAAAAAAAAGACGGAAAAAATCCCCTCTAAAATGACTGATTTCTAGTAGCAAACTATAACCCAGGATGAACCTAGAGTTTGTTCACACTTGCAGGTATTTGGTCCTGGTTTGAGCACAGTTTAATCCAGGTTTAGTTTCACCTTTAGACCCAGTTTAGTCCTACTTTTGGCGCTGTGTTCGTGCAAGTGTGACTGGACTCTAAAGATAACCCACGATTTACGATTTGGCAGAAAATGTCAAATGTAACAGTGCACTGAAACAGCCGTCTGCAGGGAGGCTCCGGGGACGTGTGGAGTGGAGATGTTTTCACCTTCACCAGCTCCGTGCCCTTTTTCGGGGCAGAGCTGACGCCGAGCAGAGCATTCCTCAGCAGGTTATGGAGCACCACATCGGGATCGGTCACCTGAAATCGCAAAGGGATACGATTAAAAGAGCCATTTGAGAAGAACCTAAATGCATTGTGATTTGTGCTTTTTTGGTACTTAAACTGTTCAGACATCTTAAAAATAAAACTGTGTTCACTGACTTCCTGTTCAAAAGGCAGAGTTGATAGTTGATCGTGCATAGTGGTATTTTCTCCCTAGCGAGCAAATGTTACGTGTGTGTTTTGTTCGTGTGTGGGGGGAGAGAGTGAGAGGATCGCTGACAGGTGAAAACAGACATTTTCTGACCACTCAGGCCTCAAGTGCATGACAATACAGGATTACTCAAACACGCATGAATCACTCAAAACAAATCGGAGTAAAATAATGAGGGGCTCACTGTTATAAGAAGGTGAAAAGCAAATAAATGTTGATTTTGTTGATGTATCCTTAAATTGTATTATATACTCCTGATCAAAATTTTAAGACCAGTTGAAAAATTGCAGGAATTCACATTTTGCACTGTTGGATCTTAAGAAGGTTTTAAAGCTACGTTCAGACTGCAGGGCTTTATGCTCAATTCTGATTTTTTTGTGAAATCTGATGTTTTTTCGAGGTCGTTCACATTTCCAATTAAATGCGACTTGTATGTGATCGCCAGTGTGAACATAAAATGGCCCAAAAGTGTCCCGCATGTGCACTGGAGACACGACGACGTCAACCGCAGCGAGCGTGCTCTGTGTTTACGGAAGTTGTCCAAACATGGATGCGAGCGTTGAGCACCTGGAGATTTTAAAGTTACGAATATTGACTTTTGTGGTTTGTTGATAACGTGTAGGTCAGATAAATTCGCTTTGGCCGTTCAGACTGAAGTCGCATGTCAAAAGATCAGATATGTATCGGTTTTAGGAGCACATATCCAAGTGTCCTGGGTCGCATTTGAAAAAATCAGATCTGTGTCGTTCAGACTGTCATTAAAAGATCAGATACAGGTCACATAGGGGCCAAAAAAAAAAAATCGGATTTGGGTCACTTCAGGCTGCAGTGTGAACGTAGCCTAAGTAGTGCTTCAAAATGCAAAAAGAAGAAATGGGAGTGAGACAAGAACAGATTTTGAATAATCAATTTATTCCAAACAATCTTTAAACTGAAATAGGCTGTTCATCAGCTGATCAAAAGTTTAGTAAGTAAATAAGTATTTATAATGCGCTTTTCACAGACATATGTCACAAAGACGCTTTACAGAGCATTACAGATTCATTATTCTTTTCTCTCCACTCCTGGTGATGGTAAACTACTACCAACTAAGCCCTGATGAAGACCAGTTAACGTCGAAACATGTTGACTTTGGCCATTCAAATAAAGGAATTTTAACTACATTTTTCCTCGTGTGATTTTTTACTTTCTGTACCTCTTTGGAGTGCCTGGAGTCCGTTGTGTTTTAGTGATGGTAAACTACTATTGTAGCCACAGCTGCCCTGGGGCAGACTGAGGGAAGCGCGGCTGCCATGCCAATCGGCGCCATCGGTCCCTCCGACTACCAACATCACACACACACCACTTTCATACTAGGCAATGTGGGTGAAGTGTCTTGCCTAAGCACACGACAGTTTTTTGTGACTGGCGCCCCACAGTGGCTCCTGATTTTCATAGTGGTCTCCCATCCAAGTACAAACCAGCCCGGCCCTGCTGAGCTTCTGAGATCTGACGGGATCAGGCTTTGTCAAGTTTTGTTTAAGACCACAGGAGTGTATATGTTCAAAACAATAATATACAAAAGTAATAGTTACAAGCCTAATACAATCTAAGGTTCCCCACTCTTTTTCACTGACAAAATTTCTAAACTTTTCCATGACTTTTTCATGACCTAAAGTGAATTTTCCATGACTTTACGGCTCCTACACATGTAGAATTGATTATATTTTTAGGGCTAAATATGAAATGTTAATCCTTTCCACTCACCTTATGGTTTGGGATTATAGTTTTTTAACATTCAAAATCCTGTCAGTGCGTTTATTGTCGTCACTTTTAAACAAGGTATTCCCAGGTTTGACTACCCCAAATTTAACACTTTTTCAAGACCTGTTAAAAAACACTTAAATGAAAGTTAAGACCAACATCGTACCCATTATGCGGGCGAAAAACACCAGATCCAATTCTAATAATGACCATCACTCACGGCTTTAAATAACAAAACAAAAACTTTAATAAAATCTCATTCAGAACTCATTTATAGTCGTATGCATTGCTTGTAAAATGGCCAAAAAAATCATTTATAACATTTGACAAGACAAAGTATTGTTTGCACGTACTCCAAATTAGACGTTCATTCATGTTACAGTGATTTGACGTTGTTGTTTTTTTCCTCCCTCCCTCCATTTAACATTTGCACTGCAGCTCCAATTGAGTATACAAAAAATAGGCTAATGAAATTTAAGACCTTTGTGAAAAAAAATAAGACTTGGACAACATAATTTAAGACTTTTTAAGACCTTAAATTAGGAACATTAAATTTAAGACCTTTTTAAGACTTTTAAGACCCCGCAGCTTCCCTGTTTAAACAAAAGGTTCAGAAATTATCATAACAGCCTAATCATAACTTAATGCTGTAGTAGGCCTGTAACAATAAATCAATTAATCATACGATAACTTTTAACGAGCTCGATAACTTTTCTGGCCGCGATAAATTCTATTTGCATTCTTGTTTGTTTTCCTCACTCTCTCTCGCTCTCAAAGAGGGTGAATGTTGACTCCTCTTGTTTAAGTGTAATGACGCTTGAACCAACGTGCGATGTGTTTATCGACACAGTGGATGCGCGCGCAGCCTGAGTGCAGAAAGCGCCGCTGTCTGTGCGGCTAAACATGAAGCCGCTACAGAAGCGCCGTTGTCAGAGTGACAAAACACAGTGACAGTTCATTGCCGAGTGGCAAAACAAGTCACGATGCCGAATCAAGACTTGTGAGCGGGAAACGTCTCAACAGCCACGTGTGTCAAATGCAGCGAGCGAAACGCAAACAACGAGAAGAAATGTCTCAAACCCCAACAGCCAATAAACCTAAACCCGAGCGACACAACTAACCCCGCCCCCTGAGAGAGCCCGAAATCCACCGAAATCCCACAAAACCCCGACACGACACCAGACAGGACCGTGGCTCCCTCATAGCGAAACAGGATTCTGTGTCGCGGGTTAATACGAACATTTAAATGACCAAAATGACGAGACTCACAGCAGCAGCCACAGAGATATTGGCCACTATATACCAATGTAATGACTAAAATCACTTTTTAGGGCAATTTTGTTACAGAGACTTAATAATCCATTTTATTTAATGCTTTGATTGTGTTTGGTTCAGCAATGGTTTATTCAAGTGCATTTTTGTTAACAAGTCTCACTGTGAGCCAGACACATTAGGCTTGTCCTGTGTTAACAAGTCTGTTTTATTTAGGCCTATTATTTTTGGTTGTCTTGCAGTTCCTGTGTTAAATGTTATTTAGAAAGTAAGGTTTATTGCTCTTTGAAAGGGTGTATTTGCATTTTTATTCCAATGTCATTATAATAGTTGAAATTGGTCTGAAAATGTCAAAATTATCGTTTATCGCAATAAATTCTCGGTCAATTAATCGTCCAGCAAAATCTGTTATCGCTACAGGCCTATGCTGTAGTCGCATGAACCAAATACTAAAATTCCATGACTTTTACAGGTCTGGAAATTGACATTTTTCAATTTCCAGGATTTCCATGACCGTGGGAATCCTAATAATCATTTACATCAGTGACCAGAAGGGAGGGTCAATAAATATATCACTTTTACCAATGTTCCGAGTACATTATTTATACCGCTACTGTCTTTAAGGGGTGTCTCCAGTCACCTACCGCTTTCCATTTTTAGAAAGTTCACACTTCACTGTGATTCACCGTTAAATCCACCTGTCCCTCACTCCGAGCCGCACTGCCTCTGTACAGCTGTGTCAAACAGAGAGGCACTGAATCACAATACGAGAAAGAACCGAAAAGCAGCTCGTCACGGAGACCAGATCACAATTAGATTTGCGTTGTCACATGCACGTCCCCCAGCTCTACAAACTCCGTCAAGCGCAAACACAAAACCTCAAAAATGTCAGTATCAGCGGGGCTTGTTTTTCCTCATGATGACTGATCCGAATATTTGTTGTTTGTTTGATTTTTCCCAAAGAATTATAGACCGAAACAAGACAGAATATTTGTATCAGCCCGATTTATTCCTCCACAGTCCAAACACTGCTCCTGTTCCTTTAAAAACACCCAGGCTGATCACTGACCATTAAACAGAACTGTATCTCTATCTTGATTAAAATGCCCGGCCCTACGTGGCAGCCAGATAAACACAGGGTGACCTAGGAAAAGGGAAAATGCGAGGAGACAGATGTGCGGATTCTGTCCCTTTGGTTTTATTGACCAAATGGTTTTCAGTTTAGAAACAGATAAACTATTAATGATTTGCATAAAAACAAGATAAGGCCGTCTGCATTGCGTTAAATGAAATGAAATGGGAGCCCGGACTCGCTGCTGACATCAATACGCTGCGACTTCTTCCTCTCACAACGTCGGTAAAAATGTTAACTGTTTCTATAACGGAGATGCAAAAGTCAATGAAAGCGTCTGCAGGCCCAACAGCAAACAGGATCAAATTATTAGTCAAAATAGATGAAAAAAGAGCAAGGCATATTTTTATTGTACTGGAAAAAATATATAGAAAAATTGTCACAGTTCTCACAATAATATCATGGACCATCACAATATATCGAATTACAAGTTTCTTTGCTTAAATTAAGAGTTATGGTGCAGCAAAAAGACAGAGTGAACTACATAGACCATGATGCTTTGCTCCATTTCAGTGCAGACTACAAGAAGAAAAACAGTTCTAAGCATGTTTAAGCTTAAGTTTTTTGGATTAAGTCTTGTCGAGGCATTTTAAGAGGAAAAAACTGCATATTAGGTTAAGTTTTGTTTGTAAGCCTCCGTAAAATATCGCAAATAATATCATACCGTGAGATATCGTGAAAATATCGTACAAAATTTTGATATTGTTACATTCAGGGGTGTGCAAAAATACCAAAATGTCGATATGTCGTATCGTTTAATGTGCTGATACAGTACCGATATCGTGGGCTGTTGTATTGATATATCGAGTATTTTTTGATAAATTTTACTAAATTATTTTGTTACAGCTACAGTTTTGTTGCTTGGAAACTCGTTTATGCGACACATTTGACATTTTCACTGTTTTGATGTTTAAAACGTTTGTGTTTCAAATGACCTTTGCACAAAAAGCGGTTTAACAAAGACTTTTATTTTCACAGCCACGATTTAGCCTTTATTTTTTACTGAACTGTATCAAATCGATTTGAAATATATCGTACTGAATCAAAAGCTCAATGTATCGAAGTATGTATCGTATCGTGGCCTGTGTATCGAGGTTCTGTATCGTATCGTGGCCTATGTATCGAGGTATGTATCGTATCGTGGCCTGTGTATCGAGGTATGTATCGTATCGTGGCCTATGTATCGAGGTATGTATCGTATCGTGGCCTGTGTATCGAGGTATGTATCGTATCGTGGCCTGTGTATCGAGGTCTGTATTGTATCGTGGCCTGTGTATCGAGGTATGTATCGTATCGTGGCCTGTGTATCGAGGTATGTATCGTATCGTGGCTTATGTATCGAAGTATATATCATATTGTGGCCCATGTATCGAGGTATGTATCGTATCGTGGCCTGTGTATCGAGGTATGTATCGTATCGTGGCCTACGTATCGAGGTATGTATCGTATCGTGGCCTGTGTATCAAGGTATGTATCGTATCGGCAACTTCTTAATGATACCCAGACTTAGTAACATTCCCAATCGTGAGCTTTCCCACGATATCGCAATAAATATCGTGCTGTGAGTTTCATACCCGTGACAATATCGTATCGTGAGACTTGGACATCGTTACACCCCTAGTGTTCAACAGTACGGTATAAAACATTGTACTGGAGAATGTTTGGTTTGAAGCGTGTGTGTGTGTGTGTGTGTGTAAGTTTCTATTTCCGTGGAATTACGCAGGTGACGTGCCACTTCCAGAAAAGCAGCACGGTTTTGCACTTTGTGAATTGGTCAGCCTAATTGAAACGCAGCGCTTCGTCTCCGGGAGCCTCTCGTCGTCTCTCCGTTGATGATGTCAGACGCTTATGTCCCGGATGACAAAACAACAGAAGCATTTTAAAATTTAATTCAACAAAAGAGACCAAATTAAATTTCAGCTGGGAACATGACCAACACGACGGATGACAAAGACTATTTATATATAGATTTGTAAATAGATGTTGGTGCATGTGTGAGTAATGACTTGTACATTTTAATACTAACGTCGTACGAGTGTGTTTCATGGCGTATGAGCGAGAGATGCATGTATTGTAGGCTTTTGTTATGCTTTATGAATTGTGCGGGTGATGTGGCCTTGGTCCAGCTGGAGACTAAGGATGGAAATCAGCTTTGGCTACAGTCCTGCACATTTGCAAATACATGTTTAACTCTTAAACGATCTCGTCTTTTAATATGCCTTGTCCTTTTAGTAAATAAATACAAATATAAATACAAAACACCACCACAGTGCCCTTTGGAGAGGTTCTGGACAAATGTAAAAAAAGTAAAATGGTCATATGAAGTTATAGAGGTCAATGAGGGACATCAGATCGAAGTCTGAGCTGTTCAAGCTGCATTTCAGGACAACAAAGGGAGCAAAAAGGCATCATCTGTTGTGTTAATTTACAATGCAGCTGGATTTATGGACTATCGGAGGCACAAAGTCTTGTCTGTGGCCAATACGGCGCGCACTGTTCGGATCCAGGAGTAATAATTCAGGCCCACATCTCCAATTTTGGTTTAGGAATGTTATGTACAAACAGTGTTGGGAAGGTTGCGATTAAAATGTATTCCCCTACAGATTACAGATTACATACACTAAAATGTAGTTTGTAATGTAATCTGAATACTTTGGATTACTTGATTTGCTGTAGAGAAGCAAAGACTAGGCTATCTTCACATAAGTCTTTTTGTCTGCTAAAAGAAAATAAAAAGCCCAGACTTTACTTAACCAAATTGAAAATATTATTGATAGAAGAGGAGGAGACACGGTCCACACGTCTTGGTTTAGTCTTGGTTTAGTCTTGGGTTTAAACCTGGGTTTAGACCTGGGTTAGTCCTAGATTAGACCTGGGTTTAGTCTTGGTTTAGACCTGGTTTAGACCAGGTTTAGCCCTGGTTTTAGACCTGGTTTTAGACCTGGTTTAGTCCTAGATTAGACCTGGGTTTAGTCTTGGTTTAGACCTGGTTTAGACCAGGTTTAGCCCTGGTTTAGACCTGGGTTTAGTCCTGGTTTTAGACCTGGTTTTAGACCTGGGTTTAGACCTGGGTTTAGTCCTTGTTTGGACCTGGTTTGGACCTGGGGTTAGTCCTTGTTTGGACCTGGTTTAGACCTGGGTTTAGTCCTTGTTTGGACCTGGTTTGGACCTGGGTTTAGTCCTGTTTTAGACTTGGTTTTAGACCTGGTTTTAGACCTGGTTTTAGACCTGGTTTTAGACCTGGTTTTAGACCTGGTTTTAGACCTGGTTTAGTGTCCGGCAATGAGTGGAATTACCAAAAAAAAAAAAAAAAAAAAAAAGAAAGAAAGAAAAAAAGAGGGATATAGCCCAAAATGTGAAAACGGAAAAATACCGCCGTGTAATCCATTTATTTCAACCAAGTAACTGTAATCTAATTACAATTTATTGAAAGAGTAACTGTAACCAAATACACTTACTCATAATTTGTACGGTAATTACATAACTCCGGTACATGTAATCTGTTACTCCCCAACACTGTGCAGCACAAAACATCCTAAAAGGCTCATAACAATAACAAGGGGAGGTGAACGTGTTCGCAGCCAGAGACGAACAACCGAACCGAACCGAGCCGCGTTTGGCATCTCCCCACCACGGCCACCGCACCGTCCCCGAACCCCCGGTGATCACAACCCCCCCACCCCCCGGAGCACCCCGGGCACCCACCTCCTCGACGCGGAGCAGGCTCTTCTGGTCGTGCCGCTGGCCACACTCGGTGCACTCGATGCTAACGCTGCCGTGCGCGGGGAAGAAGAGCCGAGCCTCGCACCGCGGATCCGGGCACGTACCGGACAGAATGCGCTTGTCCTTCTTCTTGGAGCCCTGCAGGAGCGACATGGCGGCGGATCGCGGCCCAGTCCGACGGCCGCTCTCACTGGGTCATGGCCGTGCTGCGGTCCGGAGGCTGTCCGCGGAGCTCCGGCCCCGCTAGCGACAATAATCAGCAGAAAAACACAGGGACAACACGGAAGCGGCTGCCTTGACTTTAGCGACGGGACTGTTGCAAGCTACGTAACGATGACGGGACAGTTTGGGTAGCGTAGTGCGTAAAGACGTACACAAATCATTTTATTTACTAAATCGTTCAAAATATTCGCTTTATAACAGTAAAGCTTAAGCAGTTTCACACAAGGATAAACTAATAACCGTCAAACTTAACATGACCGCAAAGAGAAATAAATAATAGAATCGGTTTGACGTCGGGTGAACTACATTTCCCAGAATGCAACATCACAGTGTAGTGCCTTTTGCTGCGCCAGGAAGTAGATAGGCACAACAGCGACATAAAAGGCTGGGTTTAGGTTCCACGCCGTTTTTTTATGAGTAATTCTATAAAAAATAGACTAATAAAGCCAAAGTGAATGACCGGGACTTTCCAAAAATCACTGTTTACGCGGATTCCACGTACACGGCTTTTAAGAGCTCAATACTGTCCTCTGGTGTCGATATGAAGGAACAATCAACGACAGAAGTGGGCAAAGTATTGAAAGCGTTTGGGACAGACTATTGATGCACTGTGACAATTTTAGGAATTTTACATTGAATATATTCTTGGTAATACTTCTACTCAGTAATCCACGCATTAAAAGTCTTAGTACAACCATTACAGCTTGAAACAGTAAAACCTGACCATGCTTATCCTGCAGAGACTTAGACATAGACATTAAAACTTTATTGACCTACAATAGAAATTATTTGGACACAGTAGCTCACACATCACAATATAATCAGTGTTGGGGAGTAACGGATTACATGTACCAGAATTACATAATCAAAGTACAAACTGTATTCAATTACAGTTACTGTTTCAATGAGAGGTAACTGGATTACAGTTACTTTGCTGAAATAAATGGATTACACAGCAGTATTTTCCTGTTTTCACATTTCAGGGTATTACCTTTTTCTTTTTTTTCTCAGTAATTCCACTCATCGCCGGACACTAAACCAGGTCTAAACTAGGTCTAAAACCAGGTCTAAACCAGGACTGAACCAGGACTAAAACCAGGACTAAACCAGGACTGAACCAGGACTAAAACCAGGACTAAACCAGGACTGAACCAGGACTAAAACCAGGACTAAAACCAGGTCTAAACCAGGTCTAAAACCAGGTCTAAACCAGTGCTAAACCTGGTCTAAAACCAGGTCTAAACCAGGACTGAACCAGGACTAAAACCAGGACTAAAACCAGGACTGAAACCAGACTAAAACCAGGACTAAACCAGGACTGAACCAGGACTAAAACCAGGACTAAAACAGGACTGAACCAGGACTAAAACCAGGACTAAACCAGGACTGAACCAGGACTAAAACCAGGAGTAAAACCAGGTCTAAACCAGGTCTAAAACCAGGTCTAATTCAATCAACATTAAACATTGTGTTTAATGTTGACTTTAAAACATTAAGTCAACTAACAGGACGTCAGTGGACTATTTAGTTTCCTGGGATGTTTCTTTATTGTGTTGAAATGGAATCTTAAATATATTCAGTTTTTGAGCAGTTCAGGTGAATAAAAAACAGTGCATCAAACAACCCCAGTCTCCCCTAAAATACAGAACCAGACAAAACCAAATGAGGTGTCAAAGCTTTATTTACCCTCATTCATTAAAAAATACAATACACAATACAAAGAAAATCCTGCGTCCTCATCACTCAGTAGAGCACATAGTCACATTTGAAGACAGTTTAAAAAGAGCGTCTGTTATTCAGGTGTTTGAAAATACTTTTGCAAACACTGGTATTTCACATGAATATAGCTTAAATAGATGAACTGGCCTTTGAGGTTTGTGTATATGACTCCGTGAATACTTTATCCACTTTTTCTACTGTTGTCAATAGAATGTATGCACTTTGTTATAACATAAAAAATGTACCAGGAGTTGTATTTAGCTTAATTCAAGATCATCACCAGACGTGTTTTAAAGGTCCTATATGACACAAAACTGACTCACGTTAGAACGTTACCACATCAAAAACAGACCTGGAGTTGTGTTTTGTTTCATTCACACGTGTTTGAGTAACCTTTTATTATTAGTCTGTCTACATCTCCAAAGCTCAGAATGTTGTGTTCCACCTTGTGATGTCATGAAGCAATAGTTTTCTAGCCTGATTCATCAGCCGGTTTCACTTCGTGGAAACCGTCTGACCTCGCAGCATTAGGATTCGTTCACTCAACAGTAGGCAGGTACTTCTTTTATTTAACCAATCGCTGCTATTTGGTCGTTACGTATGTAATGCACCAAATCCCATAGGAAGAAGGGCAGTAACGTCTTTCCCCTTGATAAAATTCACCAAACATTCTCTTTGTTCCGGCTTTAAATCCTCGATCTCGGGAAACGTCGGCAACACAAAATGTCTGTCTTCATCTTGAAGACTATATCCAGTAATAAAGTATCGGCGGCAGCAGTGGAGACGGTTCGGACTGGTGCTAATCCAAACAAACTTAAATAAAGTAAATTAAACTTGGCTGTCAGCCCCTCACCCTGAAGGAATGCAGAGATACTCCAAGGAAGATCCAAGACGTGCATCTGCTCCACCTATTATTTGCATATTCATATTGATGTTTTATATCTCTGGGTTTAGGGAAACACAGTTGTTCAGACCGCCTGATGTAAGTCCTGTGTAGCTGTAGGTCATCAGGGACAACGATTTGACCCAGAGCTTTGTATTAGAATTGTATTGAATAGGGAATATATTTTTGTGATTTTAATCGATCGATTATTTATTTTTGAGAGAACACGCCTAACAACCTACATCCATCTCGACCACTTTCTTTACTGTCGTGTTGTACCACAAAAGGGACCCAGACAGGCGCTTGAGTTTGACGTTATGGCTTCACAGATCTTCGCTGATTGGCCGGGGCGCGGTCTACAACTTCCGGGGTTCTTGTAAACCATCTTGTGTATTCTGATTCCTGACCTAGTCGCTGGAGAGAAATAAAATTGAGCGGAGACACTACGTTAATAGTTTTCTAGTTAACAGCTACATTTTACCATTGTTCAGTAATGGTAATTCCAGGGCTGAAATTATCTACATCATTCTAGTGAAGGTGTAAGGCATGTACAACAGAGGGGAGCACTTCCTGTATTACCACATGACATCACAAGGTGGAAGAGAGTGTTTTCTGTTTAAGAGAAGAACTCTAAATCTGCAGGGTTTGTGTGTTAAACATGTGTGAATGAAACAAAACGCAACTCCAGGTCTGTTTGAGATGAGCACCAGAAAAAAGCATAATATAAGCCATTTATACGGAAGCCGAGAGGGGTCACAACAAACGCAAACGCCGCAACAAATACAAATGCGACAACACAACAAAAAGCCACAACAAACCAAAAAAAAGCCACAACGGAAATGACCGCGGGACTCTATTTTAATGCAAACGCCACAACAAATACAAACGCCACAACACAAATGCAAATGCCGCAACACATTAAAAAGCCACAACGGAAGTGACCGCGGGACTCTATTTTCTGACGGACCGATCAAGCGGCAAGTGAAGAAGAAGAACTACAACGTGAAACAAATAATGATAAAACAATAAATTACCTTTACTTACGTTTCCAACTTCTCCGTTCCTTTACTTTTCACGTCGTGTTGTGGCGTTTGTATTTGTTGTAGCGTTTGCATTAAAATAGAGTTCCGCGGTCATTTCCGTTGTGGCTTTTTTTGTCGCGTTGTGGCTTTTTAATGTGTTGTGGCTTTTTAATGTGTTGCGGCATTTGCGTTTGTGTTGTGGCGTTTGTATTTGTTGCAGCATTTGCATTAAAACAGAGTCCCGCGGTCATTTCCGTTATGGCTTTTTTTTGGTTTGTTGTGGCTTTTTGTTGTGTTGTCGCATTTGTATTTGTTGCGGGCGTTTGCATTTGTTGTGACCCCTCTCGACATCCGTACATTTACGCATTTCTGCCGTCCAATCACATTCATGACCGCATGCTTATGTAAATATTTTGTGGTATGTTCCTTAATTAAATAGAGTTGTTTTTTTGTTTTTTTTCCCACATGATGAGCAGATGAAGCCCTACACCAGACTCCTACATGTGGAGCACCAAAGATAGTCTGGTTCTATTTTATTGAAGTTCTAAAACATGAGATGCTGTACTAATTTATCGTTAAATGTTATTAAAGGTGCATTGTGTAACTTTTCTGGTAGAGTGTCCATCAAATGCTTTTCTCCGTAGAAATGTTATTGCTTTGTCTGGAATGTTTCACAGTATGGGATTAAACCTTTGTATCTACGTAAGGCCTGCTTTTCTTGGTATTTTTGAGTTATAACGTCATCTGTAATTTAATAAATGTAAGTTAGAGCTGTTTAATGTCGTACTGTGGAATATTTCAGATAGAGAAATGACCAAAAAGTTACATTGTGCACCTTTAACGTCTTCAAAGTGTTGATGGTGTCACTGCTTGAGGACGAAGAACAAACTTGCTCTGTTTTGCTGACAGGTTTCTGAGCGAGGACAGTGAGGACCACGGCAGCAGTGTACCCAGAAAGTACCTCCTGCGGTGAAGGGACCAGCCCCTCAGCCTTTGGCCCGCTCCCCAGAGGACCTCCACACGTAAGAATACACGGAAATTAAAAAAAAAAAGCATCTCTGTAAAATGTTTCTAGTTCGGCTGCAGCATGTTCTTGATCTGTTTGGGCGTGGTCTCGTCGTTTAAGTGTTTGGTCGTGTACCTGCGGAAAGAGAGATCAGTGAGAATGGAGCGAAACACAGAAATGAGGAGAAGAAAAGGAGAGAACGAGGAGAGGAAGAGGAAGTCTAACCTGAGCGCATTGAGCAGTCCCTCCACGCTGTTCGGCGACTGCTCCTTCAGAAGTCTGATGCAGCCTTTTATCTGAAACACACAAAGACACGAACTCCTTCAGCAGAAGATCAGACCAGGATCAGCGTCAGGATTTATACAAAAGATTTATCCAAAAGATGTGGAATCGTCCCAGAGCCTCCAGAACACTACGTCCCCTTTGTGAGTGAAGACAAACCTTCAGCAGTGTCTCTTAATGTGCGTTCACACCAGAGCGTCAAAAAACACCCTGGACGCCTTTATTTGGACGCCTTTGCATTTGAGTTTAGACGCTCCCGACGCGCCTCTTTTACACCGAGGATGAACGGGAGAAAAATACTTGACGCGCGTCTGTTGCCCTGGAAACATGTGCCACGTCCTCGTCTTTTCCCGAAATGACGTCAGACCAGACTGAGAGAGACTTTAGTGTTTTTATTACATAAAACCATCAGCGGAGGAGATCGGGTCGACGACTGGGGCGTATATATATTTATACTCCACTAATGACACTGGTCCAGTCCTAGTCTAGTCCCTGTTTAGTCCCTGTCTAGTCACCGTCTTGTCCTGGTTTAGTCTCGGTCTACTCCCGGTCTAGTCCTGGTTAAGTCTCGGTCTACTCCCGGTCTAGTCCTGGTTTAGTCCTGGTCTAGTCCCGGTCTAGTCCTGGTTTAGTCTTGGTCTACTCCTGGTCAAGTCCTGGTCTTGTCCTGGTTTAGTCTCGGTCTACTCCCGGTCTAGTCCTCGTTTAGTCCTGGTCTAGTCCCGGTCTAATCCTTGTTTAGTCCCGGTCTAGTCCCGGTCTTGTCCTGGTTTAGTCTTGGTCTACTCCTGGTCTAGTCCTGGCTTAGTCTCGGTCTACTCCCGGTCTAGTCCTTGTTCAGTCCCAGTCTAGTCCTGGTCTAGTCCTGGTTTAGTCTCGGTCTACTCCTTGTCTAGTCCTTGTTTAGTCCCGGTCTAGTCCTGGTCTAGTCCTGGTTTAGTCCTGGTTTAGTCCCGATCTAGTCCTTGTTTATTCCCGGTCTAGTCCCGGTCTAGTCCTGGTTTAGTCTCGGTCTACTCCCGGTCTAGTCCTTGTTTAGTCCCGGTCTAGTCTTGGTCTTGTCCTGGTTTAGTCTCGGTCTACTCCCGGTCTAGTCGTTGTTTAGTCCCGGTCTAGTCTCGGTCTTGTCCTGGTTTAGTCTCGGTCTACTCCCGGTCGAGTCCTTGTTTAGTCCCGGTCTAGTCCTGGTCTAGTCCTGGTTTAGTCTGGTTTAGTCCCGATCTAGTCCTTGTTTATTTCCGGTCTAGTGTCTACTCCCGGTCTAGTCGTTGTTTAGTCCCGGTCTAGTCTCGGTCTTGTCCTGGTTTAGTCTCGGTCTACTCCCGGTCGAGTCCTTGTTTAGTCCCGGTCTAGTCCTGGTCTAGTCCTGGTTTAGTCCCGGTCTAGTCCCGGTCTAGTCCTGGTTTAGTCCTGGTCTAGTCCTGGTCTAGTCTGGTCTAGTCCTGGTCTAGTCCTGGTTTAGTCCCGGTCTAGTCCCGGTCTAGTCCTGGTTTAGTCCCGGTCTAGTCCTGGTTAGTCCTGGTCTAGTCCCCAGTCTAGTCCTGGTTTAGTCCCGGTCTAGTCCTGGTCTAGTCCTGGTATAGTCCTGGTCCGGTTCCGGTGTAGTCCTCGCGATCCGCTCGGAGATTGTGGTGTATATATTTATGCTCCTCTGATGTCTGTGGCTCTCGCTCTGGTTCTCGGGTCTTTCTCTTTCGTTCTGGATAATAACGTCGCTGCGTCACTGGATACTCGTCCCTGATTGGTTGATGCGGCACGTCTGACGCAAAAAGCTCAGCATTTTCAACTTCAGACGCCGACGCCTTGGACGCGCAGCAAAAACGCAGGACGCCCTAGACGCGCATCCACATAGACTTTATATAGAAACTCGACGCTTTGACACTCTGGTGTGAACACCTCTTTATACTGACTTCTGTTTGTGCTCAGCTTGTGATCTTTTCATTATTATTTCATTTTTAACTCTAGTGGAGTTAAAAATGTGCTGTTTTACTTTTTCTGGTGGAGGGTCCATCATCTGCTGGCCTCTATGGAGATTTTAGGAATATTTTTTTACCTAAAGCACAGGTGTCAAACATAAGGCCCGGGGACCAGACCCGGCCCTCCAAGCCCTTTAATCTGGCCCTCGGCTGATTTTCTACTAAAATATTTAAATTATATTTTCTATTAAAATATTGGTAATTTTCTGCGGTGTTTATCATATCAGCGTCTCCAGCGTCTCTGTACGTGGCCCCTCCCACCAGAGCAGCACAAATGAAGACTTGTCTCTTTCCAAACGCTCTTAAAGGACGATCGTTTTGACTGTTGACCGTGACACCCTCATCAGAAAAATGTCAAAAATGAGAAAAGTGGACGCCAAGTGCAGGATTTTACAAGAAAAATTTACTTATTCCTATTTGCATACAAGTTATTTTTAAAATGTTGTGTTGAAATTGCATTTTTCTTAAAGTTTCATGTTGTTCATAATATAATAATATTTTGTAAAAGAAAGAGTTCATCAATTAAAAAAGATTTCTGAAATAGATTTGTGTTTCTCTGTACAAATATTTGAACTTATTATTTTTGGGGTATATGCCATGAGATTTCTGATCCGGCCCCTTTGGGATCAAAGTAGGTTGGATACGGTCCCCGGACCAAAATGAGTTTGACACCCCTGACCTAGAAGGTTCCACAGAATGGCATAACATATCTCTATCTCCAAGGTAAGAAAAGATAAAGATAAGAAAGTCACCAGGTCAGATCGGTGGAACTTTTGAGCAATAAAACCACTGTAATTACGTGAGATTCAGGAGCAGGACCGCGCCTCGACCGCCGTCTCCTCCTCACCAGCGAACCACAACTCACTTTGACCACACCTCTAATTTCCCAGAAACCTCTTTGTAGCAGCCTTTCCCATCATCCCAGTTTGTCTCGGCTAACTCGAACCCAACGTCCCATCCCCTATATTGTCCGCCTTTCAAACATAAGACGTCTACGAAGGGGTTCTGTTCTGACCGGACCATCTGAAGATTGAGACCCCCGCCTAGAGTCTCAACCCAGCCACCTCTGCCCCGCCTCGAACATTATCAATAAACTTCTTCTTCTTCGCACTGTGTCGTTGTCGGCGTGGTCCTTGCTAGTGACACAAATGCGAGTTTAATCCCATACTTTGGAACATTCCAGGTAAAGCAATAACATCTCCATTTAGACAAGCAGGCGGCAGAGTCTCAACAGAAAGGTTGCATAGTTTGAAGGGCACAAAAAATTCTTTTGGTGAACAAAGGGCTTATTCATTTACCAATCACTCTCTGCATTCCTTCTCACACCTATGGTTTGAACTTTTGCAGATCCTTGGAGTCTCAGGAGCTGAAGAGTCTCAGGATTATGCTTTCTGCATTCTCACCAGGGACGTGTTCTGGTTATGTGTGTTTTTCAAGTTGTTTGGGGATAAACAGCTGACTAATTTAAATATGAGTTTAAAAATGTCCACACAAAAGTTCACATTTAATCTGAAAATGTATTTTTTGCTGTAACCTGACACAAGCTCGTTTTCTTTGTTGGATGATAAGGTGAATCACTGAGTAAAAGACTCACATCGATGTTGGAGGTCTTGACGAAGGCTCCGTGTGGGTGCACGTGGTCAAACAGGATGATCACTCCCACCATCACACGCAGACAGAACAGCACCGTCTCCTCCGAGCTGAAACGACTGCGGTACTCTCTGCGGGAAACAACGCCAGAGTCAGGACTGAGACAGAACTCAACCGGGACTAAACCAGGAGTGTAAGAGAATTGAAATAATTTATCCTCCACTTTACATACCAGTGTCTAAATTGTGGCTTATTTCTGTCTAACTGGAGCTTACTGGCCTTCACAGTCTCACTACACTTGCAATAAAACCTGCTCTTTTGGAAGTCACGCGCTCATACTACGATCGTACTATAATAATACTACGTTATATTTCCCGGGGCCTGTATTATTGATGGCGAACGCACTTCTCCTGCTTAAGACATCCACTTGGTTTCCAGCCTTTTACTTCAACGCTTTCTTAGACAAACCTAAAACTTTTGCAAGGACTAAAAAGCAGCGTATTCAGAACAAAACAAGGACAGAACTGTGAACTACTGAAGGACTAAACCAGCTCTAGACCAGCCTCTCAGCCCTTTATAGACTGTATTTATTTGCTGTTATAAATCAGGCATCATCAGATTTTTACATGCAAGGACTCTTTTTGGAACACTTTAATATTTTGCTTTGAATTTGTTATTGTTAAATACTAATTTTCCATGGACCAATTTTGTTGCATTTGCAGAAAACCTTCTCTAAACAGAGGTTTTCCTGCAAATCACTCGCTTGTTTGTCTTGGATGTGGACCCTAGGAAGAAAAGCCATTGTCTGTCATTGGCTAATGGGAACCCAAATAAACAAACAGACATAAAGCAGAATAAGCCTAAAACAAAAGTGTAGTAGCTGTGTAGGTGAGGCACGGTGAATGCTGAAATGGCTGAGAATGAGGCTACGTTTATATGATGTCGGTCTAAACAGAAGACGCAAGTGTCATCGCGTCTTCATGTCTTATTCCGTGTTTAGACAAGCGTTTTTGGGAAAAATCTGCGTGCATACGGTGACGCAAATGTGTGGATTTCGATATGCATGCCAGGTTTCTGTGTACTGTATGTATGTGACGTAAACGAGTATGCAACGTGAGCAGATCTGACCAGAGTTTTGCGTCTTGGGCAGTGTAAACGGAAACGCTACAGCAGATCGTATTCAATTTTTTCACTATGGAGGGTGGTTTCAGATTTTTGCGTTTTTAAGCCCCAAAATCACACCATCTAAACGAAAAGTCACTTCCGATAAAATACTTTGTTGTTTTTACCTGTAAGCTTTCTCGTGTATACAGACCCTGAGTTTGCTAAAGGTCTATGGACTCTGGATTATCAACAACTCTGGTTTGGATTCCTTTTGTAAACGTTAGCCTGATTTGTGTGCTTTACTGCTCAGTAATGAGGCGTGGACTTACGGCGTCTCCAGCATGACTTTGCAGACGCTGGCCATAGTGCTGAGGCAGTCTGTGGTGTTTTCCAGAGGAACATCGGGGTTCTGTCCAAACAAACACAAGATTATAATCAGTTTCATCATCATCACAGCTGCACCGCCATCTCCAGCAGAACACCGTGCACTCGTCACACTTGCACCAGCAGATCTCCTCCAAATTGTTATAAAAAGAGCAGATCTCCACAGAGTACTCACCTCTGAGACAAACCTGTTGGTGGCATCGCTCAGAGTCTTCAACATGGGCGTGGAACAGGCGTAAAACAAAGACATCTTATTGGCCAGCTCATTGTTCACCTCGTTCTGGGAGTCTTCCTGCAGGTTTAGAGACGGAACACTGTTAATGACACCAGTCCTGTTAGAGACCACTACCATATGTGTGTTTGTGTGGACTACAGCAGAGTTGGCTCACAGAAACACATCAAGAGCCACTTTTATTAGTTAGTAATACTTCTGTGAGTTACGTACTGTTAGTTTGTTGATCTTCCTTCGGCTGATGGTCCGTCGGTAATAACTGAAGTCATTCTGAATGGCCGGGGTGGTCATCTGAGGATATCAACCAATCAGAACACAGAACTAGATGATCCAAAGCATGTTCTTTTTAATAGGCTCTATTCACGCTTACGTCACAAACCAGGAAGACTTTTGGAAACATGCGATGACAACTTTCGGTGTAGTTACTGACACTGGGCTCACCGACTGACCCATTGAAGTAAATGTCAGTGGTAAAATGAAGACTGCATACGTATGTGCTGTTTGGAATCATCTTGAATCTGACGCACTCATCTTTTCTATCTCAGGGTCTTGTTCACAAGTGAGGGGAGGATGGAGCGTGAGATTGACAGGTGGATCGGTGCAACGTCGGCAGTGATGCGGTCGCTGTATTGGACCGTTGTGGTGAAGAGAGAGCTGAGTTGAAAGACGAAGCTTTTAATTTACTGCACAATCTTCGTTCCTCCCCTCACCTATGGTCATGAGCTTTGGGTAATAACCAAAAATACGAGATCTCGGCTACAAGAGGTCGAAATGAGTTTCCTCTGCAGGGTGGCTGGGCGCTCCCTCAGAAATAGGGTGAGGAGCTCAGAGTAGAGCTACTGCTCCTTCACGTCGAGAGGAGCCAGCTGAGGTGGCTCAGGCATCTTTTCCAGATGCCTCCTGGATGCCTTCCTCAGGAGGTGTTCCGGGCATGTCCCACCGGAAGGAGGCCCCAGGGAAAACCCAGGACACGTTGGAGGGACTATGTTTCTTTATTGGCCTTGGGAACGCCTCAGGATTCCCTAGGAGGAGCTGAAGGAAGTGTCTGGGGTGAAGAAAGTCTGGGAGTCCCTGCTTAGACTGCTGCCCCTGCAACGTGGCCCCGAATAAGTGGAAGAAAATGGATGAATCTCTTCAAATCGCATGTGCCCAGTGTGCTCGGAGTTGTGCATCAGTGGGGAAATGAACAGAACGCTACAGTGACCCCTAGATGAAGATAACTGGGCCATGTTCTGATTTTGGCAGACTATTGCGAACAGAGGCCGCCGGAAGTTGTCATCACATGTTTCCAAACGTCTTCCTGGTTTGTGACGTAAGTGTGAATAGAGCCCAAGAAGTAACAGATATGAGGAAAAACGGGTCAATCAGAGGTGAGGAGCAAGCGCGCGGTGGTTGCACCTTGAGCTCGTCGAAGCGCAGGGTGAAGTGCAGGATGTGGGCGAACTGTTGGGCCAGGGCCTGCTTCTGCTCCAGCTGCTGAGTGGGCGGGACCTCTGCACACGCCAGGACATTCAGCAGGAGGCGCAGGCTGGACTCTGGAGAGCACAGAGCACAAAGCAGACCTTCAGATCTTGGAGTTGTGCTGTTTCCATTGTAATCAAGTTTGAATTTTAGTATCGTGACACTTTGAACACCTAGAACAGATATCAACCAGACGGAGCAGAACAAAGAAGAGGAACATGTTGAACAAAGATCTGACCAAGTTTCTGGGAGAATTCATAGAAGTTGTGGAGTTTAGTGACCAGCGGCAGGACAGCAGCCCAGGCCCTCTGCTGCAGCTTCTCCACAGTGGGTCTTTGGATGGCCTGCACACACACGAGGAAGAGGGGGACAGTCTTTGAGTCAAACTGTTACGTAAAGGCATAAATATTGAGCCTTCAAAATACTCTGCATCTTCCATGGCCATTCCACTCTCACCCATCTTTTTTTTTTTTTTTTAAATCAAGCGAAATGTTTCAGTAACTTGGTGGTTTATAACATTTCGGAAACATATATTACATTTTAAAGATAGGTCTTGTAGGCATTAGTTACCACAGAGTTGATGAGCCCTAAGGTTTCAAACCAAGGGTGTAGATTTGCATAGTAACGGTGGGGACATGTCACAACCAATATTTAGGGAAGACAAAATACTCCTTACCAATATTTGTAATTTTATTTGAATAAACAAATTATACATTTATTCTGATATTTTTTCCAAACTCAATAGTATTAATTTAACATGTTTTAGTTCACATTTTGTTTATTAGACGTTCTGAGATGTATTCAGTGATATGATGACAGGGTTACTCCTGCCGCTGTTTCATTGGCTGTAACAGAGTGATGTCATTAGTGGAGCCAGGAGCCTAAACTGGGGAAGCGGCAGGACAGGGCCGCACCTGAAGATGTCGGCTTGAGCAGCGTGAGTAAAGACGCCGCACCAAACTTTGAAGAACTTTTCAAAAGGAACTTACTCGGCTTCATCTTCAATTAAACTTGTCTTATAATGAGTCGCCGCGGAAAAAGAGCAACTATCACCACAAGTGCACCTCTCAAACGGATCCCTACTCATGTGCTGTTAGCAGCCCGACTCTACAATATTCCGTGGAAAATGTACGGACATGACTTCACAAATCATCACCAACAAGCAAAGGGAAATCTGCTACCAATTTCTACATCACCATTATCCACTAAAGAATCATCTTAGAAGGACAATGGACACAAACTGAAAGATGAAACCACCTCTCACTTATTTTGGACCTGCCTAGACTCTGTGTTTTTGGAAAGAATTAATAAAACAGAGACAAAACTTCTTATCCTCTTTTACACTTTCTTATAAAGACATGCTGTTTGGGTTTTTGCAGTGTGCATCATACGAAAAGTAAACGATATTATATAATTCATCTGATAATCAAGTAACATGTCAGTTTGTTTCTTTCTGAAAGTCTAAGGGAAAAATAATATATCAGAGCTTGGAGTGACTGAGTTCCATTTAGGTTTAGGTGAGGACTGTACCTGCCGGATCTCCTCTCCTGCTCCTTTGTACATCTGCAGCTCCTCCAGAACCTCCTGGCCTTCCTCCAGCACCTGCTTCACCTGCTCCCACGTGGCTCTCTCGGCCTCAGACGGCTGTGCATCTGCAAAAGGGCAACTCCAGAAGTCACACAGGAAGTTTGTCTCATCTGTCTCATCTGTGTACGTGTGTAATACAAGTGATACTTTGCAGCTGAAGTCATCAACAGTTTTGTTTTAACACAATGTGACCACAAAGAGCTGACTTAGCAGGAACTACAACAGGTATTATGATCTGTGCTGATAAACAAGTCCCTCTCGAATAAGTTTACAGTCACAAACTCCTGAAAATGTGCTGTTTAAATCAGTTTTGTGCATTATCTTGAGTTTTTCTCTCTATAAACTTTTTTTTTTTACAGTGTTTGCTAATGTGTGTTTTGCATCACCATAGTAACGGCTGAGCATTTAGTCTATAGAGATACATGCAGAGGACCTCCAGCCACTGCAAAGTATGAGTAGAACGTGTTTCTCGTTGTGCATCTTACTCTCAAAGTCCAGGAAGAAGTTACATCCGCTGCTGTCCAGGTCCCGGGTCAGTACTCTGATCAGGTTCCCCATGCTGAGGAGAAAGTACAGTGTCATAAAGATGCACTACGGGACTTTTCATCTGCTTGGCTCCATGGAGATGTTATTGTTACGCCACGCAAATAAAATAAATAAACAAAAATAAAATACCTAGAAAACAAATACCTAGAATAATAAAATATAAAATAAAATAAATAAATAAAAATAAAATACCTGGGAAAAAAAATACCTAGAATAATAAAATATAAAATAAATAAATAAATAAAAAATAAATACCTAGAAAAAAAAACCTAGAATAATAAAATATAAAAAATAAATAAATAAAAATAAAATACCTAGAAAAAAATCCCTAGAATAATAAAATATAAAATAAAATAAATAAAAAAATAAAATACCTAGAAAAAAAAATAGAATAATAAAATATAAATAAATAAATAAAAAAAAAAAATACCTAGAAAAATACCTAGAATAATAAAATATAAAATAAAATAAACAAAAATAAAATACCTAGAAAAAAACTAGAATAATAAAATATAAAAAAAAAATAAAATAAATAAACAAAAATAAAATACCTAGAAAAAAAAATACCTAGAATAATAAAATATAAAATAAAATAAATAAATAAAAATAAAATACCTAGAAAAAATCCCTAGAATAATAAAATATAAAATAAAATAAATAAACAAAAATAAAATACCTAGAAAAAAATAGAATAATACAATATAAAATAAATAAACAAAAATAAAATACCTAGAAAAAACTAGAATAATAAAATATAAAACAAAATAAAATACAATAAAATAAATAAACAAAAATAAAATACCTAGAAAAAAAATACCTAGAATAATAAAATATAAAATAAAATAAATAAATAAAAATAAAATACCTAGAAAAAATCCCTAGAATAATAAAATATAAAATAAAATAAATAAACAAAAATAAAATACCTAGAAAAAAATAGAATAATACAATATAAAATAAATAAACAAAAATAAAATACCTAGAAAAAACTAGAATAATAAAATATAAAACAAAATAAAATACAATAAAATAAATAAACAAAAATAAATACCTAGAAAAAAACTAGAATAATAAAATATAAAAAAATAAAATAAATAAAAAAATAAAATACCTAGAAAAAAAAATACCTAGAATAATAAAATATAAAATAAAATAAATAAATAAAAATAAAAATACCTAGAAAAAATCCCTAGAATAATAAAATATAAAATAAAATAAAATAAACAAAAATAAAATACCTAGAAAAAAATAGAATAATAAATATAAAATAAATAAACAAAAATAAAATACCTAGAAAAAAAAAATACCTAGAATAATAAAATATAAAATAAAATAAATAAAAAATAAAAATAAAATACCTAGAAAAAAACTAGAATAATAAAATATAAAATAAATAAACAAAAATAAAATACCTAGAAAAAAACTAGAATAATAAAATATAAAACAAAATAAAATACAATAAAATAAATAAACAAAAATAAAATACCTAGAAAAAACTAGAATAATAAAATATAAAATAAATAAACAAAAATAAAATACCTAGAAAAAAACTAGAATAAAAAAATATAAACAAAAATAAAATACAATAAAATAAATAAACAAAAAAATACCTAGAAAAAACTAGAATAATAAAATAAAAAAATAAAATACAATAAAATAAATAAACAAAAATAAAATACCTAGAAAAAAAAAAAACTAGAATAATAAAATATAAAATAAATAAATAAATAAAAATAAAATAGAAAAAAAAACTAGAATAATAAAATATAAAATAAAATAAATAAACAAAAATAAAATACCTAGAAAAAAACTAGATATAAAACAAAATAAAATAAAATAAATAAACAAAAATAAAATACCTAGAAAAAAATCCTAGAAAAATTCTGCCTGAGAGCGAGGTCACCTCTTCACAGCAAATGTAAATATGTCATATAATTATTTAAATATAAATATAAATATTTACTATAAATATAATTTTTTTATTGAAAAAAATCTACAAAATACAATATGCACACGTGTTATTATTTGCCAAAAAGTCATTATAAAAAATAGGCCATGATACTTTTGAGGACTGTCTCATAGGGCAGTTCAAGTGGTAGAGGCAGAAGGGGCTGGGGGGCCAGTGAAAGGGGTGTGGCGGACCGGAGTCGGCCCACGGACCTTAGTTTGATGACCCCTGATCTGCACCTGATCTGACCTGTAACTTGGAATGGCAGAGTCACTTACGTGTTTCCATAGTGATAGATACAGTAAGTTTGATACCATACTGCGGAACATTACAAGCAAAGCGATGACATCTCAATACATGCATAAAGATTCTCGGACTCCTGGTCATCGTGCAATGCATACTGGGAAGGATTTTCAGAAAAAATGAGCATCAAACCGCCATGTTTGATTTTCCAGTGGGATGTGTCTATTGTCAAAGTCGATCTTTTCTAGTCTTTTGAACCATATCACTTTTGTTTCTGGTTCTGATATTGTCATATTTTAGTTTTAGGATTTGGACATCGTAATTGTGTGGTTGTTGGATCCTAACAGCGGAAAACGGCTCGAGAAATGGGCTTCGTGAATTTGTGAACTCCATAAATGCAAAAGGGAATCAGATGTGTGTGACTGCAAACCTCCGTTCAAACTGTTTCTCTTCCCAACGGAATCGAAAAATAGTGAAAGATGAAGGTGATGGGCAGGATTGATCCACAGGAAGGACCAAAAATGAAAACTTTGGCTGCCTAAGAAATCATCCCAAATCTCCATGGAAACAGACACATAACAACCAACACCACGGCACTTCAATACAGAAAACCAGCAGACAGACCCTTTACTAAAAAAGTCACAGATTGCGCACCTTTAATAAAAAAAAACAGGCTGGGAAAATTGTCACTAAAATGCCTTAAAAAAACTAGTGTCATCAGCTTGTTTCCACAGTTTAATGCAATACTGTGGAACATTACAGGCAAAGCAATGACACCAAAATAGAGCAGAATAGATTGTCTCACCTGCTTGTCACCATGGAGACGTTATTGCGTTAAATCCACAGTATGGCATTAAAGTTAAAGTTAAGTTAGTTTGCATTTATTCACTTACAGGTGTTTTTGTTGTTTTGTAATACATGAGTGGGGTCGCCTCTGCACAGATCTGACCCGTAACTTGGCCTTCACTAGCTTCACTTACTTGTCTCCATGGAGGTAGACAAGTTTGATACACATATTGTGGAACATTTCAAGCAAAGCAATGACATTTCAATGCAGACACTTTTCCAGAAATGTAACACGCTTGTCACCATGGAGACGCTGTTGCTTTGTCTGGAATGTTCCGCAGCATGACATTAAATTTATCCAGCGTTTATTCACTTACAGGTTTTGCCTCAAAAGTAATTTATTTTTACTTTGAGCGAGGTCGCCTCTGCACAGATCTGACCCGTAACTTGGATAACTTGGCCTTCAGTAGCTTCTTTTACGTTGTCTCCATGGAGATAGACATGTTTTATAGCACACTGCGGAATATTTCAAGCAAAGCAATGACATTTTGATACAGACAAGCAGCTTGCAGTCACTTTACTGGAAACGTAACCCACTTGTTACCATGGAAACGCTGTTGTTTTGTCTGGAATGTTCCGCAGTATGACATTAAAGATACCCAACGTTTATTCACTTACAGGTTTTGTCTCGAAAGTCATTTATTTTTACTTTGAGCGGCATCGCCTCTGCACAGATCTGACCCGTAACTTGGATAACTTGGCCTTGTAGCTTCTTTTACTTTGTCTCCATGGAGATAGACAAGTTTAATACCATACTGCAGAACATTATACGCAAAGTAATGACATTTCAGCACAGATAAGCAGCTTGCAGACACAGAAAATTAACCTGCTTGTCACCATGGAGACGCTGTTGTTTTGTCTGGAATGTTCCGCAGTATGACATTAAAGTTATCCAGCGTTTATTCACTCACAGGTTTTGTCTCGAAAATCATTTATTTTTGCTTCGAGCAGGGTCGCCTCTGCACAGATCTGACCCGTAACTTGGCTTTTTAACTTCACTTACTACTTGTCTCCTTGGAGATAGACAAGTTTAATACCATACTGCGGAATATTTCAAGCAAAGTAATAACACAGGAGAACAGACAAACATCCTGCAGACACTTGACTAGAAAAGTAACCGGCTTGTCACCATGGAGACGCTGTTGTTTTGTCTGCAATGTTCCGCAGTACGACATTAAAGTTATCCAGTGTTTAGTTACGTACAGATTTTGTCTCAAAAGTCATTTATTTTTGCTTCAAGCGGGGTCGCCTCTGCACAGATCTGACCTTTAACTTGAATAACTTGACCTTGTAGCTTCTTTTACTTTGTTTCCATGGAGATAGACAAGTTTTGATACACATATTGTGGAATATTTCAGGCAAAGTAATGACATTTCAGCACAGACAAACAGACACTTGACCAGAAAAGTAACCCACTTGTCACCATGGAGACACTGTTGTTTTATCTGGAATGTTCCACAGTATGACATTAAATTTATCCAGCGTTTATTCACTCACAGGTTTTGTCTCAAAAGTCATTTACTTTTGCTTTGAGCGGGGTCGCCTCTGCACAGATCTGACCCGTAACTTGACTTTCTAGCTTCACTTACTGCTTGTCTCCATGGAGATAGACAAGTTTAATAACACACTGCGGAACATTACAAGCAAAGCAATGACATTTCAGCACAGACAAATAGCTTACAGTTCATTTACTGCAAAAATAACTCATTTGTCACCATGGAGATGCTGTGGTTTTGTCCAGAATGTTCCACAGTATCACATTAAAGTTAGCCAGCGTTTAATCACTTATAGGTTTTGTCTCAGATATCATATATTTTTACTTTGAGTAGGGTCGCCTCTGCACAGATCTGAACCGTAACTTCGATAACTTGGCATTCAGTAGCTTCACTTACTTGGTTTCCATGAAGATAGACACGTTTAATACCACACTACGGAACATTTCAAGCAAAGCAGTGACATTTCATTGCAGACACTTTACCGGAAAATTAACCCGCTTGTTACCATGGAGACGCTGTTGTTTTGTCTGGAATGTTCCGCAGTATGACATTAAAGTTATCCAGCGTTTATTCACTCACAGGTTTTGTCTCAAAAGTCATTTATTTTTGCTTTGAGCGGCATCGCCTCTGCACAGATCTGACCCATAACTTGGCATTTTAGCTTCACTTACTACTTGTCTTCATGGAGATAGACAAGTTTAATACCATACTGCGGAACATTTCAAGCAAAGCAATAATATTTAGATTCAGACAAACAGCATGCAGACACTTTACCAGAAACATAACCCACTTGTTACCATGGAGACGCTGTTGTTTTGTCTGGAATGTTCCGCAGTATGACATTAAAATCATCCAGCGTTTATTCACTTAGAGGTTTTGTCTGGAAAGTCATTTATTTTTACTCTGTCTCCATGGAGATAGACAAGTTTGATGCCATACTGCGGAACATTTCAATACAGACAAACAGCAGACACATTCTACACTAGAAAAGTTACGCATTACACCTTTACCCTGCCATAAAAACCGGGTTGGGCAACAGCGTTCAGGGCAGGACAGATAAACTCAAGCGACACAATGCACTCTGTCAATAAGTAACAGTAATTTGAGAAAAAAAAAAAAAAAACTTTGCAGCTCATTCTAAGTCAGAGAGCAGGAAGCATTGTTGAAGCTCGTTCCCCCGGGGCAGGCATTTTTGACGGACAGATCCAGACTTGCCCGGCCGCCGTGACTCACCCATCACTCGAGTTTTCCCACTAAATCTCTCTTTATCCCTCTGCAGACGCTCTTTCCAAACCGGCACCCGAGCACCCACCCGCCCACCTGCCCACTGACCTGCCGAGGAGTCCGAGCGCGCCCAGTGCAGACCCGCTCCAGGTGTGATCCAGGTGTGAGGAGGGTCAGGAGCGACGCAACCCGGAACGCAAACCCGAGGAGGCGTGTGACCATAAAAGGAGTGGTGCGGTCGGGAGGAGGTGGGCAGCGGCCAATCGCAGAGCGGGACCGCGGTGACAGAGGGGATACTGAAAGCGCATAGGCTGCAGCGTGGAATGATGTGAAAAAGCTGTGTTTTTATGAACTATGTCGAGGAGGGATCTGTGAGGTTTTGAATACAGATTTGAATTCAGTTGTGCATATTTTAAACACCCACAAGACATTTTAGAAAATACTATTTTATTAAATATATCACACAAAACTGACTCTTTGAGCTTTAAGCCGTGTTATAATGTAACCTCCTCAAAAACAAACCCAGAGTTGTGTTTTGTTTCATTCACACAATTGAGTAATCATTTTTATTAAAGTTCTGGAATTTTACGGTCGGGTAGTGATTACACACGGGCAGGTCAGGATTAAATTAAGACTAAACTGGGACTACACCAGGACTAATCTTGGATTTAAGAGAGAGAGAGAACCCCGAGCCCGTGGAGCAGAGTGTCCGCAAAGCACGATCGGGCGACGGCTGTGCTTAGTCCCGTGCAGCACGGAGCTCCACGCCGGCCCTTTCACAGTCACCTGACAGTCTACGCGGGCGCGCCTCCAGGCTCATCCTGACAGTGAGTCCTGGTTCAGTCCTGGTTTAGTCCTGGTTTTGACCGGTTTTAGTCCTGTTTTAGTCCTAGTTCAGTCCTGGTTCAGTCCTGGAATCAGTCCTGGGTTAGTCCTGGTTTAGTCCGTAGCATGTGTGGTGCAAAAGTATGGCAATGTTTCTTTTGCTCAATAAACGCCTGTGAAGTGATGACGTATTTTTCACAGTCGAGTCGCGTCTGTGAATTCATATTCGTACTGAAGTTTCATTTAATTTTGCGATTGTAATTCTTGAAGTCGTAACTTTTCAAGTTCACATTCTGATGGATTCTTCAGTTAGGAAGTTTGTAATTTGTGTGTGATTAATCACGGGTCCGGGCGGGTGAGAGTTTAACTTTGATATAATCATGGTCGGGTGCGGTGCTGTACTGCGTGGGTGTGGGACTCGGTCTTGTCTTGGTCTCAACATCTGACACTGGACAAGTGATAAAACATAAATAGATTTATTAAAATATTTATATATATGTGCCAAAATAACAAGTAAAATACAAATAAATTCAAATGAATGTCCAAAATTACAAAGATGGTTTTGATTTGATCTTGAAGGGCCGTGATCTCAGTTTTGTCTCAGTCTTGTCTCGGTCTCGGCCTTTAAGACTCTTGGTCCTGTCTTGGTCTCGACTCTCAGAGGTCTTGATCTTGTGGTCTCAGACAGATCTTGGTCTTGATTAGTGCGATCTTGACTACAACAGTAGCCTAAACATGCAGGGTTCATGTGAATGAAACAAAACACAACTCCACATGTTCGTGATGAGGAAACAACACTTTAACATAGATCAGAAAGTACTGTAATATGTGCCCTTTAATGCCCCAATTGTGTGACTTTTAGCCAAAAACTGGACTACAATAATCAGTCAGAGTTTATTTATGCAGCTCTTTCATATACGATGCAGCAGAAAGAGCTTCACACAACCACAACAACAGAAAAAAACAAATTTATAATAAAGAAAAAAGCAAAATAGATTAAAAAATATTCAAAAATATAATTCAAAGATGTGAATTCTTACTGAGCAGGCTTGCATCTCCACAAACCTGACTCTTACTTGGCCTTGAGGACCGCCTGCTTCTGCTTGTTTCCACTGTAGCAACAGAAATAAAACAGTTTGTAATTGTATTTTTTACTAAAATTTAATGCTTGGTGTAAAAGGATTCCAAGTATTCAGAATACAGTTCTCTGACGGGCTCATGTAATGAAATAAGTTACAAAATACATTTAAATTCAAGTAATCAGTATTCTGTAACTAAATACTCTTTACAAGTATCCTTCCCAACTGTGCACATAAATACATTCATAACACAGTTTCAACACAAAGTTATATTCAAACATTCAGTGATTTGAGATATTTTTTGGTATTTTGAGTCACTTTAGGTGAAATTGTGAATCAGTGCTTAGTCAGGTTGGCGCCACCTAGTGCCTCCGCTCAATTTCATTTCTCTCCAGCGACTTGGTCAGGAATCAGAATACACTAGACGGTTTACAAGAACCCCGGAGGTTGTAAACCGTGCAGCGGCCAGCGATTGGTTAAATAAAAAAGTGTTGAGCGAATGAATCCTAATGCTGAGAGGTAAGATGGTTTCCACAAAGTGAAACTGTCTGAGGAATCAGGTTAAGGAGGAACTACCTGTTTATATAAATAAACAGTGTTTTGGAGTAACAAATTACATGTACTGGAGTTACATAATCAGAGTACAAATTATGAGTAACTGTATTCAGTTACAGTTACTGTTTCAGTGAGTGGTAATTGGATTACAGTTACTTTGTTGAAATAAATGGATTATGCGGCGGGATTTTCCTGTTTTCACATTTTGGCCTAAACTAGGTCTAAACCAGGTCTAAACCAGGAATAAACTAGGACTAAACCAGGAATAAACCCGGAATAAACCAGGTCTAAACGATATGACACCTAACAGTAGGTTGGGCATAATTTAAGGCAGCAGTGATCTTATATAAAAATCATTTCTCTATCAATAATATGTTTAATCTGGTTAAGGACAGACTGGTCTTTTTGTGTCTTTTAGCAGATAAAACATGTTCATCTTTGCTTCTCTACAGTAAACAAAAGCCTGTTGATGGAGACTTGGGCTCAACAGACAATGTGAAGAGAACAAATAAGAATTTTCAGCATGTGGTTGGTACATTCATGTAGTTTTAAAAAGCATGACAATATCAAGTAATCCAAAGTATTCAGATTACGTTACTCACTTTAAGTAATTTAATGTATTACGTTACAAACTACATTTTGGGGTATGTAATCTGTAATCTGTAGGGGAATACATTTTAAAAGTAACCTTCCCAACACTGAATATAAATATATGAAGAGTACAGCAGGTACAGGGAGTTGGCAGTTTAAATGAGGCTAAAAAGAAGGCAATTTTAAAGCTTAAGTAGAAGAACTCTACTCTGAGTTTGTACTTGTTAAGACTTGTGTCTTAATGGCATATGAAATCAAGGACATACACAATTACAAACAATTGCTTTAGTGGAATAAAAATATAGATTTCATCCAGTCTTGAGCAAATCCTCTCGACTGTGCTGCTCAAAATAATAGAAGTTTAAGTTTATTTCACTTATTTAGAGTCATGCAGCATTTGGGTGGTGTCACCTAGTGCCTCTGCTCAATTTCATTTCTCTCCAGCGACTAGGTCAGGAATCTGAATACACTAGACGGTTCGCAAAAACCCCGGAAGTGCGAGTTTGGGCAGCAGCCAATCAGCGAAGAGCCATATATTCTGTGTTGTCAACAATTCCTGAGATCGAGGATTTAAAGCCGGAAAAAAGAGAATGTTTGGTGAATTTTATCAAGGGAAAAGACGTTATTGTTCCTTCTTCCTACGGGATTTGGGAAAATCTTAATATACCAGTTTGCCCCATTAGTGGTGCATTACATACGTCACGACTAAATAACAGCGATTAGTTAAATGATAAAAAGTACCTGCCTACAGTCAAGCAAATGAATTCTAACACTGCGAGGTCAAACAGTTACTATGAAGTGAAACTGTCTGATGAATCAGGCTAGTATTTGGGTGGAGCCCACACAGAAAGCAATGAGCAGACCCATTTTACATTTTACTGACACACATTAAACACACATTGTCTCTGAGAAAACACGTAAACAGACAGATCACCTCAGCGACACAGAGGACAAATAAAGTTTAATTTAACCTTTCTTTTTTAGACCATGTCTCCACGCAGAATGTTACTCATTTGGTTCATTAAACAGAAGAGTGAATGGAAAATGGGTTTTAAAGATGCACTACGTCCTTTTCTGATGGTGAGTCAACCTGTTTGTTTCCATGGAGATGTTGTGCAAGGACATTAAAGGTCAGTCCGTGTATCATTCCTTCATTCGTTTTTCAATATAAAACCAAAAAATAAGAAAATGAAAAAAACAACAGTTTTCTTCATTATTTGTCTCCAAAACCAAAATGAAAAAAAACAGATAACGATTTGTTTTTTCAGTTTTCGATTTTGTGTTTAAATGAAGAATGGAAAAAAACAAAATAAAGGCCGTTTCCCATTTACGTGACTTCCCTGACTGCAATGCCAACGGACTGAACCAGGACTGATCCAGGTCCGGGACCAGACCGAGACCAGACCGAGACCAGTCCGAGACCAGTCCGAGACTGAGATCAGAACTGAGATCGGGACCAGAGCGAGACTGAGACCAGACCGGGACCAGAGCGGGACTGAAACCGAGACCAGACCGGGACCAGACCGGGACTGAGACCGAGACCAGACCGGGACCAGACCGAGACTGGGACTGAGACCAGGCTGGGACCAGACCAGGACCAGACCGGAGGCTCAGAGCCCACAGCAGGGCCGGAGCTCGAAGCTGAGGCTCAGAGTCTGCCCTGGTCCCGCCCTGGTCCTGTTCTGGTTCCGGTCTCGTCCTGGACCTGGATCAGTCCTGGTCCGTATGCAGCACAAAAGTCCGGCATCGCAGTCACGGAAGTCACGTAAAAGTAATTTAAACACAAAATTGAAAACCGAGAAAAGGAATCATTATCTGTTTTTTCATTTTGGTTTTGGAGACAAATGATGAAGAAAATATTTGTTTTTTCATTTTCTTATTTTTGGTTTTATATTGAAAAACAAATGAAAGAATGATACACGGATTAAGGTCTCTTCTGTCTTGCATTTGTTCATTTGCATGCTTTGTTTTTTCATTGTCAGATCAAATTTTGAAAACTCGTGGATTCTTACTGTGAGTTGGGCTTGCCTCTCCACTGATCTCAGCTGTAAGTTTGCCTAATTTAAACCCATGCCAGAGTTAGAAGTGCGTGTGGTTTATGTTTC